GGCCTATGTTTTGAAACTCATTTTAGGGGTCTTATACTTAAGGGACGCCCCCCAAAAAATTTACCATGACATTCTTCAGATCTCCACCTTCACAGTGATATATTTATTTATTTTTTCTATGGAAGGGCTGCAGAAGCGTAAATGTTCAAAGACAGAGAAAAAATAAAAAAAAAATAAAAAATCTTTTAAAAGGGTGGTGGAGGGTCCTGGAGTGGTGAGGAAGTGGATGTTTTGGACCTCTCATGGGGAGCGCTACATGGGAGCAGGCCCCTCATGAAATTTACCATGACATTCTTGAGATCTCCACCTTCACCACCACATCTTCATTTTTCTCATAGGTTGCACAGCTGCAGAAGCATAAATCTTCAAAGATAGAGAAAAAAATATATAGAATTTTTTTAAATAGTTGGTGAAGCTTTTGAGTGGTGAGGGGTACATGTTTTGGAGAGCCTGTTTGAGGCGCTGGATGAGAGCCCACCTCCAAAATAAATTTACCACCACATAGAGGACCAGCCCATCTTCACCACCACAGCTTCAAATTTTCTACAGAGAGCATCACTGCAGAAGCGTAAATCTTCAAAGACCCAGAAAATATTAGAAATAATTTTTGAAAGAAAATTCCTGGTGTTGAGAGCTGGGATGTGATCTGGTCTTAGGAGATGGCGCATGACCAAATAAATAGAATAAATGTTTTTAAATGAATTTTTTTATTTTTTATTTTTATTTTTTTAAACGCTAACCCCATTCGTATTTTTTTTCTCAGTACGTACCTCTGCACTATCCCAATCCGTATTTTTTTTCTCAGTACGTACCCTCTCGCTTCTCTCTAGCGCCAAAATCCCCAAACCCCACGATATCTCCCCCAAAATCCCAACTTTGGAGCGACATAGATCAGGATCCAGCGGTCGCAATCCATTTTTAAATGCATGGCGATGCTCAGGGAGCTTGGGATTAGACTTGGTGCAATTTTCAGCCAATTCCACCTCCGAAGGTTGTTGTTGAACGACTGGCCTTTTGGCAAACCTGAACCGGAATTTTCGACTTGGGAATATAATCTCTCGAGATTTGCAAGATCAAAGCCTTGGTGTCTTGCTCTCCGCATCTGAACTCCACAAAAAACGACTTGATCGACTCCAGGTCCATGAGCCGGGCTGAAGGATTAAGAAACAGAGTTTTGCATCAACATGGCATAAGAGAATCATGGCGTATTTTCGCCGGGCCAGATCTTTGTGGGGTAGACCCCGTGGGGACCCCAACCATCATCATGACCGATTCTAGAGATCAACCACTCTCATGGTACAGGAAGTCGGTAAAATTGAAATTGATGTGCAAGTCATGGCTTTTTGTCAAACAAAATGGCCTAGACAGAATTGGTGTTGAGTTTCGAGTTTAGTGGCACGACTTGAAGTCTATAATGGGATGTACGACGAGGCTATCGATGCTAGCGGCGGGAAGGTTGGCCAATCGCAGGATTGTTCGCTGGATTAATCGCAGCATTAACCGCAGCAATTCTCGCAACAATATATCTCAGGCTACTCTGCTCCATTAGCCGGCAAAAGTGTTGTGGGGAATTGATCACTTGCACTGACAGAGCTTACGACCCCGCGACGAATTTGCCATTTCATGCCCAAAAAAAGAATGGCTACCCCGCTATAACTCAGCACAGATTTGGTTACGTCTCTGCAATACTCTGCCATCGTCATGCTATTGGAGCTATTGTTGGCGGACTGCTGTTGACATTTAGGGTTCAGAGGACTGGGCACCCTGTATATAGAAATACCCTGATATCCCAGGGCCAGACTGACCAGATTGTGAGTGATAGTATTTTTTGTTTCTTAACCCTCTTGCGTATTTTGAGGGTTGAGCCCTACATTTGTTAACATGAACCGCTACACCTTTCCCAGCAGGCCCAAAGCCAACCCCAAGGCCATCGTCTCTGGTACAAACTATCGCTTCACCGTCCTCACTGATCGCCTGATTCGATACGAATGGGCAGAGGATGGTAGATTTCAGGACCAAGCTTCCACGTTTGCAATCAACCGTGAATTTCCCAGACCCGAATTCAAAGTCGTCGATAGGGACGACCTCGAAATCATCACCGAACATTTCCACCTGAGCTATGACAAGAAGCGATTTAGCCCTGGTGGTCTAGTCGTCAACTTCAATGCCAAAATTACCGAGTGGGGGGCCACGTGGCGTTTTGGCGCACCGCCAGAACTCAACTTAGATTCCAATCTGGGAGGCACTGCCAGAACGCTGGACCTTTGCGACGGACGTTGTGATATAGGCCAGGGAGTGCTGTCCAGAGGTGGCTATGCTGAACTTGATGATTCAAAGTCTATGCTCTTCGACGGCAAAGGTTTTGTTGCAAACAGACCAGCCGGAGACCGGGTCGATGGCTATCTCTTTTGTTACGGTCTCGACTATAAAGCGGCAATAAAAGCATTCTACGCTCTTTCTGGTAAACAACCCGTCTTGCCTCGCTATGCCTTGGGCAATTGGTGGAGCAGGTATTACGCATATCAGCAGGACGAGTACATTGAACTCATGGACGACTTTCGGGCCCGAGATATCCCATTCTCTGTGGCTGTCATCGACATGGACTGGCATCTAGTATCCGACGAGCGCGTGCCACATGCTGGTTGGACTGGGTACACGTGGGACGACAAGCTGATCCCTGAACCGAAACGATTTGGACGGGAACTGCACGACAGAAACGTGAAGATCACCTTGAACGACCATCCACACGCTGGCATCCACTCCCACGAGAAGCCATATGAAGAAATGGCTCGTTTCCTTGGCCATAGTACTAAAGACAAGAACCCGATTCTCTTTGATTGCACCGGCCCTAAATTTCTGGAGGCTTACTTCGGGATCCTGCACCGCAGCCTCGAAAAAGTAGCATGTGACTTCTGGTGGATCGACTGGCAACAGGGAGCTTACTCTAAGGTCCCCGGCATTGATCCCTTGTGGATGCTTAACCATTTCCACTACGTTGATCATGCACTCCAGGGTAATACGCCACTCATATTCTCAAGGTATGCAGGGCCAGGAAGTCATCGCTACCCAGTGGGATTTTCTGGTGACACGGTGGTAACCTGGGCCTCGCTCCAATTCCAGCCAGAGTTCACCGCTACAGCATCAAACATTGGGTACGGTTGGTGGAGTCACGATATTGGTGGGCATATTTTTGGTGCTCGAGACGATGAACTCGTCACACGATGGTTCCAGCTTGGTGTCTTCTCACCCATCATGCGACTCCATTCATCAAATAGCCGCTGGATGTCCAAGGAGCCGTGGCTGTACCGCAAAGAGTGCGAACGGGTGATGACCGGGTTCCTCCGGTTCAGACACAGAATGGTGCCATATCTCTACACAAGAAACGTCATTTGTTCCACCGACGATGAGCCTCTGATACAGCCATTATACTGGTCGTATCCGGGTTGTGAGGAGGCTTATTCGTTTCCCAATCAATATTTTTTCGGAAATGAACTCGTAGTTGCACCTATTGTGCAGCCCCGAGACCAGCGCACCGGCCTTGCATCAGTCAAGGCCTGGCTACCGCCTCTCCAACGCCATGTCGACATTTTCACCGGGACCATCTACGACGGAGATGCCGAAGTGACTCTCTACCGAACTCTTGAGAATTATCCAGTCTTGGCTCACGAGGGATCGATAATACCCCTGGACGCTGATGCTGCTCCTAGAAATGGCTGTCTGAATCCGGATGCCTTTGAAGTTCTTGTCGTCATTGGTCGAAATGGTCAAGCCGTTGTCTTGGAAGATTCCGGGGATGACGCATCGCTCCATAGCGGGGTTCATAAAGGCCTCCCGAACGGAGTGCGGAACGGAGTCTCGAATGGAGTATCGAATGGAATGCCAAAGGAAGTGATGAACGGTCTACAGAAGCCCTCAAGAGCCCAATTCAACGGCCAACGCCGCTCAACGATCCAGTACACTCAAGCAGTCGGAAAGTTAACCGCCACCGTAACTGCGGGCCGAACCTGGTCATTCCGCTTTCTAGCCGTGACCTCCATTCCAAAAGATCTCAAAGTACTCGTCAACGGCACTGATCGTACATCTGACACTGTTGCACTTGTCGAGAATTTCCCGAAGACACCTAGTCTACTCGTACAGTTTCCCTCCGGCTCTGCGAGATCTGGGAATACCTACGAGATTGCTATCGAGCTCGGACCCAACCCACAGCTCAGTGTGATCGACCACAAGCCACGCATTGAGCACCTGATCATGGGTTATCAGACTGAGTTCAAGGTCAAGGATCAGCTTTGGGAAGTCGTGGAGAATCTGGGAAAACGCGCACTTAATGTTACTGTGGCGAGATTGATGGCGTTGGGATATGATGAGGGTATCATTGGTCCGATTGCGGAGTTGCTCTTGGCTGATAGCCGGGTGATCTCTTCCTAGTTACAGTGAGACTTATGGAGGTTTTATTACCAGTATACAAGAAAGCCATTTTAGAGCACAGGATATTGATAAGACTTAGATATGTTGTTTGACTTATGAGTAACTGCTTTTGGTGTTCGTGGTTCTAGACTTTTGGTTTGGATTTTCCCTAGCATTTCAAACACATAGGCTATAATATTAAATTAATGACCCGTCTTCTTTGCCACTCGTTGTGCATCCAGCAAACAACATACCTTGCCATCTGTTCATAATTGTCTTCGAAAAAAAGTGATAATACTTTTTCAAGGGCTGAAAAATATAGAATCGGCTTAAGTCCTAAGCCAACACCAGAGTGTGCTCCTCGCTTTCGTGAATATCCGATTCAGAGACTCTTTTGCGTTCTAGAGCAAATAAAATCATAACGTGCAGTCGTGTTACTAGTATGTATAATCAGTAGAGAATCCCCCAAGCTCCTGGTACTTTCCGGACTTTAAGAGCATTGATCACATGACCAACTTTTACATTTGCAAGTTTGGTTTGCCTCTGCAACTGCTAGCATCGTGTCGATATCCATTTCTTTTACAACACCGATTTCACGCTGCATGGAAAGGTACCAGACCATGGCGAGTCGTATAACGCTGCTCAATCTTCCGCAGGAGATTTTAGATGAGATCTTCTCCCATATCCCAAATCGCAAGGGTATGCGCCCTCGCCAGCGTGCAGAAGCACTTTCTTGCGCAGCTCTAGCGTCAACATGTTGCAGCTTCCGATACATCATAGAACAACATCTTTTCAAGACGCTTACACTTTCACCATTCGATTTTGATGCGTTTGCAAGTAATATGAGCCAGATGAGCGGACGCCGGCGAGGATACCTCCGCCATCTCACATATTACTGCACATGGTTATATCCAGAACCTATTGCCTGTGTTTCAAACAATCTTGAGGACCCTTCATTTCATGATCGGTCGTTTTCCGAGTCAATCGATCAGATTTTTACAGAATTGTCACAGTGGAGCAACCTGGCTCTAGAGCACCTTGTGTTGAGAATTGACGATCCCAGAACTTTTTTCTGAACTTTTCTGAACATAACGAATTGGATCCATTTCTTCGTCTGACTAACGATTTTAAGTGGAGGACTCTCTGGTCTGTCAAGGTGCTGGATGTGTTCAGCGACGTAGCAGACCTTTATCCAGAAGCAGTATGGCGAATTGCTCAATGCTGTCCAAACCTGGAGAATCTCGGGGTACGGCTGAAGGATGAGAGAAGACGTAAAAGTCGAGACAGGGTTGATGCACGGCTGTGTAAGCATTCTCGCTTTCACTCTTTCAGATCTTCAGGGCTAATAAATCATTATCATTTAGCAATTGCCAAACATATTTGCCACCTTCCAAGCACTGTTCGTGATGCTGATTTTATCTTCGACTACCAAGCAGCTATGAATCATGCATCAACTCCAGCAGACCTCTGTACTAGTTTCAAATCTCTTGACCTTTTTTCTCTGCAAATGCGAGAATTTTCCTATCGACTCGCGAGCTTTGAGCTGACTGCGGGACAAATTTCTGCTGAGCTCTTCTGGCCGCAGAATAGAGGGGAAGGGTGCTCGCATATTTCATGGCCCGCGCTCAAGAGCTTCAAATTGACAACTCAGGGAGACACTGCAGATGGCCAATGGATGATTGAACGCGACATGAACCGGTCAAGAAGAAAGTCCTTTGCTGAGAGAGATGAGTCGACAGACGAAGAGGGCGGGCCAGGACGTGTGTTTGGCTGGCATGATGCCCGAAGTTATCGGCAAAAACCTCGACAGGATTGGTTCGACAATTTCAATCTAGCAGTTGCACATGCAGCGCAGTGTATGCCTCTACTTGAGACCATGGTGATTCGGGTCGACCAAAAGTACTGCGATGACTCCGAAAAGAGGTATGGTGCACATACATTCACCTTTAAAAGTGGAGGAGCTGGTGAAGCAAAGACAGATACTGGAAATCCTCGTGTCGAATGGGCTGGAGGATCAAAGTATGAGCCTGCTGAAGACATCCAAAACCTTTGGCAAGCCAAAATTGGAAGTGGGCTTGAGATTGATATTGTGGCATATTTTCATGGTCCAAGAAAATTGAAACCCGGGGATCTCAATGGTTGGGTCAGGTTTAGAAATGGCCAAAAGATAGAATATGATGATAGCATTGACACTTGAAATTTATGCTCATTAATATAATGAATGATGGGCCCAACGGTTTCCCAATAGTATAATTGTTAATGACATACATAAGGGGTTTTATGCTTCAACAAGTTGTACAAGAAAAATAAGCAAGCAAAATATAGAAAGGCCTTTGTAAAAAATTATATTGCTAAGGGAGTGAACGCGGATTAGTGTAAAGTCGCCAAGATATTATTGTGTAGTAGGTAAAATAACTACTAAAGGGTCCAATGGCCCCAGAGAGATGAGCCAATGTTGAGTTTCCCAGTAGAATTCACGTTCCAGTTGTTGTTTTCAAAGGTAATGTGCTCATCACCGACAGAGAAGTTGGAAATGGTAAGACCAATGCCACCCTCTGAGTCCTTACCCATGGTAACAGGCTGGTTATTGTAATTGGTAAACGGCACAATCGTGCTCTCGTCAAGGCCCGGAATAGGTGTAAGCTCTTCGATCCAGACGTTGTCGAGGTGCCAGTCATCAATATTGGAAAGCATATTGATACTGATGAGGCCCGTGTTGATCCCCTCTGCACGGACGTTTAGAAACCTGGTAGTTGGAGTAGGTGCTATAAGGATCAGCATTTTGGGTACTGGAATCGTCCTCATAGCTTGCCGCACCTCCGATGAGGGCTCGAGGATATTTTGGCTGGTTGTTGGGATACCGGGTATGGACGACATCCACAGTATCCACGTTGATGCCAGTCACATTGCAGTAGTACCATCCCATTTGAATGATTGGGGCATTGTTCGTCTTCAAACCGTCATTCGCGTCGCATTGATGTTTGAATAATAAGTCTTGATACTGTCATCGCCCGTGTGATAGAAATCGTCCTGAAGATGGCTGTTGGGATACATCTGCAGGCCGTCTGTCTGAGTAAACAGGCTGCCCGTTTGCTTGTAATCAATCGCTGATGACGAAAAGTGATCGAGGTCGCCGTAAAAGTCCATGACATTGAATGGAGGAGCGTTCGTGGTCAGGCATTGCCCAACTGTCACGCCTTCTCCGCGTCACATTTTGAATGAGGTGGCATCTGACTTGTTGTTTCGATAGTTATCCGCAGGGTATGCTTGGTAAACATACTGCTAGCCCGAAATGACACCGAATCCAGACGCCTTGAGGGGCGAGTGTTGCCATTCTTGCATTGCACGGCACCTTTGACAAACGCTCCGGGTGCATTGTAGACCCAGCTGACAGTCTCACTGAGAATGGCGTGCGCGGAGCCTGTAAACCAGTATACGCCCGGAGCAAAATAGACGACGGCATTTTGATCTGTTCCAAGCCTGTGACCAGGCCAGGTTTCACGTAGTAGACGTCTTCTGTTGCCAACGGAACCATGTCAGATGGAGGAAAGGGGCTTGCAAAGATCAAGAGTGCGTTCAAGGGCTCTCGTCCAACAACTGGCATGGCGCCATCATAGCTTGACACATAGCCATAGCCCTGAGGGTTCACATCTTGTATATAGGTCCATTCACGTTTCGTTTGCCCGGATATACCACACAGCTCCTTCTTTCGCTTGCCCTTTTCATTCACTGTCCACCAAACATAAATAGGAAGTCAAACACTACCCATCTGAACCAGAAGGGACGGTGCCAGAGTGGTAAAAGCTCTGTCAACGTCCTGGAATTTCCCGAGGTGAGTTCGAGTCGGGGTGTCACCACAATCGCAGCTGGGATTTATTCCACTGCCTCACTGGTGCCCCTCATGAGGCCGCGTCGGGGAAGGGGTAGAGATGTAGGATGCCTTAACCGTTCTTCGAATGAGAAGACGGGGCATCCGAACTCTTTTTGTCACTCATCTTATTATTATAATTTTTTTTTTTTTTTCGCTCCCTTTCTAGCCCTCATCTCGACCTTGCGTCAGGCCCCGAGAATGAGTTTAGCTCTGAGTGTAGTCCAGCTGGATGGCGACCATCTTGTCTGTCATCGGGCCGCTTGACACTAAAATGCGGGACTAGACGGGTTGACAGCCGAACCTAACGGCTTTCCTTGTGGGGGAATTTTCCACTTTTTACCTAACCAAAGACGTCATCCTCACTAAACGGCTCCACTGTTGGATTAAACCTGGATCCAGATCCAGCTTCCGATCCTGTCCTTTTCATCTGCCGAACCAAAAAGACTATCATGATCAAATTTAGGGGTCTCGAATGGGATGTTTAGTTCCGAGGAGATCTAGCTCTACATGCATTGGCCCGAGTAAAAGCTTCTAAAGGCTGGACAAACAATATATTATCAAGTTGTCGGAAATCAATGTCAATTCACGTAAACTAATTATTCAGAGCTTAATTTTCCCCACATAAACTGGTTTCGTGACTGCGTTATCCCATCCCTATTGAGAAAATTTGTATATTTGCTCACGGGATTACTGGGAGCCTTAGGAAATTCTGGCACTCAGGGCCAAAATGTATGTTATTCCAGCCTTTGAGCATCGTCTCCGGCCGATCCTCGGGATGACGATGGAAGAAGAGGCCCCCGTGATGTGTATCCGTGCTTGCAATTTCTAGGGCCAGCTTATGCCCTTTGCTGATAATGACATTTGTTGGCCATACCTCAATAGCCACGGTGTATACAGTGTCACATTTGACGGGCAGGATGGACCCTGGCGTGTGATTCCGTTGTGGCACATTGTCGGTCGGTGGGCCCGTTGTCTGCCGGTGTGAGACCCGGAGCCATCCCTTGACCACAGAAACAGGTTCGCCTGCTGGACCGGTATACAAAACTGTGGTGATCAGCAAGAACATCTCATGACAAAAATGAAGCTAAATAAAAATGTGACAAACTTTCTTGGCCATCACTATCGTAGTGCCGGATTGTCAGAAAGAGATCAATCTCAGATGGGGATGAAGAGTCACGGCTGGAGAGGGAGACGTTCAGGTGGGCCATTGGATGCCCTGTTATCTCCGTTTCTTCCTCGAAGGGCGTTGTCTCGAACAAGAGAGAGCCTCTAGAATGACAATGTTAGAGCTGATGTGAAATGGACACAATTGAGGACTACCTTGGGGCTTCATAACGCAGTATCCCCTCCTGCACATCAACTGGGCTCGTCACCAGGCCCTGTGACATCGTCAGATGGAAATCCGTATAGACGGTCCGCTTCAACGGCCATTCGAGTTCCGTCCGGCGCGGAAATGCTGCCAGCTCCCGACGTGCATCGTTGACGCCCGCGTTTCCGACACGCAGACAAAGATCCACCGGAGGCACTTTGCCGGGGTGTGCCCAGCCATAGTCATCTTCTCCTTTGAGAAAGGCATCCAAGAAAGACTTCTGCACCTCTACAGATTCGTCAAAATAAAAGGGGACATCATGTCTGCCGCTGATGAAGCGGAGATACTTGAACTTTGACCCAGCTTTCATGAAGCCAAAGACGTTTCCTCGCAGGTGCAGTTGCGTTGCGCCCTTGATCGATCAGTCATGTTAGCTCACTTCGTTGGATAATAGCGGTCGTGACGTACGTAGTTGGCGACACTCAGAACAGGGCACTCGATATTTTCTGCTGGGAACAGGTCGGAAAAGTACATTGCGTCTGTGCGATATTTGTTCTTGATTCCCTCCAGGACGGGGACCTTTCGATGTTTCAACAAAGCGATTGCGTCCATGGTCCCTTCGAGGGTATCTGGACCCCATTTGCGGGCGGCACGGTCACCGAGGCCATACTGAACCGACCCGACCTGGCGATTCCACCAGAAATCTGTACAGTAACGTCATGAGCATATAGACAGCCACACAATATGCGCATTGGAGGACTGTTACCCAAGAATCCATCACACAAAATGCCACCGTGGCGGGCGAGGTCCATATAATAATCATTCATTCCTGACATTTGGAATGAGCAAAGACTTAGTCACTTAGAGTGAGATTGAAGCCTACCCTCCCACGGGACAATAGCCGCAAGCCCTCGAGGCCGCCTTGCAGCAACCCACCACTGCGTACACGCATAGTAGCTGACACCCAAAAGCGCTACCTTCCCAGAGCTCCATTCCTGGTCCGCGCACCACTCGACCACGTCAAAGAACCCATGGATCGTGGCCTCGCTGAGACAATTCAGCATGCCCGGTGATTGGCCAGCGCCACGCTCGTCAGCACGCACGACTACATAGCCTTTTTTGACCCAGAACGGGGGATCAGGCGTCTCCCAGGCAGAGTACGCTGACTGATGCTTTGGATTGACGTCCGCCCATGATGCGGCGTGAAAGCTGGATACACACCGTGTTTGTTAGATTTGAAGTTAAACTGAATCCTGACAAGTCCCGGATATATATATTTACTCGGGATAATGAATGTCCTTGCCATCTTCAGTGAGAATTAGCACATGCTTTTTGATCTATGAAGCACGAGAGCACATCACAGACTTACAAGGCCCATATGTCAAGATGACAGGATATTTGCCCGTGCCCTTCGGCCTATACACATTAGCTCGCACGAGGCAGGGATCGTCGGCCCCCTCCGGCGGCGCTGTGGGAAGAGGGATGTCGACGTTCGTTTCGACGACGAGGGCACCTGAGTCGTCGACGCTGTGAAGCTTACGAAGCGGCAGCGGTGGTGGAGACATGCTGATATTGTCCTTCATCGTCAAATTGCAGAAAATAAAATGGCAAGATGAAATGATGGCATTGCACCATGTTTTATCTATTCCTACCCCGCCCCGCCTCCGGGTCCTTTTGACGTGTATATCAGCGGTGAGGGCAGTAGAACCTTCCCCCTTGCATCAGAATTGGCGAGGTCATGCACGGTGCCATGAGGCAGGGCGTCTTTTCTATGCCTTGTCTCCTTGCCTGCTAATTTGCCTTGTTTGTGCTTCGCTCTCGGTTGGTTGTTAAAATGCAGATACCCAAAGGGGTTGGTAGGCTTGAATAATTCAGCTAACCTAGCTACATCCATCTTATCCATGTATCTATACTAGAAGCGACAATTCCTCTCTCCTGTTCAAATAGGTGAAAGTGAGAACTCTTTCCGTATGGCATTTGACAAGCCTCGAACGCCTTCATCCAAGTCGCCTTTTGAAGCAGCTGCGTATGTGATACGGAACTGAAGTTTGCCGTCGTAACGTCTGTCCGCAGAAAATAAGGACCCCTTAGCAACTTTGACGCCATTTTTCAGTGCATTTGACTGTATTCGTTCCTCAATTTCCGCTTGCTGGGAATGGTCACCGCCTAACGATGTTGCCGATCGATGTACCGGATGTTTGGCTAAATCTAAATTTATCCATAGGAACATGCCGAACTCTGGCGGCGTCCAGTGACAAATGTCTTTTGGAAAATAGCGGTCACAGGCTTGTAAGATTATATTCCGACGAGAACAGTAGTCTTTGGAGAGATTTTCGAGCCATGTGAGGAAGCCGGAATGCCCCCAGCTCCTATCCAGTAGTGTCCATAGCATAAGCTGCGATGGACCATTTACCCCTCCGACGCAGACATCATTGTAGCACACAAATTTCTCAATGATCGCGCTGCTTGCCGTGACCCAGCCAGTGCGAAGTCCAGGGGCAAGTATCTTGGACGTCGAATCAAGGCGAACGACACGGCCAGACCGGTCGATCGACAAGTATGATGGCACTTGACTTGGATTGATGAATGTTTCATCAAGCTTTAATTCCTCCGTGTTATCACGTGTCGATGGTCGGTCAAGGTATGGGCCCAGTTGAAGATAATAATACGGATCATCTTCCACGATTATTAAATCATGTTCCTCTGCTAATTGATAAATTGCTTGTCTTCTTCCTGCCGACTGCGTTGTGCCTGTCGGGTTCTGTCCAGTAGGGATCGAGTATAAGAGTCTCGGTTTCGGTCCTCGTGAGGGATCCCAAGTTCGAAGAATTTCATCCAAGCAGTCCGGTCGAAGTCCCTCGGGATCCATGCTGACTCCCTGTACACGTAATCCGACCAGAGTAGCGGCCTCAATGGCCGTAGAGTAAGTGTATTGCTCGGTCAGAACTGTATCGCCTCTGTTGCAAAAGATACGCAGCGCCAACTCCAGTGCAGATGTTGATCCACAACTGAGGCAAACTTTCCAATCTGCGTATGGCGGATCATGCACCATTTCCACATGTTCCGTTAGGAAACGTACAAGGTATGATGAGCCTACTGCGTGACCGTAATTTAAAGCAGAAGAAATGTTGTACGAGTCGCCTTGCTTTGCCACACTCTGCAATGCTCCTTCATCCTTGCTTCCGGCTTCAATATTGTTCAGCGACGATGATATACCCCGGAATGAAAGATGTTCCCAAGGATAATACTCCGGTACCGGTCTCCCCTCCCCAAGAGCTATGATTTTGCTGGTTTTATGTTGGTTGGCGAATGCTTTTATTGCCGAACCAACGAGCGAGCGGCTTTCAATACTGAAGTGATGACTCAAATCTTTGGAGGTTGGTCTAGACTTTGCATGTGCTGATTTGAACCAGTCGGAAGAGGCACATGGGTCGATATTTGATGGAATCGGAACGGAATGAGCACGAAGTGACTCGACATCTCCAGTTCCCAAGCGGGGCATGACGGCAAGAAAATATAAGAAGATTAAGACTAAGGTTCTGTGAAGTCGATGTAAGAGACAAATGAAGATCATCTCGATATTTATATAGTAGCTGTGCCTCCCGTCCCGTCCCCTTCCGCTGTCATCTTTCGGAGAGCAAGTGTCGGAGTAATCGGAGTAATCGGCGAAACCGTGAGACAAACCAGTCCCACTTTAGAAATTGAACGGCGGTTTATTGGACCTTATCGGCAATTATTTGAAAATGTCATGGCAGATAGGAAATTGAGCGTTACTTAAATCTCAGATTCTCGTACTTTTTTTAGTTGAAATACTAGATAGCTGGTAGTACGTGGTCTAGTGTCAACAATGAAGGATGTTCTGCAAGATTCTGCCAAAAGCCAACCTCAAAGTCTTGGGTCAGGTAGGTTGTCCAATCGTCATTTCCATAGTTGAGAGGTGTTGTTTCTTTGGCAAGAGTAGAGTGGACAGAGTCAAGAAACTTTTGAATTGTGTGGGTAGCTTTTGAGAATAGTGCGTAATTTGGCTCGCCTGGCTTAATAAGGGTCCCAATCTGGATTTCTGCGACAAGAACACTGAGATTCTGTAAAACTCTACTCTGCCACATTTTAGCCGTACTAGGTGTGTTGCGCTGCTTGAGCATTGCGAGAAGAATGATTCCGGCAGCAGGGAGACCGTAGTGCGCGACCTAATAATTCTGTCATTAGAGAATATGATTATATCAGAGCGCAGCACATACCTTCCAGATAAGGCCGTCTCCGGAATTTATTAGTTGATCACGAAGAAGAATAGCTTCTACGGTAAGGACAAGCATTTTCTCGGCGACTTCAACTATGGAATTGTCGGGCTCACTCGGGGTTTTAAGCAGAAGTAAGCGGAGCAAGAACAGAACATGCAGATAATTGAGGCGCACACTGGCTAAAAAGTCTCGCTCAAATGGGCCTTGATTGCATTGCTTCAGACTACACTCAAGTCTGAAATGAGCGGGCAGGGCATGCCATTCAGCCTCAGCTTTACTCTGAATTACACTGGTATAATGAGATTGTGTCTTCGACGGCTAGATAGGGACTATTTGGATTCTTACCTTGCTTTCTGAATTCGTGTCTCATGATTTTTCTCGCCGTATAGTTCCAAGACCTCTTCCTTCAAGAATGCACATAAAGCTGACCATCGAGTCTGTGCGGTGTAGGAAAATTTTGTGTCTGCCTCCCACCCGTCCACATTACTCTCTCTGGATGAGAAAGTCGAAGAATCGCTCAAGCTTGTTGGACATGACGGCAGTTGAAAGTGGCAGAATTGTTTACTCATCCGTGGAGGCCTACCGAGGAAAATAGAAACATTTTTGTCATCTCCGTACGTGTTTGCAAAGGCTGCCTTTCGCAAGTCAATTAGAAAGGGCGGAATCTCCGGTCGCGTTTCAATGTCCTCATGGTAGCCAAGAGCAAAAATTGAGGCAATTACGTCTCCCAGCCTACGCCACGAATGATAACCTAATCCGTTAGTGCTTTTCTTTTAATCTATTAGGTTTCAACTCACTCTGGTCTCCATCTACGCAGGAATGGACAATGAAATTTTCATACTGAAATACGAGCTGCAGGTCGTTTAGGCAGTCCAAGGATAGAGCAATATCCAGGGCGCAATCAGTCAGCTTTGTAGAAAGCCTTCTGAGAGCATATTGTTCCTGTTCCGTTGTATACAGTGAGGGAAAGAAGGAGATATCGAAAGTTGCCCGACTGACTGCTGAAAAGAATATACCAAGACTTTCCCATCGGACATTTTGATTCAGAAATTGTGCAGAAAAGCTGGAAAGACTGGAGGTGCGATTGAAGTCTAATGGCTGCGCCGAATTGTGGAGTAGACGTCTTGCATAAATTAAGTGCCAATTCTCGTCTTGCAGAGAAGACATCAGGAAGTCCGTCATACTTTCAACACATTGCTGAACAAATGGCCCGGCGAGAATCAGATTTATCCCCTTTTTAAGCCAAAACATGACTAGTTCCTTCAGGAGTTTTAGGGAATATTTGTCCAAAAGCTGTCTCAAAACATCTGCACCCTGGTGAGTCAAAAGATTGCCATCATCTGAGCGATGGGAAGGATCCGCTGGCAATTCAGCGTCTCTGGGAAAATATGACCCAGAAATATTATCTTCACCCTGGGGAATATGGTTAAAAATTGCAGCATGGCTGGAGGAGCCAAGATATCCCGGGTTTGGATATGGATTGCGCCTTGGGCTAAACAATGGTGGTGACGCTGGGGATGGTCGGCTGTGAAATGGCAATGTAATAGATCAGTGGTGCTCAATACATGCAAGCAGATTGAGTGTCCTTACTTTGAATGTTGATCTACTAATGGAGAGGAATCATCCCTTTTCCTCTTAAATGGCGATGCTCTATAAATACATAGGCCCGACCTATTGCTATTCCTGCAACGCGTGCACACCGGTCGCTTGTGGTCACAAGCAAGCTTTGACCTTCTGCAGGCTTCGCATGCTGCCAACCTCGAAGACATATTTCGATATTGACATCACCAATTTCTTTTTTACCAGGATGCAAAAATCCGCAAGATGGCATGAGAACCCGAGCATTGGCTCGGTGCAGTCGGATCGGATCGGAGTGTCGGTTCGGCGTAGTGGCATCGGAGTATGTGTTTCGGAGTAATTGGCGAGCACTAATTATTCTCCGAGGACCTACCCTTGGACGTAGGCGATAAGTATTGCGAATGGCGTTGGATAACAGAAGTGTGGGGTCAACCGACGCTTTCCGGTAGTGTAATTGATAGGGAAAGGAAAACATGGTTTCTATCCGGCAAATCACATGTACTTAATAAATTCGCGAGCTAAACGGAGAAGTGCAATACGAATTATCTTGCGCGGATCTTCTGTTTAGAATCCAACGTCTGACTGGACGTCAAAACGAAGGCCCCCCGCGGGGTAGCTGTGCTCGGGAGGATACGATCAAAGTCTCGGGGTTAGATGACAGAATTTCCGTTCTGGCCCAGATAAACGTCGGATTCCTCCGCCCTGATTACCAGACCAGCATGACTTTATCTTAGGGAAATGTTGCTGCAGTTTATTGAAGTACTCTTAATCTGTAGGAAGTATATCAAGCTTTATATAACACCCGCATTTCCAGCATAGAGAAGGTTGCAGAATATTTAGTAAAGACCATTTGATGTGATTTATGCTTCCAGTGTCCGCTACACTACCCTGATATCAATGTCGATTCAGCCTGAAAGCCCGCCTATGGGCTTCATCGCCGTAGAGCTCAATTTTCACCGCCCCCCGGGAGATGCAAAAAACGAGCGCACATGGCCATTTCCATTGATTTGTCGGACAGCGAAGGATTCTTTTCTGTCAAAGCTTGTGACTCCTGGTGAATATCCAGAAGCATTCATTGATAATTTTGTTGAGGCCGGACAATGGCTTGCAGAGCAAGGATGTGTCGGAATCTTGACGAGCTGTGGATTTTTAGCAATGATGCAACCAATGTGAGTCTGCAATTCTTTCTTGCGGCAGCTACTATGAGACCAACCACTCGTTGGTCTGCACAGGCTTGTTGTTAACTGTTGAAAAGACTGTCAGCTAGACTTCCTATACCAGTGGCAACTTCGTCACTTTTGCAGATACCCGCGGTCCGTTCATTTCTACCACCGGGCCAGTCAATCGGGGTCATCACATTTGATGCAACCCGTTTAAGTCTCAAGCACTTTACTCAGTTGTCTATCGATCCAAGCAACATACATATCGTTGGCTGTCCTGACAATGGTTATTTACGCGGTACTCTTCGAGATGGCAACCCATATGATTATTCTGCTCTGAAAAAGGAGTTGGTAACCTGTGCCGTGCAGCTCGTAGAATCGCATCCTGATGTTGGTGCAATCGTCCTAGAGTGTACGCAATTACCGGTTTTCGCGGAGGCCATACAGGAGAAAGTTCAACTCCCGGTATACGACGTGTACACTATGGGATCTTGGTTTTATTCAGGTCTTGTAAGAAAGCCATTTGTTCCGTGGACAGCACAAGAGAAGGCCGACGCAAAAGAATATCGCCCAAGGAGCCAAAAGGAAACTGCTGAGAGTCAGGTAGTATAGCCGATTTTCGCTCACTTCAAGGCCAGGATTTTTGGAAACGCTTGGAGATACGATAGACATCAATTATAAACAAGATAATAGAGAAGTGCAGAGTATCCCGGGAAATGATCCATTTCAATGAGTGTTGAGCACCTCTTCAAGACTGCTTTTTGTGAGAAAAAGAGCAACCAATGTTAGACCCGAAGAATATCGCTGTAGCCTTCCTTTGCTTAATTGAAGATGTGCTGGGGAAATTGAGGTTGTTACCTGGACTCTGTACCAGGTCGACGAGTTCACCGTTAACTCAGCAGGAAAGAACAGCCGATGGAGACCTAGGTAGTAGTTGGTTCGGGTATAGTTGCTCCATTATCAGGTATATCGTAAGCTACCTACCGTAGTACGGCCAGTGGTAGACGGCGGTTTCAGTTGTGCGTTGCCGTCCGCGAATATTCCATCATGGAAGCATGTCGCAAAGGATTTCCCACTGGTCGCTGACACTTTCCCATTGTGGATTTATCTCTTCTTTATCAAATGCAACAGTTCGCCTATCAATCCCGGTGGGCAAGAAATGACGGTTCATTGAGATATTGTTTGTAAATCATTTGCGGCACCATTCTGCCTCGCCTTCTATTACCTCTCTAGCGCTATGACATTCCCGCCTCTCACAGACCCTTTAGTCCCCGCCACCGCTGCCATGCAGTTAACTGGTGGATGAAGAATTCCGGCAAACCATCCCGACAGATACTCCACGTTTTTATTTAAAAGGACCCGGACATCTGCTGGTGAACGACATTGACCATAGCGCAATTTTGACAATATCAAACTACCTTCCAGCCCCTCTTGAGTACCAAACATATCAAAATGGCACCATCAGTTGAAACAGTCCAGCATGTTCAGAAGCAGGAGGAGCCCGCTACAAAGGCGGTTGCTCTAAACGGACCGACGGCGAAGACGGAGATGACTGCGCTCGAGGCCATCTCACAAGGCACGCCTTTGGCCGGTATTCCTTCTTTCACCTCGATTGAGAAGCAGCGACATTGGATGCTGGAACACATGGCTGGCGCTTTTCGAGTGTTTGCCCGCAAGGGTTACACTGAGGGCATGAGCGGCCATATCTCTCTCCGGGATCCTGAGGACCCCCATACGTTCTGGACCAACCCGTAAGTCAATCGACAATCAGCCCTGCACGCTACTTGAGCTAACCAGGTGAAGTCTTGGAAAGTACTTTGGATTACTCACCGCGGGTGATATGATTCTCGTCAATTACGAAGGCAAGGCTGTCGGCGGCAACACGTCCCGCCCTGCAAATGCCGCTGGCTTTTTGATCCACGGAGCACTTCATAAAGCTCGGCCGGACGTCAATGCTGCCTGTCACACCCACTCTCCATATGGAAAGGCTTGGTCAACCTTTGCCCGGCCGGTGGAAATGCTCAACCAGGATGCGTGCATGTTCTACGGAGAAACACAGGCGGTCTACGATCAATTTGGTGGCATCGTCTTCTCCGATGAGGAGGGTGAAAGACTAGCCACTGCATTGGGTCCGAAGGGCAAGGCTATGATTCTCCGCAACCATGGCTTGTTGACCGTCGGGTCTACTGTGGACGAGGCTGCCTATCTTTTCACTCTGCTCGAGAGATCTTGCGAAGTGCAACTGATGGTTGAGGCTGCTGCTGCCAATGGCATTCCCAAGCAATACGTTGGTGACGCGGAAGCCGCTTACACCCATAAGATGGTAAACGACGCTGTAAGTGCATGCCTCATCCCAAAACCCTTTCACTTGGAAGATTAACCTTGTATTAGGAGAGTCTCTACTGCGAGTTCCAGCCGGATCTGGAATTCGAGGTTGAAATGAGCAGGTCAACACAGGCCCCCCAGGCTCAGATCACAAGCCACCAGCCTCGTCTTCTTGAGTAATATTCATTTGAATTTGCATATATGTTTTTTAGCGCTCCATTGTATTTGGGGATTGTCTAGGGGGGTTGGCAGTTTATTGCGTTCATCTTTGAATATACCTTATGTCGTTTCCTTGCTTATCGCCTCACGTGCATCTGGATATTTTTCCGTGAGTGCAATATTTTCATCAAACACAGCTTTCCGAAATACATCTACGTTGAACAATTCATTTCTGTTATTACAAATATGACATTGAATGCGCCTTTGACGGTTGAGGGAAAGGAGTGTACTGCTACTGAATCGGAAGTTCGAGACGAAGGGGGTCGGCAGTTTAGAAATGTTCCAAAGCGAGCTCGGAGCAATGATCGAATTACGCAAGGTTTTCCCTCATAAACGGTTTCAGATGTCGTCGGAAACTTTTGCAAAGTACGGGGGTATTGACTAATTCAGCATCTAAAGCAGGTTTCCCCATTCTTGAATCGAGTTTTGCTCCTCCGTAGCAGAGTAGGAAGGCTCAAGCTGAGCACCGGGCCGGGCTGGTTCCGGTGCATTTTGCCGAGGTGAAACAGGCAAGCTTCCGCGACACCGCCTTGCGCTTGGGCACCGTGCTAAGACTTTAGTTAGCCGCAGATGAGTCTAACCTATCAAAGTATCGGCCATTTGGCACTGGTACTCCGATACCTCCGAGATCGCTCAAGCGTGTCATTTTTTTATCGATAAGAAGGTGTTCTGCGTAGGGCGCGTCCTCTCTCTCAAAAGCTTTACGCAGATGCCCCATTGAGACTTTCAACAAATTTCTGCTACTAAAATATTATATTTGATCAAAAGCATTATATCTCATTGCCTTTTAAGACCTGTTTCTGTCCGTTTCACCTTGTTATTTCTGCGCCCAGTTCCGCCAGCTGCAAACAATATGGCTGAGAAAGCAAGCGTTCTGCTGATAGGCAGCGGAGGTGTTGGTACAATTGCTGCTGTGAATTTGGAACGTGGAGGGTTGGCTTCAGTGACAGCGGTTCTGCGCTCCAATTACAATATTGTTAAAGAATCCGGCTTCGACATTCAGTCCTGCGACCATGGACATTTGGAAGGCTGGCGCCCAAGCAAAAGTATTCGACCTCTCTCAATAAATGGATTTCGAGAACCGAGGACTGACGATGCGAACCACCACCTGAAGTAATCAACAGGATACCAGACGTGGCAAAGGAGAATCTCCGCCCATTCGATTACATTATTTGCACGACGAAGAACCTCCCTGATATTCCGCCCACTGTTACCGATCTGATCAGACCAGCCGTCACCCCCGGCCATACTGCCGTCGTTCTCATCCAGAACGGACTTAATATCGAGAAGCCCCTCCTTGCCGCATTCCCACAAAATGTGATTTTGTCTGGCGTCAGCCTGATTGGCTCCAAGGAGCCCACTCCAGCGAAGATTCTGCACGAATTTGAAGATCAATTGTTAGTTGGGGCTTTCAACAACCCGCAGCTCGATTCTGAGCACCAACAAAGTGTTGCCCGGAAGTTTGTAGAAATATACTCGGCAGGAGGGAAGACCAAATGCGAATATCAGGCAAAGGTGGGCTGGTACAGATGGCGGAAGCTAGTGTACAATGCTTGCTTGAACCCAATCTGTGCCATTACAGGGTTAGACACTGGGCGTATTCGATTGGCCGATGGTGCCATTGCTGGACTTCTCTACCCAGCAATGGAAGAAATTCGTGCCGCTGCAAAGGCGGCTGGACATGTTTTACCTGATGATATAGCACACCAAATGCTCACTATTGAGCCGGTAGAATTATATCTATCGCCAAGTATGCTGGTGGATTCCCGCAAGGTAAGGATATTACAGATTCATGTCTGATAGTTCGTTCGAACGGGCGCTAATTCTTTTTCAGGGAAACTTCATTGAGGTCGAAACCATCCTCGGCGAGCCGTTGAGAGAGGGAAGAGCACTTGGGGTTCCTATGCCAACCCTGTCCGTGCTCTATGAGCTTGGCCGTGCGATACAGTGGGGAAGGAAGGAAAGTCGAGGCATGGTCTCGATTCCGCCAAAGCAGGTCCCTGGCGATGTTTGAGGGGGGCACGCGCGTACACCAAACATCACTGCTGGCCAGGTCATAACCATCAAACGAAATTTCGTCGTCTGGCTCTCAGGATGAACTTCAACCAATAGGCGGATCCGTCAAGACCCATCGACTTGCAATTCATCAATAAAATTGCATGTTTGTGTTCCGTGCTAACGGGGTCTTGCTATTCTCTCTGACCATTGTCTGCTCGCTTATTGGCTGGTGGGAGCACGCTAGTAGGAATTGGCGTTGGATAGGCACGTCAATGGGGACCCTGGTGGTCAATATTTTGACAGTTGCAAATTGACAACCAAGATGGGATTTTGTTCAACTCAGCGGCCGATTATTTCACTTTATCATATCTCTAGAGAGTTGTCGTTAGCAAGATGTTGCAAGCTTCCGACATCAAAAGCATTTACAGGATACTTGTGGTAGACAGATTTCTTCTTACTGAATCAAAAGCTCACCTTCTTTGAAAAAATGACAAATGATATATCATAGAGATCGCAGTTGAGAATCCCAGAGATACAAGTGTCTTCGACTTTATCTGATTGCCGGTCCCTTCTCCTCGGCCTTACTAGAATGATATCCTGAGCGGCACATCATGGGGGACCTTGATGGTCTGCCTTTCTTAGCCATCTACCTCCAGTATTTAAAATATTTTCCACTCCGCAATTTTTGTAGAAGTCCCTTTTTCTTATTCTCTTCTTTTTCAAATTTTTGAAATCCATTGGCCACATTTTTGTTCGTTCACATCATCAAAATGGCCATCAAACTCTCTGAGAAGGTGAAAGCGGCGAAACAGGGCCAGCAAAACCACGATGATGCCAAATCATCGAACATAAAACAGCTACCCGTGACGCTTCTTTCGGGCTTCCTCGTATGTGTAACATAACAGTGTTAGCTAGAGTTCTCAGCGTTAGGTTACTAACTCCTCACAGGGTAGCGGCAAGACAACTCTTCTTGAGCACATTCTCAAGTCACCCGACCATGGCCTTCGTATTGCCGTCATTGTGAACGATATGAGCTCGTCAGTCTATATCCTCAGTCAATGACAGGATAGTTATGAAGCTGACAATTTCATATCTTGCAGAGTCAACGTCGATGCCAATCTTATCAAACACCATGTCGTCTCGCAAACAAAGGAGAAATTGATTCAGCTCCAGAACGGTTGCATTTGCTGTACCCTCCGGGGAGATTTACTCGAGGAGCTTGCGCGGCTTGCAAAGACTGACGGCATCCAATATGTTATAATTGAAAGTTCAGGCATCAGTGAGCCCATGCAAGTTGCTGAGACTTTTACGTCCGAGTTTTCGAAGGCGATGATCGAAGATGGCGCCGAGGAGGATCTCGATAACGAAATTTTGAAAGAAATGTAAGGCTTGTGGCAGGCTTCCTCTTTCCTCTTGCTAACCTGCCCCAGCCTTGATATTGGTGGACTTCATAAGATCGCGAAGCTCGACACGACAGTCACTGTCCTGGATGCATTCAACCTTTTGAACAACTTTTCCACTGCCGACTTCCTTTCCGATCGTTGGGGGGCCGAAGTTGTTCCCGAGGACGAACGAACAGTTACTGATCTCCTGGTTGATCAAATTGAGTTTGCCGACGTAGTCATCGTCAACAAGATGGACGTCGTGAAGCCGGAGACGAAAAAGTCGATTCTCAACATTGTTAAACAATTGAATCCGGCGGCAAAGGTTATCGAATCCACTTATTCCAGGGTCGACGTTAAACAGATTGTGGACACGGGCTTGTTCAACTTTGAAAAAGCTGCAACCAGCGCTGGCTGGCTGAAGAGTTTACACGAGATGACCCAGAGAGAGGTTGGCGGAAAGATGATAATGACTCCCAAACCAGAGACAGAAGAGTGAGTGAATACCTAGTTGTGTTGGGTTTGTTTGCGGTCAATAACTGGTAATACAGATACGGTATCTCCAACTTTGTATATCGCGCACGGAGACCGTTTCATCCAAAGCGACTATTCGAGCTCATCCATGACAAATTTGTCGTCATGCAAGATGCGGCACAAGAGGAAGGCGAGGATGATGATGAGGGCGATGAGGACGAGAGCGAGGACGAAGGCAACGGCGACAAGCCCCAAGAAGACGAAGAGCTCCCTGATGCTGATGGTTCCGAAGAGGAATGGGAAGGGTGTAGTGACAAAGAAATGGATGATGATTGGGATGGCAAAGAATTCCAGAACTTGGATCCAAAGGTAAACTTGACCACTCTATCTCTCTGCACGCAATCTGGTTCTGACAGTAGCTTTAGGTCATCCTTCAAAATAAGCAGAACAGCCCCATTTTCAAAACTCTCCTGCGATCAAAAGGTTTCTATTGGTTAGCGACAAGGCCATTGCAGCATGGTGAATGGAGTCAAGCAGGTGGTATGCTGACCATTCAGGGCGGCGGGCCGTGGTTTTGCATGCTGGAAGAAGGTTAGCATATATCCGTTCGGACAATCACTTCATGAAAGTACTGACTTGGATTTTAGACGACTGGCCAGAAGAGCCCGACGTCAAAAATGCAATCAAAGCCGACTTTGAGGGGCGATGGGGAGATAGACGACAAGAGCTTGTCTTTATTGGTGAAAGAATCGATCCCAAGGCTATCACCGACGCGTTCAACAGCTGTCTCTTGTCTGATGCAGAGTGGAAGAAATGCGAAAAGATTATGGGAAATAAGAAACTGAGTCCGAAGCAGATACAGGAAAAGCTGGGAGAGATCTTCGAAGGTAATTCCAATTTTCCCAGCATATTCGACATCTTTTGAGTACTAACGATGGCTGTTCAGATGGATTTGAGGATTGGCCAGATATTCTGGACGAAGCGGGCGATGACCATGAAGGTCATGGGCATGCCGGCCACCATCATCGCAAATGATTTCTTTTTCCTTGGATAAACAAAAGTTTGAATAAAAGTGCTTTGAAATTCCTATATTGGCCGTGCGACTGAGTCTAAATCTATCTCTCCTTAGTGAACCCTCTTGTACGCTATGATATAAAACTTTAAATAATGAAAAGTCAATTAACGCCGTCATCATGCAAATAATATCGAACTTGTTCGAAACGAGAGAAATTTAAGCATCAGGACCAGTAGGTGGAACACTGGCAGCAAGGTTGCATTGTCGGAAAATGCGGACTTCATCCTCGGCAAAAGCGCCTACAACCGAATGGATCACTCCTCGGTTGTGGAAGAGGACAAGGTCACCCTCTTCCCAGTCGTGGGCATAGACATATTTGGGACTGATACCGGGACGCTGAAGGTCATGAACGATGCGGCGAACCTCGGCCAAATCGTCAATGATGGTGCCGTCCTTGAGATGCAGCTTCTGAACGGCACAAGGGTGAACCTGAAGCGCCAAAGCGCCTGTGACGGGGTTTTTCCACACCATAGGCAGGATCTGAATCTTGCTCTCGTCGATCAGAGGAAGCTCACTCTCCGGTAGCTCGAGGCCCTCCGAGTGCAATCCGAGGCCATCGCTCAGAGCCTTTGCGGACGACATCCAAACATACGGGTGCGGGGCGTACTGCACTTTAGTTGTGCGGACAAATTCCTTCTGCTCCTCGGACAGGATGTCGTACATCTTGTAGCCGCTCGCAAAGGCCGTGGTACCAAGAGGCACTTCCATCTCGTCACCGGTACCATCATCATATCTGAGAAGCTGTCTGCGACCCTTGGGAACGGAGACAGCCATGAGAGTGGTGACAAAGGGTGGGTTGAGGTCGTACAATGCGGCGTCAATGTGCCATCGGTAGAAACGCGTCACGTTGAGATCTTCTTCGATTGGAACAGGATCCTTGTGGAAAGTTCGGTGGTGCGGGTGCTTGAGCTTGATATTCTCGAGCCCCTCAAATGAAGGAACGTGACCATTGCCAATGACCTGCACCTGAGGTTGGTGGGGAATGGTCTTGAGATCAGGGTGTAAGATAGATCGCTTGACGTCCAAGGTTTTGCCATGACCGTAAGAAGTCGAGCTCTGGTCGAAGCGGTTTGTCAATTCGTATTGTGCCTTGGGTGTTAAAGCGCCCTGGCCTTTGAAGATGACGACTTGGTGATTGTACAGGGCATTGTGGATAACTTCGAATTGCTGGTCTAGAGCAAGATACGCATTAGACAAAGATCAAGGATGAAAATTTTGAAGAATAATTTACCAGAAAGGTTATTCAAGTCAGCTCCACGAATTTCTGCTCCAAGACCAATCCCAGTCTTAAGGTCTGAAGCAGGAAGAGGGTGAACGGTTGGGAGGGTGAGCCCAGGCATGTTTTCGAGTAATCCTCAAGGTGGATAGTCTAATATGCAATTCTGATCTTCTGAATGCCAGGAAATCGACCTTTGAGCTGATAATTCTCCAGACATGGCGGGCGGTTGCAATATATATACCAAAGGGCGGCCTGTATCAAAGGATCGAATTGCTTCACATGAAAGCGGACAGCTGAGCAGGATAACAATGTCGCTCGGACGAGATTTAGATCTCGTCCGAGCGAATAAACTCGCGAGGTTACGGCGGACTGTTAGTAACAGTTATGCAAAATCCTTAACTCTGCTAGCTCAACGGAGAAACGATTGGAATCCAGGATCCACGAATTCAATTCTGCCTGAGAAAACTAAAAGTAGATTATGTATACAATTTACTGAAAGTAGGCTCTTCATCAAGATAGCTGATACCTAAGATATATTCTCTAATTCAGTCATAATTTTTCCTAGTGCACAGTTACTCTCCCATATGACTTGACCCGCCATGGGTGCGGAAACACCCGCAAACTTAGATCATAGCCCATTCGTATCCGCAAGCATGAAATAAAATACTACCACTGTCATCGTCTAAACAGGAATAGGATTACGAAGCTGGATTGTCAAATGGTTGTATATTGATACAGGGCTTTTACCATGGAGGACAGCTCAGAGGAAGGGCTTCGAAGCTTTCTTCCAGCATCGTTTGGGAAACAGGCCAGAACCGCGAATATTGATGCCCAGATCGACCGAACAAAGCGACAGGCAGAAGATGAAAGTTCAAGGGACCAGTCTGCCCGCGCCAGTTCTGCATCTTCTTCAGATGACGATTCGGAGTCTTCAGATGAGGATGACGAATTTCCAGTCTCGCACGAGCTTGTGCTCAAGACTCACGAACGCGCCGTCACCACTGTAACAGTCGACCCCTCCGGATCCCGACTTATAAGTGGATCGACAGACTGCACGCTCAAGCTTCACGATTTTGCATCTATGACACCCACTACGATCCGTGCTTTCCGCTCAGTCGATCCAACAGCATCGAAAACTTCCGCTGCCTCTGAAACGCATCCTATCAACCACATTGCATTCAATCCGCTTTCGCCCAGCCACATGCTGGTCATTCCGGCATTACCGCAGGCCAAGATTCTCAATCGAGACGGAGAAGTGATCAGCGAGTTCGTCAAAGGAGACATGTACCTTCGTGATATGAATAATACAAAGGGCCATATTTCAGAAATCACGACTGGGACTTGGCATCCGACTGAAAAGGAACTCTGCGTCACTGCTGGTACAGATAGCACTCTTCGCATCTGGGATATCAACAATAAACGGTCTCAAAAGGAAGTGATAGTGTACAAATCAAAGGTTGCCGGACAGGCCGGTCGGACAAGGATGACGGCGGTGGCATGGGGAAGCCCTCTTCAAGGCGGGCAAAATGTGCTTGTTTCTGCCGCCTTGGATGGAACCCTTGTAATGTGGGGTGGCAACGGGCCTTTTACTCGGCCGTCAGCTGAAATTAGAGATGCGCACGTCAAGAACACTTGGACTGGTGGTATTGATATCAGTGCAGATGGCAGATTGGTGGTTACAAGAGGAGGGGACGATACCATTAAGCGTAAGAATCACACATATCTTAGAGCATCGCTTCTGGTCTGCTAACTCGTAATCATATAGTGTGGGATACTCGAAAGTTCAAAACACCAATCACTGTCGCCTCGCATCCCTCGACTTCAAGTCAGTATCCGTCGTCTAATATTCAATTCTCTCCTTCATCAGCAAACGTGATTACGGGTTCAGCATCTGGCCATCTTCATATTCTCAATCCAGCGACTCTCAAGCCGGAACTTGTCACTCCAGTAACTCCCGGATCACCATTGATCACAGTTTTGTGGCACGAGAAGCTTAACCAAATAATCACCGGGTCTGCTAATGCAGAAACCCATGTTCTTTACAACCCCAATACTTCATCTCGCGGCGCTGCTCTTGTCATGTCTAAGGCGCCGAAGCGACGACACATTGACGATGACCCTACTCTCACAACGGACCTATCGCAAGGCATCTCTGGAGACAGCATCGTCACACCTGGGGGAATGATGGCCGGACGGAACACGGCGGCCACTAGCTTTGCTGCTAGACATCCAACCATTGGATTGACTGCGTCAGGTCGGTCTCGGGATCCACGGAGACCCCATTTACCTGCGCAAACCCCATTCGCGAAGAGTCAACCAGACGAAAAGCACATTCAAGAACATATTCCTTTGAGCTCCATGCGAGACGAGGACCCGCGAGAAGCGCTTCTCAAATATGCCGAAAAGGCAGAGAAGGATCCTCTATTCACCAATGCATGGAAACAAACCCAACCAAAGACAATATACGCTGACATCAGTGATGACGAAGCTGATGAGGGGCCTGATAAGAAGCGCCCTCGCACATAGCTACGCTCAGCTTCGCAATCCAGAGAACTCGATCTGTTTTTAAGTCTGAATTGGGGGAAAACGGCGTCTTTTTGCGAAAGAGATTTTTCGCTTTTACTCTTTTAAATTACTTGCCGGGCATTTTACTCGGTGCTGAAGAAAAGTCTTTGAAGATACGACACACAAATATTTTGATCGAATCAAGACTGGCAGGGATCCACTCTTATGACTTGCATGTATTGCCTTTGCGCACATTCAATGATGAGGAATAATTAGGCTCAGAGATGGTGAACATGCTATACAGACAAGCGAAAAGGCCGATCAAGCATTCTCATCTCGTTCATGACATTCTGGGTGCCATTGATTGGAGCAAAAGTCAACAAATCAATTGCCAGTCATAGGCTGTTTCGCCGATCTAGGAGCTCTACCCTGAACGCTGGTGGCGAGTTAGATAAAGGCGTTCGCGTGCCAATTGGCGCTAAATAAGCCGATAGGAAATAAACTTCTCGCCGTTCCTTCCAAAGTCCGTCACCTTGTCAGCTCAAGCGAATCGATCCCGATAAGAGAGACCTAAGGACCTCCCCCAGACTTTTGATATATCGTAGAAAGTCGGGCCAACTTCCCTTTTTCACCTCTGTCCCCACAGTCGCTCCCCCATTGACAGAAGCATTGCTGGTCGTACCCACTGACTGTGTGCGTCCTTTTTTCCAACCTTCACACACACATAGCATGGCAAATGTCGCGCCATCTGGGAGATCAAGGTCGCTTGCCGGGTGCATCACGTGCAGATCTCGTAAAGTAAAGTGTGACGAAACCCGTCCCACATGCCGATTGTGCGCACGCAACAACCTTGTCTGCGGCGGTTACAAGGCGAGAATAGCCTTTGTCACGTATATTCCGTCAAGAGATGATTTCGAGGCGGTGTCCAATACAGACTCGGACTGGCTGGCCGGGCGCAGACGGGTCCTTTATTCAGGTATGCTTATTCCAGCGCTAGTTGTGTGCTTGCCTACGAAGAAGGCAAAAGATTGCTGAATAGCTCTCGTAACCAGAGGATGAACGTGCTGCAATGTCGGCCTCCGTAAGCCGATCAGTCACGAAGCTTGGAATTCAGCAGGTGTTGGAAGACTTGGAGTCCGATTGTCTCGGTCTTTTGGATCCCACGGAAATCTACAAAGGCCCCTTTGGTGCCTTTCGACTGCCTCGCGAGGAGGCCGTGAAGAAGCAAAACGGAATTTCCCTACTATGCAGTACGCCCAGGTCAATTGAAACACTATCCGAAAGTTCTCTACCAGCCAGTGGGACTCCAGAATACATTCGCGCAGGCCCCGAAGCCACTGGATGCCAGCAAGAGCAGCATGACGAGCATTCGCTGGTCGATGAGCTTGACTTGTTTGCTGCTGAGTTTGATCCACTATCTACTCCGTCACACTGGGACTTGGCAACAGAAAGAGCGGTCGCGGACATTGCTCCTCTCCAGATATCACCCTTGAGCTACAGCGCCCTACATGAGGGAAGCGTTGCCCTGATTCGGCATTTATTTGAGCACTACAAATCACAAGCCGGCAGACTGTTCTCTCCTCTTCTAATTCGAAAGTCTCCATGGGCTGTCCTTCATCTTCCGTGTGCATTAGCTACGTTTTCAGAGTTGACCCTGTGGAACACGGCAAGTCCTGTGCGATTGGCACTCTTCAATGCATTACTTGCCGTGAGCGCATTTAATTTGGACCGGATTCAACTCTATCAGATGAGCGCGACAAATCGCTGGTGGGTTCTGGCTGAGGGTTTCAGAAAAGTCGCACAGAAAGAGCTCCAGAGCTGCTTGTCGCTAGAACCGGCAAAGTCAAAAGAGATCAAATACAAGGAGCAGCTGATGGCGCTCTTGACCATGGTTACGATATCAGTAAGTTTTGACTTTGAAATTACCTTGTGAATGGCACTCACGATTGTTCAGGTCACTAGTGGTGAGCTTCGTGACGCGAGATACTATCTCCTGGAAGCCGAAAAGATCATTTGCGAGCGGGGCTTACCCAAAACCACCAAGTCAAGAAAGGTGGCTATGCTTCACCATATCTATGTTTTTCTACGAGTCATCGAAGAAAGCACCTTTGTGTACCCTAGAGGCACCTGGTGTAGCCCACCGATCGGATCTACGGCTGCCGATAACCTCCACTTGGCTCAGTTCCCCTCGTTGCAGACTCACAGTTTCAGCCTTGGGCAAGATCTCAGCGATCTTTGTGGACTTGATTTTGAAACTGAATTGATGGGAGAAAGGGAAGCGAGCGAAAATCTCTTTGCCGGAATATATGGTATCCCAGAAAGCCTCCTGTCGTTGCTATCTAAGACAACATGTCTTGCCAACGAGATTCTGGCAAACACCGATTTGCAGCTTCCGATTCCGTTGGATCTTATCGAGAAAAGCAAATTGCTCGAAAATGAAATTGTCTCTCGACAATGGGAGGCTTTCGAAGAACTGTCCTCGTGCCGCGACGAGTCGCAGGATTTACCAGCAAATCGAACAATCATGCATCATATGAACAATGCGATCCATTCTGCGCTGTTGGTCTACTTTTACCGGAGGGTGTCGAATCTTAATCCGATGATCCTTCAGAGTCACGTGGACATCATCATCGCCTCTCTGTGCCAATGCGAACAGGAAATGACAAACGCTAGCATTGTCAACTGTGGAATCCTCTGGCCAGGCTTTATTGCGGCGACTGAAGCTCTAGGTGAAGGCCGTCAGAGAGAAATCTCTCGGTTTCTTCGTGCTTCAGCCCAAACCAGCGGCATGAGACATTTCGAAGTCGCTGCTGACTTGGCCGAGGAGGTATGGAAAATCCGACGTGAGCAAGGTTCGGATGTCAGCTGGGTGGAGATTGTGCGTAATCGCAGAGTGCCACTCGTCTTAACGTGATCATTTTTTTTTCTTTTGGCATTTTATATCAAATCAAGGACAAGGAGGACCGGAGCATTCGGAAGTTTCATAGAGGGTCATGGGATTTATCAAGGATACCAATGGGAGAGATTTGCATGCTATTTGGAAAGTTTTCTTTGATACAAACCCTAGTTCGCAACCTTGTCAGATTTAGACACCACGAATGCAAACTGTATATTGGCATTCTACACTGTCGACAGCCGCAAATAATTCACTGTATCATACCTTGAGGTACAGGGCGCGGATATATTCAATGGGCAATGGATTTACGTGGATAATACTGCTCTGGCCTTTGTAATGGAAGTCTCAGCAATTTAACACAAATCAGAAATATTAAAAGGTGATTTAATAGACAATTCTCAGGAGAAAAAATTGCCATGTCAAATTTAATTTCCACAATTAAAAGCATTCGAAACCCTTTTCTTACAAATATAATACTAATTCTTGCTTAACTTATCAATTGTTAATAATCATATTCCCCGTTAAAGGAGCCCCCTGGGTCAGTTTCTAGTGTCTTGACGGAGCTTCGGCATAAGCGATGCTTGCCGTTGTGCCCCGAGCCAGTTCACAGCAGGAGCTTCAGTCATAGGCTAGAAGACTTGGCTCCACAAAATTCGCCCGACCATGATGGCATCCACCGCCAATCTCACAGGCAACAACAAGTTCCGAACATCCTGACACCCTTCGTCTACTTCACTAAATAATATGCAGCACAGCATGAAAACCTCTTAAATGGCTAGCGGCAGTTTTCACGCATAGGACTTCACCCTGGACATTTTGTCCTGCTTTTCGAAGCTTATTCGGCTGGCGCACATTGCCGCCAACTCCTGCGCGTTTTGTGTACGCGCCTCAAAAATCCATTCGCCGAAGCTGAAGAAGGAACTTCAACTTCCTAGAGAAGGAAGAGAATGCTTATTCCAAGAACCTTGGAGGGGTCAACGAACTCCCACGGTGGGTCAAGTCTGTCGGCGCTTGTCTTCGCGCTGACCGGCTCATCTTCAAACGACGAGTCAGATCTCCATAGATGGTCATCGTTTATTGGCATTGTGACCGCCATCATTGGAAACATACTCATCTCATTTGCTCTCAATACGCAACGTTATGCACATATAAGGCTTGGCAGAGAGTTTGAGGAACGGAGTAGAGCTTGGAAACATGGAAAGAAGAGGAGATACTCACCAGAAAATTATGGATCGATAGACGGGATTTCGGATGGGCAGCAGCGCCATTCTAGTCAGCCAGCTCCTACTTCGTCGTACCGTGATGATCCGGAAGCTGAAGGCCTTGAGATATCTTCTCCGTCACGCCGATTCGGACCTAAAGTACGGGAGGCTCGAAGCTCTGAGAAACTGGACGAACATCTTCCACGAAAGTCATATCTCAAGTCTCCGTATTGGTGGGCTGGCATCATCCTTATGGTCGTTGGAGAAGCTGGCAACTTTCTTGCCTATGGATTTGCGCCAGCCTCCATTGTCTCCCCACTTGGAGTTGTCGCTTTGATTTCAAACTGCATTATCGCGCCCTGCATGCTCAAGGAACGATTTCGAAAACGAGATTTCTGGGGTGTGCTCATAGCTATTGGTGGTGCCGTGACAGTCGTTTTGAGCGCAAAACAGGAAGAGCAGAAGCTAGGGCCGGGCGATGTCTGGCAGGCGATTACGAGGTGGGAGTTCGAGACATATCTTGGTATAACCGTTGCTTTGATTTCAGTCTTGATGTGGGCAAGTGGCAGATATGGAGATAGGACCATTTTGATTGATTTGGGGCTGGTTGGGTTATTTGGTTAGTTTTCGAAATCCTTGAAAAACTAATCTACCCTTCCCAGCAACGCCTTGTACTGATTCTTACCAGGAGGTTACACGGCCCTATCGACCAAGGGAGTCGCTTCTCTCCTTTCATACACCTTTTGGCACATTATTACTTTCCCCGTGACGTATCTCCTTGTGGCGATCCTCATTTCGACTGCCTTGCTCCAGATTCGTTATCTGAACCGCGCGCTACAACGTTTCGATTCGACCCAGGTCATTCCAACGCAGTTTGTCCTCTTCACACTTTCTGTTATCATCGGTAGTTCCATTCTTTACCGGGATTTTGAATCTGCTACACCTTCTAGAATATCAAAGTTTGTTGGCGGGTGCGCCTTGACCTTCCTAGGGGTATATTTCATTACTAGTGGAAGGGTCCATGAAACAAGCGACGACGCAGCTACTGAGAGCGATGAGGAAGAAACCATTGGGCTTGCTCATGAAGTGCCGTATCGGGATGAGCTCGGTATAGATGACGCCGAGAATGGTGGCCAGCCAGATCGAAAGTCGACCGTTCTCAAAACCGATCAAGGCGACACTTTGTCTCCACCGCAATTACCTCGTCCCGCAACTCACGACGGCCCAACTGCGCCTGCAAGCACGTCATTCAAATCCCGTGGAGGATCGCCTACGAGACGGGAAGTTTCACCTCATACAAGCTTGAATGACACTCTAGAGGTTCGATCCTCACTGCTAGATAACCCATGGCAATCTTCGAATGATCTTTTGGTCCCTTCAACTCCTCAGCTATCTGTCCAGGACGCTGTTTCCACCTCCGATCTTCCATCGGCCGTTAACGATAACAATCCCCGGCCAGTCACACCCAACGAACAAAGTACGGGCAAGCAAAAAATATTAGAGTCTCCTGGAGTTCAAAGGCCAAAACGGCTTTCGCGAAATTCAATGTCTCGAATTATGCCTGCTCCTTTGAGTTCGCCTCTTTCTTCATCTTTGAGTGCTGTGGTTGCGGATAATTTGCGAAGAGGCGTCGATAATTCACCTTCGAAACGAAGAACTAGCCGGCCTCGACCCGAAACCTCTGCAGCTACTCTTTCTCGGGGCTCTTCTCGTCAAAACATTGATGTCCCGCTCAGTGGCGGCGAGGAGGACCAAGAGGCCTCTGCACTTGACGCACTAGGTCCACAGGCTATGGCTAGAACCCGGAGCTTGAGCTCGACCTTGACCGACATGCTTCGAAAGAAAAGGTTCAGGAGAGATAGTCAGGTAATCGAAGGTTGAAATGATTCTTTTTTTTTTTTTTTTTCTTTTTTTCAATTCGTTGCAGAATTCCACAAACTACCTAAGGTATGCAGGGAGTGTTTGGCCTTGCTCTTTGCATATCACTTCAATATTCTTCTTGTACAGCATCACTTCCTTATTATTGAGTCGTTCATTTAAAGATACCACAGCAACCATGATTAGCATAGCAGACGCCTTGAAACAGGATCATGTACATATACTTAATGCTTCATTAACTGCGGAAGCCACAACTTACGATTCCAAAAGTTTCATAATTGGACTATTAACTCGATATATTTCTCCCAAGGATTCTGTTTTACCTGTAGACGCCAAGGTAATAATATTCCTAGATATTTAGGTAGGTACTTGGTCAATTGTGATGTGGAAGGAAATTAATTATTCAAAGAATAGTTGATAAAGCCCGATCTCCATGAGAGCCTCGTACATAACCTTCGTCGAGTCGTAATCATTGGACGCTCCGCAGGTCAAAGCATAAAGAGACTATGCTTGATGAAGAAAAAAAGATGTACACTCTAATGGAAAAACTCCACAAATTCACATTATTTCCCTAGTGATGAGAGTCGCCCTTGGCACCATGCGCGTGGTCGTCTTTTAGGAACAGATATTCATAGCCGCAGTATACCGCAAACGCCACCGTTGCAATACCCAGCCCAGGAAAACTCCCTTTGAATCGATTCCATCTCGAAAAAGGGCCTGTATATCGCCATTGTTCACTGAAGGTAAGAAATCAGCTGGCTGTGATGGAGTGCTTTAACGCAGCTCCGATAGCACTCACTATCGCGCCCAAGGATCCTTAGCGGGAGCTCCCGATGAAGCCGCGAACTTGGCAGGATCGAAACCGGTGGGATTGGGATTTCCTCGAGGCGGTGCCATTTTGGAGCTATAAAATTATTTTCTGTGCAGTGTCAATTGAGTTATGCATCGATGGAAGCCCAAGAGCACCAGCTACACTAACTTGCAAATGCAACCGGGTATGGACTTGGTCAAAGGCGTGTTATTGTCCGACACTCGCTATCTTAGGGGCCGCTATCACTATAATTGTGGGGGAGGAGAGACGAGCCAAGAGGAAGGAGGTTGAGTCGTTACTTCGCTTATGTAAGCAGAAGTGGTGGCCGCCAAGTCCAGCCTTGCATAATTGGACATCAACTGCCGAATACATCTATTGACTGACAACTCCACACGTCGAACTGCCAGCGGAACACGAACAGTCCCCCAGGCTCGCGATTGCCACCTGACGCTGGACACTTTCCATTCAGCACGAAATTCATTGTTCATACGCAGCCCCAACACTCGTCTCGAATCGCTTCCGGCGGGGTCGCGAGTAATCCATTGTCAGGATTCACGAATGCTTCGACCGCCGAAAGACTAGCCCCTCCCTTGAATATTCTAGTACATTGTTTCTCACGATGCCTCCAGCCGTGAGCAGATTCGGTCCGCATAATCTCTCGAGTCCGTTCGCGCACCTTCAGCAACCTCATTTACAGCATCATCCTGCCCATGCGCAGACTTCGGCTACAGCTGGTCTTCCTGCCGCAGCATTAGGTGCCCACCCGAGCTTCGCCCAAGCTGGCTCTGCCGCAAATCTTAATCACTTTGCCCCTCCCACAGCAACGAATGGCTTGGTTGGATTTGGTGGGGGTGGCGGCTTAGCGGGCGGTGGAGGGACGGGCCTTGCCAGTCATGCCGCCCAGATGGGTTTCGCCCATGGGGCAGCGCTGCAACAGCAACAACAGCAGCAACAACAAGCACAAGATGAACTCGGAGCAGGCGTCGCAGATGGCAAGGGTGTATCAAAAGGAAGGATACGAGAAGTCTGGAGGAGTAACTTGGCCCAAGAAATGCAGATTATTCGGGGTTTGGTAGAGAAATACCCGTATATCAGCATGGTACATTTGCCTTGACTCTTCACCTTTTGGTTGCAGGGTTGCTCATTTGCATTCTCTTCAGGACACCGAGTTTCCCGGAATCGTTGCCAGACCAATGGGCACCTTCACCACGAAAGCCGACTACCACTATCAAACATTACGTTGTAACGTCGATCTCCTCAAGATGATCCAACTTGGAATCACCCTCTTCTCTCCCGCCGGCGAGCTCCCTCCCGCACATGCCGCCGAGTTATCAACCGTGAATGGTTCTGGTTATCCAAATAATCTCATCCAGTGCCCATGTACGTGGCAGTTCAACTTTCAGTTTACGCTCCATGACGACATGTATGCCCAAGATTCGATTGAGATTCTTCAAAAGGCGGGAATCGACTTTCAGCTACATGAGAAGAATGGCATCGATCCGCTAGAGTTCGGCTCGCTTCTGATCACATCCGGCTTGGTTCTGCTTGACGATGTACATTGGGTCTCGTTTCACTCCGGTTACGACTTTGGCTACCTCGTCAAAATCATGCTCTGCAAGCCACTGCCGGACGAGGAAGGCGAGTTCCGAGAGCTGCTTACCACCTTTTTCCCCTCAGTGTATGACATCAAGTTTCTCCTTAAACATGTGGCCAAGGCTGGCGCTATCAACAACTCTCCATTGACGCCCGCCGCGACCCAAATCATCACTGGTCTTGGCCAGCGATCTGGATTGCAGGATCTCGCGGACGAATTAGGTGTGAAGCGAACGGGCTCGCAGCATCAAGCAGGTTCAGACTCGCTTCTTACTGGCAAGATCTTTTGGGAAATGCGTCGGGCAATTTTCAATGGTCACATTGATGATGGTCTCATGGGCCAAATATGGGGTCTAAATGGAGTCGGTGCACCGGCGACATCTGCCGTGCTTGGAGCCACGACGGGATCGTCGTTTCAAGGCCAATCGACCCCGAACATGAATGGTGCTACCATTTATCTGAACGGTGCCACGCCCAGTACGCCGAATACCGGCCATGTTGGCCTTGCCAGCACTCCCGTGGCACACGTACAAGGAACAGGAGGCGGTATAGGAGCGCTTACGCCTGGCGGCGGCGGAGGTGTCTTTGGAGGTTTCCAATTTGGAAAATAAACCTCGTTCTCGGCTGCAGCAAGGTTTCTCTATCCCGTTTCATTTCTTGTACATTTCCACATTTTTATCGTTTTCCTGGGGTGGGACGCTAAAAGGCGTTGAGGGTGATCTTAAGGACGCTGTAATTAGGATCTTTTCCTCTTGATCTGCTCGAGACCAGGCGTTTTAGATGCGGCGCTATGATATGTTTTGGGTGTAACTTGTACAGATGGTTGTACCTTTGTCGTCATCTTCTCGATAAACATTGAGCAATTAAGTATTATTGAGATTTCAATCATTGCTTAAGAAACAAGCACATGGCTAATGGTGAAGTGATTCCAATGCTTGGAACGCTGTATCGTCTACTGTGTAGAGCCGTCAAAGGAGACAAATGACTAAGATATTACTAAGGTGTCTCACATGCGTGTCGACCAGTAAAGTACGTTTTGATTTGCAGTGTCACATAAGAATTTTGAATGCATGAATTCATTTCCATTGTACTTGGCTGCTTCTATGCTGCCTCATTCAGGGTAGCCCCACTGTTGATCCCTCGGAATTTGTGATTTTTGGTGTTGCAACTCTATTTCCTTGGAACTGGATTGGACTGCCAGAAGAGGAGAATGGATTGGAGGGACATGGAGACTAAACCATGATAAGAAAACGGATCCGAACTCCACAAGTCGGATGCAGCCATATAGGCCAGCTCTTATCGGATGGCTATCAACCACACGGCTGAGGGGTCCCGATTGGACTGGAACTTGGCATGGAGGGGTTCAAGATAATGAGGCATGTTCAAGATATCGAGGGAGGAGGAGAACGGGGAAGTGTTCGACCAAAGAAGTGTTCTTGTACTACATGCTTTCCTACAGGTATATAGCAATTGAAGTTCCCTCGCCTTGGAAGATTCCAAACTGACAGGAAACTGAAGAGCTCCTATTCACGTTTTAATTCTCATTGAGAAGCCCAAAGAGTAGGAGGTAAACGTCCAATTGCTCTGTGACGACTCTCGGTTCTTTGTTATTCAATACATACAAATGGCTACTCTTCACCCTCTTGACCCTCTCACCACCCAGGAAATCGAAAAGGCAGTGGGCTTAGTGAGAAAGGCTCATGGATCTCTTCACTACAATGCCGTCACCCTCTGGGAGCCTCGCAAGGCCCAGTTGATGGCCTGGCTGGCTGACCCAGAGAAGGACCCTCGTCCTCACCGAGTGGCCGACGTCGTGGCCATTGGAAAGGGTAGCAAGGTCTACGATGGCCTCGTTGATCTGAACGAGGAGAAAATCATCAAGTGGGAACTCACAGAGGATGTGCAGCCTCTGGTAAGTCTCTAATTTAGACGGTGATACGGATCCTTGGTGGCTGACGATATTTAGATTACAATGGAGGATTTACAGATTGTCGAGCACGTCGTTCGAAAAGACCCCAAAGTCATTGAACAGTGCGAAATCCTTGGTATCCCCAAGGAGGATATGCACAAGGTTTATTGTGATCGTATGTGGACACTTTTAGATGCCCTCTGCGCGACCTGACACTAACTTCACTGCAGCTTGGACAATTGGATACGATGAGCGATTCGGCAGAAAGATCCGCCTGCAGCAGGCACTTATGTACTATCGGCCACACATCGACGACAGCCAGTACACCTACCCTCTAGACTTTTGTCCAATTTTCAACGCAGACACGCATGAAATCATTCACATCGATGTGCCTCCGGTTCGACGGCCCTTGAGCAAGGCCCCACCGAACAACTATCACCCCGCTTCAATTGAAGAGAAGGGTGGCTATCGAACTGACCTTAAGCCTCTCAACATCACTCAGCCTGAAGGCGTGTCCTTCAAACTCGACGGCCGAACTATTGATTGGCAGAAATGGAAATTCCATGTCGGTTTCAACTATCGTGAGGGTATTGTGTTGAGCAACGTCACTTTCAATGATAAGGGCGAGGACAGACCAATCTTTTGGAGAATCTCCTTGACCGAAATGGTTGTTCCATATGGCAATCCGGATCACCCCCACCAGCGCAAACACGCTTTCGACCTTGGCGAGTACGGTGGTGGCTACATGACAAACAGCTTGAGCCTGGGATGTGACTGCAAAGGCGCGATCCATTACATGGATGCTGCCTTTGTGAACAAAGCCGGCGAGAGCTACGATATCAAAAACGCAATATGCATACACGAGGAGGATGCAGGCATTCTCTTCAAACACGTATGTGCCATCTGCAACCCCTACATGCTCTTTCATCCCAAACTGACGCGATCATCTCTCTTTAGACTGATTTCCGAGACGAATCTGTAATTGTCACTCGTGGAAGAAAACTTGTCATCTCGCAGATTTTCACCGCCGCCAACTACGAATACTGCGTATACTGGATTTTCCACCAAGACGGAACAATTCAACTCGAGATCAAATTGACTGGTATCCTGAATACGTATGCCATGAACCCTGGCGAGGACACCAAGGGCTGGGGCACCGAAGTATACCCCGGAGTGAACGCCCACAACCACCAACATCTCTTTTGCCTGCGGCTGGACCCTAACATTGACGGCCCGAACAATACCGTCTTCCAAACAGACGCTATGAGAGGCGCTGGAGAAGTCGGCAGCGCCGAGAACAAGTACGGCAATGCTTTCTACGCGCACAAAACTCCGTACAAGAAGGTGTCAGAGGGTATTGCCGACTACGACGGCAGCACAAGCAGGACGTGGGATATGGCTAACACGAACAAGCTGAACGCTTACAGCCATAAGCCTGTCAGCTATAAGCTCGTGAGCCGAGAGGTCCCGCCGCTCCTCCCCAAGCCTGGAGGTCTGGTCTGGAAGCGCGCTGGCTTCGCCAGACACGCTGTTCACGTTACGCCATGTAAGCTTTTTTTTTTCCCTAATCCAGAGCTTCGGCTGCTCTGCCTCGTTCGCTCTTGATGTGATTCTAATGTCTGACGATTTTTAGATGACGACGAGCAAATCCATCCTGCTGGCCGCCACGTGCCTCAGACGTCGGGAGAGCCGTCCAAGGGGCTGCCCGAATGGATTGGAGACGGTAGCGCCAGCATCGACAACACGGATGTCGTGCTCTGGCATACCTTTGGCCTCACGCACTTCCCTGCACCGGAAGATTATCCCATCATGCCCGCAGAGCCCATGACCTTGCTTCTCCGGCCCCGTCACTTCTTCCTCCGAAACCCAGCCCTGGACGTTCCCCCCAGCTACGCCAGAACGCCGAGCCAAATCAAGGGCCTATCAAACGGCGTCACGGATGCCACGGACAAGATGAGCACGTTGGCTTTTGAACCCACCACTAATGGAGCAAAGACTAACGGCTCATGTTGCAATGGATCATAAGAGGTTTTTTCTAAACGCTTTTCATTACTTAATTTGAGGAGCTTTTATTTTTCTCAGGATCCTCTGTTTCAGCGATTTCATAAAGTTATGACATGTACATAGACCATTTTACGCATATTTACCGCATTCTATGATTCAATATTATTATTTTTTGGATAATTTCCACAGGGGCGAAACATTAAGCAGTGTTTTGTGACACCAATCATCAGACCTGGGAATGATGTGATTACAAACCCAGAAACCACGAGATGAGCAACATGCATCAACATTGGCACGATAGAAGAAAGTCATACAAGATCAAGGATGCAATTGAAGTTGTACAAAGTGTCTAAAACAAATTCCGCGCAATACCTAGCCGCTGAACAATTGTAACAAGATTCATGATTAACTGCGCATCGCCATAACTTAGAGATACAAGCCCTCGGGTTCGCCTTCGCTCTTCGTCTTCATGACTCTCTCGCGAGCAGTCCTGAAGTCTGCCATCTGCACCCTCATTCTCCGCTCGCGCAGGGCCATCAGACCGGCCTCGGAACAGATGGCCTTGATATCGGCACCCGACAGGTCATCCTTTTGTGCGATAAACTCCTCCAAGTCGACATCATCGCCGAGAGACATCTTCGAGGTGTGCAATGTGAAAATCTTGCGCTTGGTGTTCTCTGTTTACACAGGTTAGCATTCGCAACGTTTCGGGAAACATGCGGAAAAAGGAACTTACGGTCCGGGTTCTCAAAGAGAATCTTTCGGTCGATACGACCAGGACGAATCAAGGCAGGGTCAAGGGTCTCAATCTTGTTGGTGGCCATGATCACCTTGATATCTCCGCGGTCATCGAAACCATCGAGCTGGTTAAGAAGCTCGAGCATAGTTCGCTGAATCTCGCGCTCGCCTCCAGAAGTGGACTCGTAACGTTTCGTACCGATGGCATCAATCTCGTCGATGAAGATAATCGAGGGAGCGTGCTCAGCGGCAACTTGGAAGATTTGTCGCACAAGCCGAGGTCCATCACCCAAGTATTTCTGGATCAGCTCACTGCCGACAATTCGAAGGAAAGTTGCACTGGTCTGGTTGGCAACGGCCTTGGCCAGTAGAGTCTTGCCTGTTCCAGGACCACCGTACAGAATGACACCCTTGGGCGGTTTGATACCCATCTCTTCGTACAACTCGGGATGCAGGAGAGGCAGCTCGACTGCTTCTCTGACTTCCTGAATCTGTTGCTCCAATCCACCAATGTCTGCGTATGACTCTGAAGGTGCTTTATCCAGCTTCATGACTGACACCATTGGGTCGGCATCGTCGGTCAGGACACCAACAACGGAGACGGACTTGTGATGTAATAGGATGCTTGCACCCGGCTCGAGAAGGTCCTTGTCGACAAAGGACATGATTGACACGTAGTATTCAGGGCCAGTAGCGCTCGAGACAATGGCGTGATCATCATCAATCATCTCTTCCAAGGTGCCGACACCCATTGGACTGCCGCGCATGTCGTCGACCCGACCCCTTTCGTCTGCATTTCGGTCTAGAGCATCAAGCTCGCCGCCAGCAGTTGAGGGCGCATTGTTTTGCTGTGTCTTTGCCTTGCGGATTCTTTCCTGGTTCTCAACGTACTCCTCCTCCAAAAGTAGGTGGTCGTGGACACGCTGCATGCGCAGCAACCGCAGTCGGCATCGTGCAGTTGGGTAGACGGACGGAAGTTTGGCCGAAGCATTCGGTCCAGCCTGCTTTCTCTTCTTTCTACCTACACGGGTAGTCGGCTGCGGCGGAGGCTCATACTTAGGCTTATCCTTCTGTATCAGATACGTGAATTAGCATTTGAGCGCCAGCAGTGAAACAACGAGCACTACGGCACTGTGCCGCATCGTCGCCGGGAGGCAGAAGTATGAGTTATCAAAGTACAAAATTCATACCTTCTGGTTGTTCTTGTCTTTGCCGTCACCTCCGGGAGGACCGCCAAGATTCGATTGATTCGCTCCCTGTAGAAAAGATATGCTATTAGCTTCATTTCAAAGCAAGCTCAGGCGGCGTTATTTGTGATGGATTTTGCATACCATGATCACTCGAGGCGCGACCGTTGAACTGCCTGCAACCTATGTGATATAAGGAGAATGTGGAATAGAAAAGAAACGTTGTTTCTTCAAAGATGGATGGATCTTTGATAGGATGACGAAGTGAGGATGGCGATGAGCTCTGGGCCGTCTACTACAATGATGGACCTTACGTACCGCGCAGTCCTCCGTACAAGACGGTATAAGATTATGTAATCCGATAACGGGAGCTTCTAGTCACGTGATGAAATGCTTAAAATGGTCCGTGCTGTTCTTGTCTCTCATTGGTCAGAGAGCTTACCGCCCAGTTGGTGAGAGACACGTCGGGGGAACTCGAACTTATTTGGCAGACAAGTGTAAAAGTGAGGCTTTCTGCCTGCTCGTGTGCTTAACTTCCTTCTCGCGGGGAAGAGCAGAATTATATCCTTAAACATATTTATTCACTAGTAGACAGCTGCCGATAAACTTGGAGGCTCATCAAAATCTCCATATTATATATCCCCCTCTCTTAGCTATCCTCCTCACACTTCCTGGCCCCGCTGCACCCGGGTGACTCAGCTCTTGCCAACCCGACTGCTGAAGCATCCCCAGGTTTTTTACTGACATTCGAGTTGTAGGCTCGGTGGAGGGAAACGATTTATTCGTCCTGGATTTCTTTCTCCCCGTCGCCGTTGGTGCCTTTTTACTCGTCTCGGTCGAGTTTTTCGTCTTTCTGAGAACGGAGTCTATACGTAGAGAGGCGCCGTCGAGCTCTTCAAACTCTTGAAACTTATCTCACTGCATATACTGCTCTTTGATTGCGTCCGATCGTAAAACGCTCAGTTTATTCGGCATGTCGTCTAACCGGGCTCGTCGAGTAGCGAAAGAAATCGCGGACATACGCGCCGATACATCCTCCAACGTCTTCGCCGAACCTCACGGGAATGGTGATGATCTTACCCACCTCAGGGGCAACTTCAAGGGGCCACCAGGCACTCCGTATGAGGAAGGCATATACCATGTTGACATTAGAATACCAACGGAGTATCCTTTCCGACCCCCAGTCATGAAATTTGAGACCAAGGTCTGGCATCCAAACGTCAGCAGCCAAACAGTAGGTTACCTCTCGTGGAATCCAATGCCTCTTGTTAATTTTCTCAGGGTGCCATCTGTCTCGACACACTCTCCTCCGCATGGTCCCCCGTCCTCACTATCAAATCCGCCTTACTTTCGTTACAATCCCTTCTCAGCACGCCTGAACCCAAGGACCCTCAAGATGCCGAGGTTGCTGGCATGCTGATGCGTAATCCCAAGGAGTTTGACCGTGTGGCACGGGAGTGGGCGGTGAAATATGCTGGAGCCCCAAAGCGAGAGCGTGGGGAGGGCAGCGGTGGGGCGACGGGCGAGACCTTGAAGCAAAGAGAGCGCAAGTCAAAGGAAGAGGAAGAACGGGAGCGGCTAGCAGTGTAAGAATTTGTCTTTCTTCCGTGTAGTATCGCTGCTATAAATTGGCTAAATGTTGCGCAGGTACAAGGGATACAACAAAGACCTTATTGACCGATTCGTCAATATGGGATTCGACGTCGACCGTGTGGTTTCGGCATTTGAATATGTGGGAATTGACAGGATGAACGGCGAAGATTATGAGTTAGAAGAGGCCTACATGGGCGATATCACTGCAAGGCTCCTGGGCGAGCCCTGAACACAAGCCTAACGAGCCGATCATTATTACGCATTACCATTCGAAAATACGACCATATCTCATGGAAATATTTCAAGCACATCACTAAGGGCTTACACTTCATAGGTTCAAGCTGAGAGAGGCTTGGCATCGAGGTCGGGAGATGAAATAGGACGGATAATGTACTCATTTTCTGCAATGCACTGAGGCGTTGCATTTCTCTTCCATTGCATATCACACTTTTTTTTATTCTATCAGTCTAAATTTTTTTTATGACTCATCTATTGCCCCTGCAAGTTTAATGGGTAAATGGCCAAATGCCGTGCTAAATCGCTCTGTAGCTGCCGTGTTCACAAAATCCAACATTATTATTATTATTATTTTGTACTCTTCATGGGAAAATCTCGGGAATAACGTGGCGTCGCGTGGACCTGCTTCTTTATAATGTGCCTTACTGGATTCAGTCGTCACTCCGCAAGTACCAATACGCGATGACGCCTCCAGAACGAAACCCCCACTATCGTCATAAGCTACGAGCCCTTTTGAGGACAACCAGAATCGTAAAGCGTGGGGGTATTTGGCAATTGTGACCCACCAGGAAAGATATCTTCAATTCGCAATTATCGATTTATCAGCCCATTTTGGTGAGAGCCATTTCGTTCTTCATTTGTCAGCGAATTATTACAAGAGGATCGCTTCCCCGCAGCCTGAACGTGGGGTCGTCGCTGTCAAATATCTACCTACTTTCTGTCGCCTAGACAATAAAACAAACATTCAACTTCTCCGCAAATCGCAGTCATGGCGCCCAATACTTTCAATGTCGGTGTTGTTGGCTATGGCATGTCCGCCAAGGTGTTCCATATTCCCCTGATTACGTCGCTCCCGGAGCTCAAACTGTACGCCATTGTACAGCGTCATCCCAAGCCCGAGGATGATGCGGAGAAGGACCACCCAGGTATCAAGAGCTACCGCTCCACTGAGGAATTGGTCAAAGATCCCGCAGTGGATGTGGTGGTGATTACGACCGTTCCAGAGACTCATTACTCTCTGGCATCGCTGGCTTTGGAAGCCGGAAAGCATGGTGCGTGAGGCGCACACATACCGTTTCGTCGTTAAATTGTTCTTGGTTAACATTCTGCAAACAGTCGTTATCGAAAAGCCTGTTACATCAACATCCGAAGAAGCTGACAAGCTCATTGCCTTGGCGAAAGAGAAGAAACTTCTTCTTACAGTCTACCAGAGTGAGTAAGCCTTTCAGGGTAATGAGATGATCAGCAGCTAAATTTCACAGACCGTCGTTGGGATGCCGACTTCGCTACCCTCACGCACTTAATAAAGTCCGGTGCTCTCGGCCGCGTCGTTGAATTCGAATCGCACTTTGACCGCTTCAGGCCAGAAGCCCCATCTACCGGAAGCTGGAAGACTCAGGCCGGTCCCGCCAGCGGAGCAATCTATGATCTTGGTGTTCACCTTCTCGATCAAGTCGTCTTCGCGCTTGGCTTACCAAAGAAGATTACTGGATTTGTCGGGATTCAAAGACAGGGTGAGACGGGCGGCTTCGAGGACGCTTGCACGGTTTTGCTGCACTATGACGGCGGCGTGATGGCTACCGTGAAGGCTTCTGTTATCAGCCCCGAAGAGAAGCAATTAAGATTCTGGGTGAGAGGCGACAAGGGCAGCTACAAGAAGGTGTGCATACCAGCTGAACAGAGAAATGTGACACCTCTAACTGCTGATTAGTACCACATGGACGTCCAAGAAGACCAATTGAAGGCGGGCAAGAAGCCTGGAGACTCTGGATTTGCCCTTGAGCCCAAGGAAAACTATGGTTTGTACCACGAGATCTGAATAGAGAGCAATTCTAACTTCTTCAGGCGTCCTGACCTCCGCGAAAGACGGAAAAATTGTCAGCGAGGCTTATCCCACCATCGATCCACCAACGTACGTTGAGTTTTACAGACAATTAGCCCAGGCTCTCAGTGGCCAAGGGGATGTTCCGGTTAAGCCCGAGCAGTCTCGAAACATTATCAAACTGATTGAGCTTGCAAAGGAGAGCTCTCGGGAAGGCCAGACTCTTCCGGCAAAATTGTAGAAATTCTTATGACGAAACCATATAGACGTGTAATTATCGGCGACGCCATTTTTTAATAGAAATACCTGGACCCTATCTATGCTCAGCTCAATTTCTTTCTCCCCACAGCTACATATAGGAATAATCGACTGTAGATGGTATCGCCACCTTTTGACAATTTTTTGACTTCGTTGAGAAATTCTTTTTTCGCTTTGTCGATGGTATCCGTAAGTTCAAAGCAACGAAATGCGGGCTTGTCGATCACAGAGTCAAACCATTCTCCTGCTTCTTTGACCTTGAAGTCATCGCCATCGTAGCTTTCCGTCCTGAACAGGTTGTCAATCACAAGTCCTGCTTCTCTCATCAGTTTTGGTAGTGACTCTATCGAAGAAACCCAGCTCCTGTAATATGCTACTGGCCGTCTCAATTTAATGCCGACCTTTTCCATGATTGACCCGTATATTAAAGAGTCCTCGCTAGGAACATCGATGATAAGCTTCCCACCGGGCTTCAAATATGATGTCCAATGCTTGATTGCCTGTGCCGGATTATCCAGCAGCACAAGAGCAGACGAGCAGGTTATACGGTCGAATCCTTTCGCATTTTCGGGTTGCAATCCAGCAACTTTGTCCAAGTTCCGAATATCTCCCGTAAGAAATCGGACATTGAGGCCATCAGCCGGCTTCTGCCGCGCTACCCAAAGCATTCCCTCACTTATATCGACTCCAACGACTGATCCGTCACTGCCCACTTGCTGAACTGCTGGAAAACTGACGAGGCCTGTTCCACACGCTAGATCAAGGACGGAGTGCCCAGGTTGTATGTCTGACCATTGTACAAAGTCGCGCGCATGTCTGGGATGAAAGGAATCTTCGTATTTGCCGCTACGGGCATTGTACATGTCCTTTGTCGTTTGGACACTGGACATCTCGGCCGAGGGTCCACTCCAGCAAGAAACGCAATTTAGACTCGGTCACTCGGGAAACAGGACGAAGCCCGCATGCGGATATTTTGCTCGACGACAGGGGAGGCTATCGAACGGAGTTGAGGAATTGTAGACACAGCTGCCACCATATAAAATTTCCGCAAAACGTCGGAATTGGTGTTTCATTCATTTTTTTTTAATCAGTGGAATATTTTGAGGGTTATGAGTGATACGCTGTAATGCGAGCATGAGTAGGTGTTGATTTGTAATGCCGTGTTTGGTCATCACCCGAAGAGGCAGCTAAACATCCATGCAAATTTGACGAGGCATCAGGGCTTGTTCTTTGCCCGTTTACTAATTGCATTTCAAATGCAGGGTCCAGTGAAAGCAGATTGGATAATCTCTGTGTTCAAGGCCATGAGGTCATGAGTTGGTGGAGTAGTTATATACATGCTCAGTCATAGCTGGTTCGGCCAAATTGATGCAAAGCCACAAGCATGACATTCCGCAGATTCTAAAATATCTCTTTAAAAATTCTTAGCTACAAATTTATACTACGTAAGGTGGTTTTGCAGCCGCAGTGGAAACAGGCCGTGGAAATAAAACTACGACTACGTAGAAATGCATCGTCCTGCCATACGCCGACATTGCCTCACCAGTTTGGCTGATCATAATGCAAATTATAGCCCTCATTTATCATCAATTAGTCTCGATGGTCTAGTTGGCTAGGGCGCCGGTCTCATAGGCCTGGTATCAAAAGGTACCAATCACGCCGTGATTAGCTTGTCCACAAGCTGAGTGATCCGGAGATCGGGAGTTCGATCCTCCCTCGAGACATTTTTTGCCTCATCTACCAATAGCTATGCTTTCGGAGAATTCTTTTATTCTTTTTTTTTCTCCTATTGTCATCATTGCATTGTGCATATTTCTTTTGCACTTTTTAATCTACCCTTTCTTAGTTGGGATCTTTTAGAAAATTATTTTTCTCATAATTATATAGATCTTGAGATTTGCTAACCCGTAGAAATATTTCAAGGTTGAAGGTCTAGATGTTAGAAACCAATGAAAATACTATGAAATATCGATTTAGTTGTAATAATTGTCACTGGATTCTAATCTTTTTCTATTGTTAAATCAATTTAATTATATCATCATCACATTTATTTCAGTTCACAGCTAATTTGCTCATTCTGAGCCAGGACAGGTAAACAGTTTCGTCACCACCCAACCTCGGAGGTCGTCACAGCTTCAAGCGACATCTTTGTGTGTAGAGTCCACCACATTGACGTCTGGATCTCTCTGTCATCTAGGACGCCGACCATGACAGAAGACGAAGCATACCGCACATCTACGCAATATCGACTATGGTCCTTTACGCCTGAAGCGCTCGCTTCTCTGCGATCCACGACGAATGCGCTTGCTGCGGATCGAGTGCGAATCGCGATAAAGCGGACGCGGGAGGCCAAAGCATTGTCTACAGACACTGGCAGCGGCAGCACCAGCGAGACCGAGACAGCAGCAACAGCGGCAGCCAAGCAGCAAAATGGAAGAGGAGAATCAAATGGAACAGCAACACCTTCTTTCAACAAGGAAGCCGACCAGGAAATCGAATGCCTGACGGTCGAAGAAGAACAGAAGCTGATCGGCTTCTACTGCGTGCGCGCAATGGAGTTGTCGGACTTTTGCAACTTTCCTACCAACGTCAAGGTACGTTTCTGACCGTCTATACCACTATTCTTCCCCGATCGCAAAATATATACTGCTCCACCAAGTCACATATGCTGTACATGAAAGAAACTCAAGCCATGACATTACCAGGCAACCGCCGTGCAATTCCTCAAACGGTTCTACCTCTCCAACTCCCCAATGACATACCACCCGAAATCCATCATGCCGTCGGCAGTCTTCCTCGCCACCAAGACCGAAAACCACTATACCTCGCTGCGCAGCTTCTCCTCGAAACTCGGATCGAAAGTTACCCCGGACGATGTGATTGCGCCGGAGTACCTCGTCACCCAGGGCCTGCGGTTCACATTTGACGTGCGGCACCCGCTGCGCGGACTGGAGGGGGGCTTCATGGAACTGCTCGCGTTGGCAGAAGGCAAGGGTGTTCCGCTGGCGGGGCGAGGGGAGCGACGGAGCCCGCAGGAACTACAAGCCGAGATGCAGAGACAGGTTGGGGCGGAGAACGCGGCGGGTCTGACGGTCCGGATACGCACAGCGCATGGCAAGGCCAAGGAGATACTGAAGACGGCGGCGGTGTTGACGGATGCGTATTTCCTGTACACGCCGTCGCAGATCTGGCTGGCGACGCTGCTGCGCGTGGATGAACCGCTGGCGATGTATTATATCGATACCAAGTTTCCTTTGGCGATTACTGCTAGTAGCGGTAGCGGAGTCCAGGGTGGTGGTGGTGGTGATGATGGTACATCGATGACGATGAATGCGGTGGTGGCGGAACTCAAGGCGAAGCTGGTGACTACGCTACGTGCGTGCGCGACGCTGCTGGCGTCTACGACTGCGACGGTGTCTCCGTCCAAGGAGGAGTTTGCGGAGCTCAAGCGCATTGACAAGAAGCTGTATGCGTGTCGGAATCCGGAGAAGATTGATATAGCGGGTCTGAGTCGAGGGCCGAAAAGAGAGGGTGCGAGTTCAGAAGAGGAGCAGGCGGCGAAGAAGAGAAAGTTCGAAAGGGAAAAGGCAGATCAAGAGGCAGCGGACGTATTCGGGCCAGAGTTGAAAAAGTGATATCCCTTGAGCGAAAGTAAATCTATCGAGCATGACATGCATGGCGTTGGCGTACTTGGGGCACGAATAATGGAGTTTTCACATAATAAAAGCAGACTTTTGCGGACATTTTACTAGCTTCAGCAAAGAAATTATTTTTTAAAATGTCATCAATTTTTAAATTGATCAATCTAAACGCCTCTACTGGGTAAAATAAAACATCCCAATGCGGATTTGTTCAACGCATGATTCTCGGCGCGTGTCTAGATAAAGGGATATACACACGGACGACATCATCGTCCGTGTCGACTTTTAATGAGCAGTTTCTCCAACATCATCATATCTCATGTCTCGAAATAAATTAGACAGCACCCTTCTCAATCATCTTCTTCCGGAGGTGGTTCTTGTATTGACCAATACTGCCGTCCCATCGGGTAACCGTCTTGTTCTCGCAGACCATAATGTCCTTGGCAATCTTGTCAAGCAATCTAAGAGGTGATTAGTAAAATGGTCACAAAAAAAAAAAGCAGAGATTGAGCGCATTTGCTTACCTGAAGTCGTGAGAGACGACAACAACACCACCGCTGAAGGCGTTGATGGCGTCGGCCAAACTGTCAATGGTGGGAATATCAAGACCGTTGGTCGGCTCGTCGAGCAAAAGCATGTTTGGTCCGTCAATGGCCAACAGAGCGAAGACGATTCTGCTCTTCTGACCCTCAGACAGAGTACCCATCAAGGCGGTCTGGGCCTCTCCGGTCAGACCATAACGGCCGAGCTGCTGACGCCAGTACTGGTAGTCCTGAGACTTGAAACCATACTTGTCGCGCACAAAGTCGAGAGCGCACTTGGTGAGATCGAGCTGATCAGCAGAGTGCTGGCTGTAGATACCCAACTTCAAGTGGGTGTGACGAGAGACGTTGCCGGAAGTGGGGGAAAGGTGACCGGTCATGATACGAAGGAGAGTCGACTTGCCGACACCATTGGGGCCGACAAGAGCAGTACGGGAATCCATGTCGACACCCAAGTCGAGATGCTCATACAAGTTGTCCTCGGCCTTGCCAGAGTATGAGAAGGTAACATCATCGAAGGAAAGGACGGGAGGGGGAAGCTTCTCGACATCGGCAAAACGGAAGGTGAAGACCTTGTCCGGCTGCACAGGCTGGATGAAGCCATCGGCCTCCATCTTGTCCAGAATCTTCTGACGAGACTTGGCTTGACGGACAAGATTGGCATAAGTACCGGCGGAAGCAATGAACTTCTTGATGTGCTGAATTTCTTCCTGCTGCTTGGCGTACGCCTTCATCTGGTTCGTCTCCTGCTCGGAGCGAGTCTTGTGGTAAGAGTCGTAGTTACCACCATAGTAGAGGAGCTGCTTCATGCGCATGTCAATCATGTTGGTGCAGACACCGTTGAGGAAGTCCATGGAGTGAGAGACGAGAACCAATGTACGGTCCCACTTCTTCAGATACTCTTCCAGCCACACGCACGCCTCGAGGTCAAGATGAGCAGTGGGGTCGTCCAAAAGAAGCAATGAAGGCTTGACGAAGAGGGCCTTTCCAAGGGCCACACGCATACGCCAACCACCAGACATGTCCTTGGTCTTCTTGTTGATGGTGTTCTTGTTGAAACCGAGACCGGTCAAGATCAAGGAGGCACGGGTGTGGAAAGTTTGAGGGTCCATGGTTTCCATGCGCTGCAACTCGTCAGCAACTTGTTGCATTCAACCGCAAGACAAAAAAAAACGATTTTCGTCTTACCTCATAAAGGTCTTCAAGGATAGGGCTTTCAGGACCCTCATTTTCGAGAACCTCTTCGGCTTGTCTCTCAAGACGAGCCAACTCGTTCTCTGCCTCCCTGACAACCCAGTCAAGGGCACCAAAATCGGTGGGGGGAGCACCTTCGTTCAGAAGGTAGATATCAATGTGTTCGGGGACAGGGAACTCTCGCTTAGAGATGGACTTCAGAAGGGTGGACTTGCCGCAGCCGTTCTCACCCAAAAGACCATATCTTCTGCCATAGTTGAGTTCGAGAGTGCTGTCGTTGAAAAGGACCTTGCCGTGGAAGACCAAGGAAGCGGAAGTGATTTTGGCATCACGGCTGGCAGGCAGAGAAGCCAGCACACCGGTGGTAACACGGTCGGAGATACCTTCGTCGTCTTCCTGCAGGGTCAACTTCTTGATACCCTCAAGCTTCGCAGCCGAGGTTGCTGGCTGTTCAGACTCGGGAAGGGGGTTGCCATCGGCGTCAAGCAGAGGCTCGTCACCGTTGACAGAAGAGGCCTTGGAGGCGGCCTTGGAAGACAGTCTGGAAGTGGTGGTCTTCTTCTTCTCACCACCGTCGGCACGCTTGGCCTGACGAGCTGCTTTGGAGGCTGAAACCATCTTTAATGCGTTGTGGAGTACAAGCAACGAAAGAAAGAGGGAGGAGTAGACTGTGTCGTGGGTGTAGGTTGAAAAAGGCGAATTGGGTGGGGTCGTAATATAGCCTTATCGATTGGCGTGGCGGTCCAGCGCCCTTAAGATTTTTGCGAGGAAAAAAGCTGGAAATGACGTTGTGGGAAGGAGGGAAGGAGGAGGAAAGGAATAAAAATTTGAATGCTGCAAGAGTTCTGCTCTGCAAAACCCCCTCTTTTTTTCAATTATTTGGAAATGAAGATAAAAAGGACGAAGGAGTCTTCGAATGCCTTTGTCGTATTGTTTTTAAAACCCAATCGTAAAAGACTTTTTTTTCTCTTTTCTTTCTTCTTGTTGGCCAACCATGACATCACGTGACGAGTTTGCCACTGGGCACTTCGGTTGTGTGCGGTCAGGGGGCTTGTACCCGCTACCGGTCCCTTTGGCTTTCAGCTTTTCCCCGATGCCACCAAGGCACCCAAGGTTTAACTATAACTCCGAGTACTTTTAGGGGCGAAACGGAGAATATCGGATGAATATCCAAGGATGAAGCTCGGCCGGGGTAGAACATTCAATTTCTGACGACTCTAAATCTCTGATGATTTGAATAGATATTCCACTATCACTCTACAACACAATGTTATATCTCCTCCCTTATACACCTTGTAATCTCGATGCCATCCTGTGGGAAAGGTCAGTCGAAGCTTGGCTAGCCCAGCGAGTCATTATGACTTACAGGCTCTCCGGTGGGTTCATAACTTGGCACAAGACGACTCTCGTAAACAAGCTTTGGATTCCCTTTGACTGAATCGTCAAATTTTTCGTTGCCTTCGCGGTTCGAATATTGATGTGATGTCCTCTCTGCAAACCCTGCATTGAAATTCTGCATAGTCTGGCCACTTTGAAGTGCGCCCAGTTTTGCTTCAACAGTACTACGGACATACTCCAGGTATGGTGGATTGCCCGGCTTGATGACGTTGTCGGCTGCTAGGATCGAGCCAGGTTTCACGAGGCCAAGCTCCTCACACAGCTTGAGATCAGTCGTATAGGCAGGTTTGTAATGATCCAGAAACATCAGGTCAATATGTTGCAGTCGACGCTCCGAATGCAATCGCCGCAACGAATCAGCGCTCGGCCCAACCACAACTTTGACGACATCACTCAAACCCGCGAGGTCGACAAGTGACAAGATCACCGCACCAAACACTGGATCTCGCTCAAGGCTGAAATACCGCTTGCCTCCAGCTTCACGCAAAGCTTCACCAAATAGAATTGCAGAGTAACCCACATAGCCACCTAACTCAACCATGACTGTCGGCCGGCTTTCTGAGATGAGCCTTGTCACAATTTTGCCCTTATCCTCCCCCACATTCATCAGATATCTTTGGGTTCGGGCGTATTCGTCGATGACTTTCAGGACTCCTTTTGGCTTTCCCCGAATCTCAGATACAGACGGATGATTGTATACAAATCGAAGCAATTCGGTCTCCCGACCATCATCAAACTTCCATGCTCGTCAGCTTCAAATCATTGCCAAAATTTCAAAGACGCACAACTCACAAAGCTACCGGTACCCTTCTTGACGTATGCCTTTTGTGAATCAAACGAAGAGGTCTCGCTGGTTGACGCAGCCATACTGTTTATGCAAGTTTGGTGGATAAGCTTGAGCCAAAATTATTCTTGAGAAACAACTACTGCTAAAATATCCGAATAGTAAACCCAAGTGTAGGGCAAAACATCACATGACAGAATGCTACTAGACGTATGTTTACATTAATCGAGAAGATGCTCCCTTCTCAAACCAATTGGCATTGACAAGACATGGTGAGCTGGAGAGATTGTTATGACTCCAGGAAGATTGTGGGGGAGTTGGAGAGATCTGGACACTTAACCAGATTTAGGATAGCGAGGGGCGCCAAGAGTGACGGTCAAGATGATGATTTCATCCTTAATTCAGGAACAACACTCCTGTCTTCTCACCACCCCAAAACACGGCTCTAAATGTTAATGTCATTATGAGCCCAAAATAAATAGAGCTGTCTATTACGTGATTACACTGCCTTGGTCGAGAGCCTCATAAACTAATGGACTACGCAGATGGTACAGGGATCTTCGGCCATGGGTTGCCCCAGCGAGGTCGTCTCATGAAGTCACGTTGCTCTATGTCTGGCATAGTATCACTTATTATACAAAGGCGCCCCTGGTTTAGCACAAATTGGTGCTTCGACGGTTCATTCTGAGTTGGATCTACCCGGCGAGATCTGACATGGCCTGATCTCCTTTCCAAACCGATGGCGCAATTCATCCCCTTGCGGGGTTCAAAAATTTGAGGTGACGCCAACGATTATCCCATGGGGAATCAAACGCAATTCATGATCTTGCTTCCTTAGCTCACATTGGCTCAAACTCAACATGGCATGCCTGTTGCGCCTTCAGTTCAATGACCTTTCCAACTACACCAATCAGAACCATAGCAGTGTTCACATGTGTGTGCTACGCTAGGAAACAGCGTAAAACCTAGTATCCGAGTCGTCCTGTGCGTGACTGGATTTGCAAAATGGAGGCAGCAGCTTATACAGTTACGGGAGGGCACTTGGTGTAGCACGAGCTTCCGTGCTCCAAGTCTGCTGGTCGCAGAACCTTGACTTGATTGCGGGGAAATGGCCTTGTTTTCCCAAACTTTCGTTTCACCATTCATGGCACTAATTCTTTGTCAAAAGAAGCAGATTCGGATGATGCGAGTGATGTGGTAATAGACGCTCGAATTGACGTGTGCTCCCACATTTCTGGTTCCCAAGGATGAATCTTTCATGATTTATAAGACGCGCCTTTTCATTGAGAATTTGTTTCATTTGCAAACGGATCGCATATTTCGCTTCTTTCTTTATGCACCATGTCAGACCTCAAGGCGTCAGTTACAGCGACCAAGGCTGGCTTTCATGTTGAAGGCTTCGAGAAGATTTCGTACGATTTCACGTTCCTCGATGGCGTATTTGATCCTCGCAATGAACATCTTGCCAACCTATACAAACAGTGGGGCCGAGCTCTCGCTGTCATGGACTTGAACGTCCATAACCTCTATGGGCAACAGTTGGAGAAGTATTTTGATCACTATGGACTTACACTCAAGGTCCACAAGACGAGAATCGGGGAAAAAGCGAAATCGATAGAAACGTTATTGAGCATTGTCGACTCCATGAATGAATTTGGTATTTTCCGAAAGGTAAGTGTGTCGTTCATTGGCAACCCAGAAGGTCTGGAACTAATTAAACAAGGAACCAGTATTGGTTGTTGGCGGAGGCCTGGTAACCGACGTCGCCGGGTGAGTATATCTATTTACTCTCTCATTCGACACGCTTGCTGATAATGTATGTCGATAGCTTTGCATGCGCTGCCTACCGCAGGAATACCAATTACATTCGAATTCCTACCACAGTGATTGGCTTGATTGATGCCTCGGTCTCAATCAAGGTGGCTGTGAACTATGGGAACTACAAGAATCGTCTAGGTGCATATCATGCTCCAATGCATACCTTCTTGGACTTCACTTTCCTTCGGACGCTACCAACTGCTCAGGTTCGGAATGGCTTTGCTGAGCTTATCAAGATTTCTACTTGTTCGCACCTACCGACCTTTGAGCTTTTGGACAGATTCTGCGAGGAAATTATCCAAACGAAATTTGGTCGAGCAAACGGAGCCTCCCCAGCAGTGCGCGAAGCTTCTGATATGATAAACCGCGATGGAATCCACGAAATGCTGAAGCTTGAGACTCCGAATCTTCATGAGATTGGATTGGACAGAGTGATTGCGTATGGTCATACGTATGGCTAAACTGCTTGTCCTTGGTTTTCATCAGCTAACATGTGTAGATGGTCTCCGATGCATGAACTTGTTCCTGACGTTCCGTTGAGACATGGTCACGCTATTTCTATTGACATGGCGTACTCTGCGACGCTAGCGAACAGTCGAGGCCTCATTTCTGACGATGAGCACACCAGACTTTTACGCCTGTTCTCGCGCGCAGGGCTATCAATGGACCACTTTCAATTCGATGAGCAGTTGCTCGAGAAAGCGACCGCAGCTATCCTCCGTACACGAGATGGGAAACTGCGCGCTGCTGTACCACATCCACTCGGATCATGCATCTTTTTGAATGACGTGTCGACCGAGGAGATGAAGGCAGCTCTGAGGCGCCACAAGGCTCTCATGAAAGAGTATCCCAGACATGGTGAGGGTATCGAAGCGTTTGTGGACGCGAGCGATACAGGTTACGCTGAGGATGGCCAAGTCGAGACGTCTAAATCCTCGATTGCCGCAGCCGGCCATGACGGAATCAATGGCATTGGAGATCAATCCCATAGTTCCGCTGACGGCAATCTCATCGACGGCCAGAAGATTCCGAGAGACAACGTCATCAATGGTGGGCCGTCTCGTGGTTTGAACAACCCTATCAAAGATAACATCAAGGGGATGCGCCCGGAAACGAAGAGCTTGACAGATGGAATCAAGGCGTAAATCACCATGTAGTAGTTGTATCGTAATGAAAGCACGAACGCATATTTATCTTAGAGAGACGTAGAAAAAGACAAAAAAAAAGTTAACAAAGCTATCGATTACTAGGATATACACCGAGTACTTCCAAGCGATTTAATGTGCGTTTGTATAGAGAATAGAAATGTTGTCCATATCCTCAGTCTCGACATAGAATGATTTCTTCCCAAAATCTACTGGAATACCTATGCCTACCAGATGCACTGATTTGTAGTCATCCCCGCAAGATACTATATATATTGCGGTGTGTTGGGTTCGTCAAAAATTGTCATGACGTATTACACCTCAATGCCACGTCCATCCTTTCAGGTAAACAACGTTTGCAATTTCTTGGTTATATCTTCGCACCTGAAAGTCCATATGTAATCTGCAGCTTAGAGCGCAGGTTCATGAAACAAAGATGCTGTCGCACGACTCGCCATGGCATCGACATTATTTTCAAAATGCCGCCCTGATATTCTTGAGTGTTTTGTTTCTTCCTTTCGATACTTTTGTTCTATTTTTGAGCTATGCATTGCATTTCACCTTTACGTTTGTTTTGAGGCGCAATGAAGGCAAAAGCAAAGTCCCCTCCGTTCCTTGTACCGTACTTATCACCGGCGTTGGCATGGCAAAAGGATTGGCACTCGCCCGCATCTTCCATCGAGTCGGACACAAGGTCATTGGAGCGGACTTTGCCTCAAATGGCATATCGGCCAGTGGCAGATTTTCAAGGGCTTTGTGTGGATTCTATACGTTGACCAAGCCTGTTGACAAGGCCAGCTCAGAACAGTATGTGCAGGATCTTATCGCAGTCACAAGGAAAGAAGGGGTAGATCTTTGGGTGAGCTGCTCTGGAGTTGCGTCTGCTGTGGACGATGGGATTGCAAAAGAAGTGGTAGAGAGGCATACCAAATGCAAAGCGATTCAGCATGATGCCGAGACTACACGAATGCTCCACGAGAAGTACACCTTCATCGAGGAGACGAGAAGCCTGGGGTTGACTGTTCCAGAAACGCACATTGTGACTTCTCACGAGAGTGTAATGGCTATTCTGCGGGATGCCGACAAGAAGAGATATATTATGAAACCAGTCGGAATGGACGATGCGAATCGAGGAGATATGACACTTCTTCCTCGCGCTACAGCAGATGAAACAAGCCGGCATTTGTCGAATCTCGCCATCTCGGAAGATCAACCATGGGTGCTGCAGCAGTTTATTCGCGGAGGAGAGTATTGCACGCACGCACTAGTCATCAACGGCCATGTTGAAGCGTTCGTTGCCTGTCCATCCGCAGAGCTGCTCATGCATTACGAAGCCCTCGATGCAGGCTCGGCGATAAGTCAGGCAATGCTTCGGTTCACTCAAGAGTTTGTTCGGAGAGCAGAAGGATCCATGACAGGCCATCTTTCGTTCGATTTCTTGGTTCAATCTAATGTGACGAAGAAGGGCTCCGAAGATATTTTGTATCCCATTGAATGCAATCCTCGAGCGCATACTGCTGTTGTGTTGTTTCGGGGCTTAGACACCAAGCTTGCTGAGCGGTACCTGCTCTGTCTTTCTCCAGGCGTCGTTTCATTGAACGGCCATGATAATACACCTCTGATTCCACGTCAACCGCTACAATATTATTGGGTTGGCCATGACTTGGTCAGCTTGATTTTACAACCTTTATTTCGCTTTTCGACAGGCACTGCTCGTACGGGCGACACGTTTTATGGCGTTGCTCTCTTCTTGCAACGGCTGGCCACGTGGAAGGACGGCACGTATGAAGTTTGGGATCCATTACCATGGTGGTGGTTATACCACGTGTACTGGCCGGGGCAGTTTCTGAGCGCCATCCTGCAGCGGCAGAAATGGAGCCGGATTAATGTGAGCACGACCAAAATGTTTGCTTGCTAGCGGCAACATAGCATGTCATTTGATAAAATACATGTGTTATCACTTCATTTTATGGCATTGAGGACTAGAAGGAAGCATTGCACATAGCAAAGCCGGGTTATTCATGACATATTTAGTGAAGCATCAAAAGAAGTAACCATAACCGTGAGTTGCTCTGTGATTGTTGACAGGCTTTGGGTGCTGACATCATGGCCTTTAGAGGACTGTCGGTTACCAGTTCATGTCGAGTCTAGCCGGATTAGCGGAAATGAAAACAACAGCCAGTCAAGGGTCCTCAGCAGGATAGAACCGAGAGAGATACATTGTGTTCTGGATTGAAGGGCATAAAACACACGGCTATAGTTGAGAGCTGGGCGAATGATATATTCCAATTGGCGAAACACTCAAGCACAGCGAAGAAGAAAGTGCAGGGGGGCATGTCATCGGGGTGGCTGATGCTATTTTAAACCACTAAAGGCTGAGGGAGAAAGATGATTGGTTGCTATGATGGATCTGCCTGACAACAGTGACCACCAGCTTGCGCGTTGAGAGGCTGCGGACGTGAGACCCAAGTACTCAGCATCAACACAGCCTCTCGCCGTCTTCTTTCTTCTTTAATCGGCACAGCACCCGTCACGAGTCTAATTACAACAATTATCCTACTTGTACGACTACAACGACGGTCGGCTTACACGGGAACTACTGTGCATCTGCAACCCTCCAAATTTCAACCATCACCCGCTCAGCCTTGCTTGACTGCCTCTTCGTTACATATACTGCCGGCTGTCCACGTCTCTGAACTCACATTTCATCGAACAAATTCAAGTTCCTAGTTTCATTCCACATCACTCCGTCGCGATGCGGCTACCCTTGAGCTATGTGCAGCTCAGCAAAATGGCTCTGCATATTGCGCAGGCCGTCATCATCTTCGTTTCGTGGGCCGTCACAATAGCAATTTTTACGCAGAGTAGTACCACCGACGGTCGTACAAAATGGTTCTTTACTCTCGTACGCAGTGTCTAGTCCCCTCAAACTCCAAACTTGCTGCTAACGCCATCGTAGTGTTGGTTGAGCATCCCAGCGCTCATCTATTTGACCATGGTGCCCATGTGGTCACGAGCGAGGCGATTCGCAAACGCATACGCTTATGCAGCGATTGATACAGTATTTGCCGTAAGTACGATTCTCTCGATCACAAAATTATCGTCGCTCATGTTGCAATTTAGATCTTCTGGCTGTCGGCAGCCATCGCAGTCGCAACCTGGAACAGTAGTGGCGAGTCTGAAGGAGCCAAGAAAAAGAAGAAGAGTGATGCCAGCTGTGCCACTTTTGCATATGGCTCCGAGACCACCTGCAAACTCAGCAAGGTCACTGTGGGGTTCGGCGTTGTAGTCTTGTAAGTCTTCGAAGCAAGTCTCAGAAAATGCAAGCCGAGCAATTTGTTGATTACTCTTTTGTTAGCATCTTCTTCGCGGTAACGGCTGCGATATCAATTTATGGCGCCATTTATTATCGCAAGAACGGCACCCTCCCGGGCGACGAGCCCCAACCCCACGATCCCAACTCGATTGAAAACCAAACAAAAGACGCATTCTCCACCAATACGTTTGATGACGATGACAATGACATTATCAAGCCCGGCCACGTCAGCGCACACGAAGGAGACGACTATGCACCTCTGCACCAGAATGAGGCGGACGACTACCAACTGCCAAGTCGACGACCGGACTGGCAGCCAGAGCCATACAGCGGCGGATACGGAGATCTTCACTCGGCAGAGGAGGACCGAATCCGTGGAGCCGCCAGCGTCGAGCCCGATGGCTTTGCGCCCAGTGGACACGTCCACTTTCCGGATGCCGACTATAGCTATCGCGGAGCGGGAGGAGCCTGATGACGCTACAAACAAAGAAACAATCTAGCAGCAGCTGATACCCTCTTTTCTGAATATCGCGGAATATGTAAAGAATGCGCCTTGGTATTTGATGTTTGTTTTTCAGCACAGCCATTTGATATTAGGTTCAGACAGCGGAGCATGTCGTTGTAGCAGAGCATGGAAAGGGTGTGCACAAACCAGCCAGTAGTGACGAACAATTACGAATAGATAGAATGATAACTGTCAATATATGCATTTATTAAAATTATTAAAAATCCCACTTGTTGATATTCATATGTGTACTGGATGAGCAATTGAAAGTGTCGCGGCAAAACAGCCAGCCGTGAGTTTGGGACCGGGACCATTCGGGGAGGTCGGAGATCACAAAGTCCGCCCCGACCGGCCTACCTGACAGTTGGAGCATCACCAAGCAGTCAACTCGAACATTTGTCCTTTTGGCCGCTTTGTTCTCCACGCTCCTCCACTCCACAATATCCACCACACTTGCTTTACGCCTTTACTCGATCATTAAATCTGGATAGCCTGGATCGCCGTACTCGGCACTTTTCGTTGCAGGACGTTTCAAACCAACGCCTGTCAAACCATCCACGCACCCGCCTCCATTCGTCTCCTGAACGCTGAGCTGTACTCTCACAACATCTCGATTTCAAATAACAGAAAACACATAGCAAAAGTACCAAAACCAAGTCGAACTACAACCTAACAAAACATTCCGATCGACCCATTCTTCAAAACCGATATCTGAAAAGCAACCCAAAAATGGACGAAACATTCACCCTCCTCCCTCTACACCTCGACCCGTCCAGCAAAGCCATCTCCACCTCTTCCACCTCTTCCACCAGCTCCTCTTCCGCCCTAACCACCGAGCTCGCGACGCTCAACGCCCTGCACCGCACGCTGCTGAGCCTCGAGACGCCCGGAAAAACCCCGCCGCCTCCGATCCCCGTGAACCCGAAACGCAGCGCGGCGATCACGAAGATGCGGGAGAACGGCAACGCGCATTTCCGCAAGGGCGCGCACGCCGAGGCCGTGCGGCTGTACACGTTTGCAATCGACATGGCGCTGGGCCGGCCGGTGTGGGAACCCGCGGGGCTGGTGCGGGAAGAGGTCGCGGGCCTGTTTGCGAACAGGGCGGCGGCGCAGATGGGTCTGCGCAATTTCCCGGAGGCGGCGGTCGATGCGGAGACGAGCGTGGAGATGAAGAGGATCGGCAATGCGAAGGCGTGGTGGCGCCGAGGGAAATGCTTGGTGGAGATGGGCCGCCTGCGGGAGAGTAAGGACTGGTTGGGCAAAGCGCTGGAGGTGGAGGGCAAAGAGGCGGAGATTGTGGGGCTTTTGGCGGAGGTGAAGAAGGAACTGGAGAGACGGGGGGAGTAATTGTGGTAGTGTGGTGGTAGTGTGGTGGGATGATGGGATTGTGGAGAGGGAACTGTGGATTGATGGAGAAGTGCGGTGATTGACAAGTTTCTTTGATATATGAGCTTGGAAAGAAACGGGGTGGTGTTGGCTGTTGCTGTGCAGGACGAACTCGGGATGCGTGGATGCGTATTTCTTTATATCGACTACGCGTACACCGTTAATACGGCTTCCGTTTGCTGAGTTGGATGGCACCGTGCACCGGGCACCGCGGACCGTGTCTGCACTTACTCTGCGCGAGGAAGCATTACCTACCACATCTTCATTTCTGCTCAAGTTGGGAACAGGATCAAGGGACTGAACATTTGCATTACATCTGGCGTATTACGGCGAACTTAGAATCGGACATACTTTTCATCCCTTCCTCTCTTTCCTTTACTCTTTTTTCTTTGAATGCACTTGGGCAGTTCAGCAGTCGTGATCAAAGTAAATCAAGTACATTTTACTGTTAAACAACGCGCAATAAGCTACCGCTTCTACCGAAACAATCTAGTGATATACTCTAGAAAAAAAAGGATAAGATAAACGCTGCAATGGAGGATGGTTAAATGTGGAACAGTATAAACCAAAAGTTACGGAAAAGTCTAGTTTGAACAAGGACATGTCTCGATCCAGTTCCAGATCCGCCGAAAATGCTCATCGTCTATCGGGTTGACAGTGCGCATCGTATGTGAGATCTTTTCTGCGCAAAGGGTATCGAAGTGTGGAGTCTCCCGTGGTTCGGGGTGTTGAGGAGCGGCGTACTGGGTGTATTAGCTTCCACGACCCAGAAAGAAGTTTAGGGATAAATGTAGGGACAGGGACGGGAATAGAACAGGAAGAGGGAGAGGAATAGGAACAGGAATAGAAAAAGAAAATAAGGGTGGAAAGGAATAGGAATAGGGCAGAAATACCAAAGATTTCCACAAAGGGAGCAGCTTCCGCGCTGGATGACTACCACGACGACTGGACTCTGTATGCTCATCACCCTGTTCTAGCCTACGCACCCATTCATCTGGCGGGAATGCTTCAAACACGACTCCAAACTTTTTCAGCCATGCTAAGAGATCGGACCAGCGCGGATGTTGATGTTTGTTGACGATGTGGAATACAGGGACTTCTGTGCTCTGGGAAAGGCCGGTTGAGAAGGAGGAACTGATATTCACAATTGCCTTGGCGGCGGTGTCTAGGGGGAGCCAGTCTAGAGGCTACAACATCCATGGTGGTTAACCGCGGGGAAATCATTTAGGAAGAAGCGCAGAAGATACATGGAAAATGGTCAGAGGAAGGAAGGGACATACCTGATCAATAGCAGGCAAACCCCCCGTCACGGCGACAGAGCTGAGCATTAGCGGCCAGGCCTCGCTCATGTTCCATATCCCCTTGTCTGTATCACCGCATAGTTGGCCGATACGAAGAACGGATATCCTTCCGCGTAGACTCGTGTTTTCATGAGCACGATGGCAGATTTTCTCCGCTACCCATTTCGAGCGCGAGTATCCTAGCGGCGAGGCAGATGATGGCGTGTGGGAAAGGGTCTCCGGGATGATGCCTGTGCTTGGGCGGCTATTTGATACGCTTGCTGTCGAGGAGCAGAAGATGAATCTTGGTGGTTCAGGGCGTTGAGCTGCAAGTGCAAGAGTGATGAGGTTATGGAGACCTGGAAACGCATGAGCCCTAATGAAAAAGTTTAGGTAGTAGCAATGTTAGCGGGGTCTAACCGGAAATATGGTCATGAACAAAGCTTGATAGTCTGGCGTTGAAATTGACTGCCCATGCTGCGTGCACGATAAGGGTTGCGGTTTCAGCAAGTTCTTTATACTCCGGTTTGGACAGGCCAAGAGCTGTATCTGCGAGATCCGTCGGTATGCAGGAGATGCGTGTAACGGATGAATCTATTCGCTTCTTTGCATGCGCTTCTAGATTTTTGTTGACCCTTTCCAATGCTTTTTCTGGGGTTTTAGCTCGAACAAGGCAGATAATTCTGGATACGTTTTGCATTTGACGGAATGCATCAAGCAAGTGCGCGCCTAGTGCGCCCGTTGCGCCGGTAAGGATCTGGACTGGTTAGCAGAGAGCTGTGTGACGAGTTGAGGATGCTTACCACGACCTCTCCATTTCTAGTGATATTATCATCTCTTCTAGAATGATGGCCAAGTTCAGTACTGGCGCAGCTAAAATCACCGTACTCATCAACTAATTGAAACATCAATTGCTCATCATCATGGGTATTGTCTTTGACAAGACCGTGGCGCCGATCGATAATGTAACTGGCAAGCCTGCAGCAATGTTAGTCCCTTGGACAAATCTAGAGAGTACTGGTCTAACCTATCAATCGTGCCACAGTCATAGACTATATTCAGAGGTAAAGACTCTTCAATACCCGGAAGTAAATCCTGTAGATATTTAGCTTTCGAGTGTATCCAATCGAGACAAAGACTAACTCGCTGAATATAGCTTCTAATCTGGACACAAGCAATGGAATCAACGCCGATTGGAAAAAGATCGGTATCTACTGAAAGGCTCGGCTTATCGCCCATGATATTTGCAACTTTAGTGTACAGAGCTGTCTGGACGTCTTGGTCCTCAATATTCCCCATGGTGCCAGCTCTTGCAGAACTACCTGAATGAGAGTAGGCGCGTTCAATATTGACTTCAAACTGACGCTCAGCTTGTGCACGCAAGACTGTGCCTTTGCTGCTTTTTGGAATTGCAGAATGACCAGGAGATAATACGACAAGAGCTCCCTTAGCAATCCTCGTATGGGGTTGGGCCCCAGCGTTGATGCGTTCAATTTCGGGCCAAATGCAGTCAACCAGCTGCGTCGAAGATAAACTTGCACTTTCCTTTGGAAGAAAAAGAAGTGCGCCAGGGTACTCGCGACCATTGCCAAAAACCAGAACGTCGTCCAACAAAGCGGAGGATGCAATGTCAGCTTCAATTGGCGCGGGATCAAACTTTTTGCCAGTAATCAGAGTTAACTGAGAGTCGGCTCGAGAATGATACCGCCATGCATTTTCGATAGCATGATGCTTTTCAAACAGGTCAGAAGTTGCAAAGCTACCGTCGGAGCGGTTTGTTTTTGCCTATCCTTGTTAACGACCACTCATCCATCCAGCTCAATAAATCACATACCATATGAGGCCATCCTTTCTTGATGATAAGTTCAAAGAGACTATTACCTTGTGGTTCGAACTGTAGGAGCTCTGAACCGTGGCCTGCACGGAGGTACTGCCATTCATCGTCATTCCTAAAGTCGCGAAAAGAGGAGAGTAGAACTATGTCGTCAGCGGAGTCTAGGCAAAGATGCATCTGAAACTTACACCCGCACTCCGCGCTGCCAAATCTAGATATCAATCGAACTTTCTTTTGGACTAATTGATTACCCACTGAAGATGGCAATGCCGCGCCACCGACTCCAACAGTATCCATGGCCATCAGCATCTCCATACCAGCATCGTCGTTGGAAAGCATTTGTAAAACATATGGCACCGAGGAAAAGTATGCTACTTTTGACCCCTTGCCATCTGCGACTGCTTTCGCAGCACTCCTCAAAGACAAGAGAACATTTCTCGCCGTTATTGGCAGTTCGTTCCCTGGAAAGAGCCAGATCATTTCAGCGCTGGACCAAGAACGGAAAACATCAGCAACTCCGCCATGATAAAGCGGTGTTGTTGAGAAGGTTGCGCCAGAACTTTTATCTGAAAAGCTAGGCAATACCCCAACAGCAGCATGATGGGTCTGGGGTATCGGTTTTGGAAGATCTGAGGAAGTGCCTGAAGTATGATGTATATATGCAATATCGTATCTCGAGACTTGGGATTGGAAGCGGAATTGGGCATTGTTTGAGCGGTGCTTGTAGTACTTGATAACATTGCCATTGAAAGGAATTTCTTGTATGAGATACCTCAAAGCATCATCAACAACAAAATCAAGCGTTTCTTTGGCAGCATCTTCATATATCTTGTCGTAAAATAAGCAAGAGACTTTGCAAGAAGCACACAACGATGCAATTGCTCGTGGTTGACATTGTGGACTTGGTTAACGTCAGAAATTTGAGATCGAAGTAGGAACATTGAACAACATACGCTATGAGTAAAACAGAAAACCCCAATCTGATCAGCGCAAGCCAGGTCAAAAGAAAGTCAGCGGAACTCGGGCAGAAGAGCGCGACAGTGGGCAGCGTGTCATTGCTAGCATTATCAGCTCTGCAAAATTGAGGGAGAAACTTTTCAAGTTCATTTGCAACAAAATGTGTGTAATTTCGAAGATCGCAGAAAGCTGTACCATTCAGCAAAGATCTTCTTCTTGACCGTGCCAAACCTACTCAGTACCATGTATGACCAGGGCTCTGGCGTCTCCGAGACCTGAGGCGGAACCGGAAAGCCCACAGCGGGCCGAAGCGGAAACTTTTCTGCATATGCATCTATCAATTCGTTGATAGTGGAGAACTCAGTCGAATTTGCAGCATTAACCAATGCTGCCTGCCCAAGTGTGCAAGTAAAGTAGTTTGGTTGTACTCTGTCATGTTCAGGATCACGAGAGTCACGCATTTTCAGGCTATATTGTCGATGAATCGCTTGCGCGGAAGAATGCATTCGCATTCATAATAATAAAGTCATCTTCATTGCTTTTCTAGTAGAATATAGACGTTGGGTAACCAGGGCATTGACTGAATTGGTGTTGTTGATGAGTCGTGACATTTGTGATGAGATCATCATTCAGTTTATTAATTGACGTCGATTAGCTATCGAAGCGACAACAATCCCCACAATTACGATAAACCCAAACATATAACATCATCCCCGCTTTACGACTCATTACTAGACACGTTTCTCTTATAGACTGCATAGACCTTGGCATTGAATACCTAAATCTCTTACTTTTCCAGCTTCATTCTCACAAAGTACAATTCCACTGAAGCATCGCAACAATGTCGAGCAGCGCCAAGTTCGCCATTACAGACCTCCTCCCTCTGCCAAACAGCTCGGTGAAGATCCCCCGTCTAGGATTTGGCGTCTATCGCTCGCCCAGAGACACCTGCATCAACTCTTGCGTTACTGCACTCAAAGCCGGCTACCGTCACATTGACACTGCTCAATTCTACGCAAATGAGGCCGAAGTAGGAGAAGGCCTACGAAAGTCGGGCGTTGCTCGGTCGTCGATATTCGTCACCACCAAGATCATGTCTCCAAAGTCAAGCTTGGAGGCTACATATCAGAGTGCGCTAGACAGCGTCAAGAAAATTGACGGCGAGAATGGATACGTGGACCTCTTCTTGATTCACAGCCCTAGCTCTGGTTCTTCGGGAAGGAAGACGCTTTGGCAAGCATTGGAGAGACTGCATGAGGAGGGACGAGCGAAGAGCATCGGAGTCAGCAACTTTGGCAGAGGACACATTGAGGAAATGAAGCCTTATGCTAAAGTCTGGCCGCCGCAGGTGAATCAAATTGAAGTATGTATTTCTTTCTCTTGGAAGGGCATCCGCCAGGCTGACCATTCTTGTGAAACCACAGCTCCACCCATGGAACCAGCAGAAAACTATCGATGCGTATTGCAAAGAACATGGTATCATAGTAGAGGCGTACTGTCCTCTTGTTCGCAACCGAAAGGCCGACGACCCGACTCTTAACGCAATCGCCAACAAATACCAGAAGACTACCGGCCAGGTGTTGATCAGATATGCTCTGCAAAAGGACTGGGTTCCGCTGCCAAAGAGTGATACGCCTTCACGCATTGAAGCGAATGCAGACGTCTTCAATTTTGATCTCGATGCTGGAGACATGAAGACACTAGATGATCTCGACGAGGGCGGCGCAGGCGCAATCGTCATGGCTGTACAAAATTAAACATTATCACGAAGCGCGATAGATTATGCCGGTCGAAGAATATATTTTGATAGATAAAGAATAGCGCTTGAAATAGAGCATTATGATATTATCGACTTCACGACGCATTCCTATCCATGATTTACGACGTCACCTGCACAGGAAAATAAATAGCAGCAGAGTCCAAGTGTGAAGAAATCCCACCATCTATCGCAAGGTCAGCAAGTGCAAGATCTCAGGAGGATATTATAGAAGGAATCGCATACGAGTAACTTCCGTCATCCTTTCCACTGATAGTGTTATTAGACTTTTTATTATGTCCTCGCGATCGGTGTGATCGATGGGATCGATGAGATTTGTACGGTTTCTATGAGAATTTAGATATTATTCTTGAACTACTTTATGAATCCGAGGCTTTCTCTTTCGGTTACAATTCGCCATTACTCTGTCGAATATGGATACTGAGGGGGAAAGATGGCAGCTTACCTCCAAAGAGTCATCGCTTCTATCATAATAATCTCTAGCGGTTCCATCATAGTTCATTACCGGTGCAGGCATGGCATAATGAGCAGGAACCACAGCTTGAGGTCGAGCCGGGTATACAGGATGGCCCGGATATGCGGGATATCCCACTGGTCTCGTGTCTGCCACGTATGGCGTCTCCGGGGGTAATTGGTGATTCATTTCAGGTGTTGATAGAAAGTATTCCTTTTCATCTGCTTCGTCTTCTGTCTCCTCTGTTCGTGGGTCGTCCCACTCTGCCGTGATCTTGTTTCATTCACTCTTCCGTTTATTATTCTAGCAGAGGTATCCTGATGATTGAGTAGCGTAGCAAAGTAGCACCGGGTGTGGTGGCGGCTGATGATGTAAAAGCCTTGTGGTAAGTTTCGTAAATTAAAGGTAAGCACTCAGTTCATTGACAAGCTTGTTTGTGACAAGTCTTCGATTATATTCGTATGTTGTGATAAGCTCTAGCATATATATAAAAGGAATATCCTGAAGGCAGCTTTGCCACCCGTCCAGGGTGCATATCAACAATTGAACCGCCAAGGCGATAACTAACGCATTCCCACGATTCTGACATGACTGACAGGCAGACTCGAACCCACAAGAGTTCATACAAAAAGCATGGGGAGGAGAGGGGTACTCCCTTGCTCGGGTTCATGTGCTCCATAGGAAGTCGCTAGGACGGCACAATTGGCCCCCAGGGATATTCCAAGGCTGAGCTCCGGCGCAGTCCGTTCCTTTCCCGATTGCGATGCCAACATGTCGATCATGGCGATATACAGTCGAACGTCAGCGTTGGGTGTTACCGTACCAAGTAACTTGCGGCAAGGGAGTTACAGGGAGCTGAGGATTGGTCAAGACGCCTGGTGACGCTGGCTGACACTTGGGACGGCCTCATGTCCTCCCGCTGGTGGTTAATTGCAACGCCATGAAGGGGGCCATGGCGGGGGGCCGTTCACGACGGGCACAACATGACGCCTGCGGCTGTCTTTTATGTATGAATAGTGCAGGAATAGTGCAGCTTACCGAGTTCATATGCACAGCGAGGTGTTTTTGAACATGTCAGTGCTCTGGGAAAAGGCTGTGTGGCTGCCTGCCAGACAGTTATGGTGGGCTCAAGCAATATGACATGCATGGCAGAGTGCAGATTGTCTGGCTTCCAATGATAGACAGTCATGTCGTTATATGCCAATTCTTTTCCTCTCATGACAATTGCTTTGTTGAAGCCTCGCTTCCGATATCAAGCAGCACAACGGAATATGTATTGTAGCACAGAACGCCAGAGTAAGAACCTCGAACCTCCTGCAAGACTGTCTGTACAGTCATCATCAAGCTTGCAGTGACAATGTTTAACATGAGTAAGAATGAATGCAAAACATGATTACACAGTGGAATAATATTTCCTCTGATTTATCCAGTCATATCTTATTGTCTGCTGAGTAAAAGGAGAACGAGAACGAGTACGAGTACGACACGCTTGACCATATATGGAAAGTAGCGGAGAAGTGATTGGACTAAACTACAAATGGCGATTTAGTATTCAGATCTGTCCGAGTTTTAACCAATCAATTGCCGTTTTCAGTAAATTTCCCGCCGCCGACAGTCGGCATCTTATCGGGATAATCATCCTATGGATTCCACTTTTTTTTGTTTTGATACTCTTAACTTATGTGTCATAATTATAATCATCCTCTCAGGAGACTTGTATAAATAAATTCTCAATTTTCAATTTTCATTTTTTTGGTGACTGATTCAGGTTCATCAGAGTGCAGGAAACAAGCAATAATAGTCTATATACATATTCTACGTTGAAGATTACCCACGACCAAACGACAGTCATTGCAGCCGCCATAAACACCCACTTATCGACGATATCCACGATAATGGACCCCTCGGCCGTTGGGTTGGGCAGTCCCATTACCGCTTCTCCGCGGGATGAGCATTTTCCACTGTTGACAGAAGATCGTGGAGCGATCAAGGTCATTAGGAACTTTACTCCGTCGTATGCATCCCTTTCTCCACCGCATTCATTATTATTCCGCTCTATCTACTCTGCTCCCCTGTCATTCGCTGCTCATTGATTAAGCTATTCGACGGCGCAACACTCAAGCCTGCAAGTCGATCCCTCCGCGCCCGTTGCATAGCTTAATCTATCGTCCCCCAAAGCTACAGACCCACGTCCTAATCCACAAGACAAGAAGCAAACAAAGCTAATAATGACGTGCGTTGCAACAATGACAGATGGTTCTCCGTATGCATGGGCACAGGCATCGTGTCCATTTTGCTACACAACCTGCCGTACAATGGCGCCTGGCTGTACTGGCTCTCGGTCATTGTCTTCGCACTTAACGTCGTCTTATTCACCGTCTTCTGCGTCATCACCATACTAAGATACATTCTCTATCCCCAACTATGGAAAGCCATGCTGCTGCATCCAGCGCAGTCGTTGTTCATTGGCACTTTTCCCATGGCGCTCGCGACGATTGTGAATCTGATGGTCCTCATCTGCGTGCCGGCATGGGGCGAATGGGTGCTGACTTTTGCATGGACACTATGGATCATTGATGCGGTCATTTCCATTGCTATCTGCTGTTACTTGCCATTCTTGATGTTCGTCCCCCTTATCCTATTCTTTTCGTCCCCACTTTATACTATACATCTCTGCTCCCCCTTTCTTTTTTCCACTCCAACATGTACACTCCAACTTACAAACAAAAAAACTAACCGACTCCCATGTGACAGCATGCACGTCCACGAGACCCAATTGTCCACCATGACAGCCGCATGGCTTCTGCCCATCGTGACGACCATTGTCGCCGCAGCATCCGGCGGCATCGTGGCCGGGAGCTTAACCAACGCGCAGCACGCCCTTGGGACGCTCGTGGCGAGTTACATCCTCTGGGGCACCGGCGTGCCGCTCGCCATGGCCACGCTCGTCATCTACTTCCACCGTCTGACCGTACACAAGCTCCCTCCGCGCGAAGTCATGGTATCTGTCTTCCTCCCGCTCGGTCCGCTGGGCCAGGGCGCGTACGGCATCATGCAGCTTGGTAAAGTCGCTATGAAAATCATGCCCAAGACACATACGCTGGTCGCGTCCGCGGGCGAGACTTTTTACACCGTGGGTTTCCTCGTTGCGATCATCATGTGGGGCTTCGGACTCGTGTGGTTCTTCTTCGCCCTCGCGTCCATTTCGCGCTCCAAGTTTCCCTTTAATATGGGCTGGTGGGGATTCGTCTTTCCCTTGGGTGTCTATACCAGTGCCACGTTGAGTTTTGGCCAGGAATTGCCTTCTCGATTCTTTGACATTCTTGGTAATGTACGTTTTTCTCCCCTTTTTTCATTTCATTTCCTCAACATATACTCTACCACTTCCATGTTTACGTATCATCTCCCACTCTACACGTGTCGTTTCTGATCCGAATCTAGATCTTCACCGTCGCCGTCGTCCTCCTCTGGGTCGTCGTCTCCGTCACGACCGTTCGCAAGGCCTTGACCGGCGAAATCTTCTTCTCCCCGTGTCTTGAGAAACTACGACGTATCCAATTGGAAGAAAAGCAGCGTCTTCGTCAACAACAGGCTCAAGTTTAGCTTTTTACTCCTTTTTTCTTTTTTTTTTTTTCTTTCGTTCTTTCTTTCCTTCCTTTTTTTTATTTTGACGTCTATGGTTTGACGTCTATGTTATTGCATTATCCCATTCGCCTCTCTGTTACTATCATGTTACGGTATATCTATCATTGGCATTCAACATTTGCATATATCCGGCGTTATGCACATTGAACTTTTATTTTTATTTATTGATTTCTTTATTTATTCATTTATTTGGATTGATGGCCTTTCAACAGCGAGGAGTTTAAAAAGATTTGTTTTTTTCTGCCTGAAATAGTGGCGGCGACATGTGTACTAGTACAGTGTGCAATTCAACAAGAGGGAAGGGAAGCCGAAAAAAGGTTAATCCCATCTTTGGACCAATATTGTACATCTATTTATTGTATTATATACGCAGCAGCGATGTAATTTACATACACTGTATATAATGCGTGTCTACCCATACGACTCCTCAAATGAAAATGACAAGGGCAATGGCATAGGATAGACGGTCATTCAGCAATCTAAGTACGAGTCACATAGTCAAGCAATTCTGAGACTAAATAATGGCGGAAAACTCATGATTATTTATTTCATGTACTGCAGGCTACACCTACACATCGCGCAACGTTTCCGCGCAACTCTGCCCTCTCAAATTAAAAAAAAAGAATGATTAAGAAAATTTTATTTCAAAGGTTGTTTTGCTCTGAAATAAGGAAAAAGAAGAGAAGTAAAAAGAGTATCAAACTGCATAATGACGTTTACTGCAATGTCAATGCAAAAGCACCCTTCAATGCGACATTGACGGTGACGGTGACGGATTGCGAGTTGGCATTGTAGGTATATTGGGCATTGTTGCCATTGACCTTGACATTCTTGGGCGCCTTATTGACCCCAAGAACGGTGACCTGGGACCACTGGAGGTTGCCGACATCGTAGCCTTGCACTCCGCTCACAGTCAGGGTCTTGCCAGCATAGTTGAAGTTGTATGTGGAAGATGCGGTCGTAACGAGCGAATCACCGTCATCAATGTAGAGACTGCCAGTAGCCTTGTTGTTGGTGCCGGGTGCAACAATAAGGTTAAAGTTGTTCTGACGGAGGGCAGTTGTGGTATTGGCACTCTGGGCGCGCATCGGAATGATGGATCCTCCGCGAATGTGGATAGGAATATCCGTGAGCTGAAGGTTCGACAGGGTAATGTACGAGCCAGTGCCAGTAACGGGAGCCAAAGTCCAGAAGTCATAGAACTGGTCATTGGGAAGGTAAATGCTGACGCTAGTGGCACCCTCGTCGGTAACAGGGCTGATCAAGATCGATGGGCCAAAGAAATACTGCAGCTCAATGAGAGGAGCTGTAGTGTCCGTTGGGTACGGGAACCACATCGGGGAGATGGCTGGCACGCCCGAGACGCTTTGCTGCTGGAAGGCGGTGTAAAAGTAATCAAGAAGTTGATATCTGGCGTTGATGGCCTTCTTGGCTGCCGCAGTAACAGAAGCCCAGCGGTAGAATTCCTGCGGAGGAGAGTCGTTGGAATTGTGGTTGCGGTAGAAGCCACTAAACGCTCCCAGCATGGCCCATCGTGCGCAGAGTTCTTCTGTCGTATCCCCAGCATAGCCGCAAACATCACTTCCAACCTAAGATTCAATTAGCGAAAATAATTCAAGAGAACTTGTTGCTTCACGGTTCTGTTACATACCATAGGTACCTGGTAGAGCGAGGCGAATTGAAGCAATCCGGAGATGGAAATACGATACTTGTCCCAGGTGGAAACATTGTCACCCAACCAATGACCAACCTTTGTTCCTGCTCCCGCATAAGTGCTTCGGGTGATAACCAACGGCCGATTATTGGGTCTCCGACTCAGCATGGCATTGTAACTTGTCGAGCTCATCACTGTGGAAAAACACACATTATCAGTCAATGAAAAGGAAAGATAGCGCAAACTATGATCAGAAGGGAATACTTACTGGTGCCATAAAGGTTATGCACATCATAATCAGCATATCCACCAGAGTGGTACAGGTCGGTTCTGATCGTGTTCATGCTGAGCGCACCAGCGGCATTATGAATATAGTAGGGTGGAGTCAGCAAATCTCTTCCTGAGATTCCCAGCTTCGAGCCGTCAGCCTGCCGTTTCATGATCCGTGATGTTGTTGAGTTCGGAGGCTGGAAGTCTGCGGGGAACCCAGGCAATGGCCGTGGGTTGGCACGGACAGGTGGCGGAGTCGGCGGATCGCTGTTGAAAACGGCAAAGGCAGCAGGGTTGGCGCAGGGGAACGGGCAAAAGTTTGACGCTTCGTTCATGTCAATCCAAAGCGCATCAATGTTGACACCGGTATCGGCATTAAAGAAGGAGTCAAATTCGGTGTTCCAGTATCCTTGCGTATTAGGATGGAACCAGTCAGGGAAGGCTGTGATTCCAGGCCATACCACTCCTAAACGCCATATCAGCATCTAAAGTGAGACGGATCGTATCATCACACTCAAAAGCTTACCTTGGAAAATGGTTCCGTTGGGGAATTCCATAAAGATACCTTCCTGCTGCCCGAGGTTGAATGGTGGGTAATCCATGTATGCCACTGCGGGGTCCACCATCAATACATAATGTTGATCGTGATCATGGAGATACGTAACAAGCTCCTGCATTTTCTCAAGCGGGAACCTCTCTGGATCGAGCGTGAAAACTTGGCGAAGATTCATATAATCTGTACGAATTAAAAGACATTCTTTGCGGCTTGTGGGGCTGGGCTACGTACCGATATCTGTCCACATTGTCTCGAGGGGAATGCCGGCCTGGGAATAATTGTACACGACCGAGGCAACCTCATACACGTCCTGGTAGCCATATCTGCATTGATGGAACTTTTCGAGTGGTTAGCAGAACATCTTAAGCTTGGGCGACGATGTAGCTTACCCCGAATCCCCAGTAAGGCATCATAGTCGATTTACCGATAATTTCACTGTACTGGGTGGCCACATCTGTGGGATTAGGGCCAGAGAGGAAGTAAAAGTCAAGAACGCCTCCATTAGTATTGTACTCCAGGTATTGACCGTCTGTTGGGTCATTGTTGATTTTGATGTCCATGCCATTGCTGTTGAGCAAAAAGACACCGTGCGTGCCACTCATCCGGTGGTCAAAGTAAATTGGATGATTTCCATACAGATTTGTGCCCGCAGGGATGGTGTACGCATCTCTTGACCATAGCGTTCTAATATAGTTGGTAGAATTGAGGCGGAAAGGATCAGAGTGCTCTCCCAAGCCGTAAATATTGGGGTCATTGGGCAAGGCAGTACGAAGGCCAAGATATTGCGACTCGAAGATCAAAGGCGCTCCCTTGGTATCAAAGAGCGTCTCCCCGGTGCTCTTGCGGCGAACAGCAAAAGAGAATGGGTTAGGTGTCAGGTCGAATTCGAGATCATTTTTCGCAGATGAGCCATCGGGCCGGGGCACAATAAAAGTTGGGACTTGATAGACCTGCTCATTGGGATCATAAATCATCACGTGTAGCCGCTCCGCTATATTCTCAATCAGCATGAACCCTTAAATGCTACAAAGAAAAGAGGCAATTGAATAAAACTCACTGCTCTGATATTCGACAAGCAATTTCAAGTAACCAAAGTCCCACCCGTATGCGTTACAATTTGGACCAGCCAGTTTCAGGTCTGCTGTCAAACCAACCTTGGATTGGGCAACATTGTAGGCAATATAGCCCGGACAATCAGCCAATGCCAAAGTAACAATGCCCGAAAGGGCAAGAATCCCATGGAGGAACTTCATGCTGGCTAAACAGAGGCCTGATAATTGGTTTGTGTGGCCGTGCTCGGTGCATCAGTCGGAGAATTGGGATGATGCCCTTTTATACACATGACGTTGCCGCGTCCTGGCGAAAGCGGGGCATCGATTCCAGGGCCAAAAAAAAAGAGTCTGCATCACTCTCATTCCGTAACTTGTTATCCCAAACCCTTTGGCTCTAAGACAAAAAGGGTCAAGTTGTGGGGCAGAAGCCACTTTTCGACCATTCTCTTGGAGAGCGGAGCATTAGCAAAAGTTGATCAATGCCGGGGTAACATGCAATGAGATCACCCGCGGAAACACAATGATCTAAACCATCTCACATATCCTCCGATGCGGACATGGACGCACAGGGGCTTTTTCCATTCCTGTCGTTGCTCTCTTGCATGGCTTCCCTGCCTTTCCCCGCACTCACCCCTCATACTAGCCCGCAGGCACCCCTGATCTCAGAGCGCCAATGCTTTGGTCTAGACGCAATCATCGCGTGAAGAGGTACGGCGAGGTCCTCTCTGGTTCCGACATGGATAGATCAATGGTGCACGAGCCTTTCGGGGGTCCCGTTGAGAGGAATACGTCGACGAAAATTTCTTCCCCATGGTGCCAAGCAGATATCACAGGCACACCTGATCGGCGCCGAGCAATTGCAATGGGATGCGTTCTTCCTGTCTGTCGTACTGTTAATTCTAGCCTAGCAGGAACACATCAAAAAATTTTGTTGCCATGCTTCGAGCCATGTCGCACCTAGTGTCAGCGTGGACATCGAACGCATCTGACCTGCAAAAGATCTCTTGAATATCATCGTCATCATTGTGAATTCTTTTCGTTCACGTGGACATATGGCCGAAGTAACCACCTCACGCGGACATCATTTGACACCGATGGCTAGGACGGCAAGATCCATGAAACCAGCCATAAACGTGCGACAAACGTTGAGAGGGGAGGGACGCCGAGTGCGGCGCAGTCATTGATCGTCATGGATGCAGAAGCTAGGGGTACCCTCACGCCGAGCTTCTCACTGGACAATTGTCAGTAATGTTCAATAGCTCCGCATTTCCCAGGCGACATCATATGATCCAAGACCAGAAGCATGTCCCTGTAGTCGCTGCATAAAATCCATGCTGTCCAGGTTTTAGACGAATCAAGCGAATCAACAACTTGTTCTGGATGGGTATAAACTTCCTGATCCAGCAAGTTCTCAGCGCTAAAATTGAATTGCTCTCACGGGAGGGAATGAATTGTGACAGGCGGGAAGCGGGGACCGACGGAGCTTGGGGGGAGGGGGGTTGGTGGACGAGATGAGCAGACTGCTATGACCTAAACAGTTAGTTAGCCCTTGGACCCTAAACTTGAACCGAACGGGACAGCCCGCACCACGAGTTGGCATGTGGGGTAAATAAACGAGCCTGACCTATGAACGAAAATTGAGCCGTCACACCCCAAGTCCAATGGCGAAAAAGTCATTGGATCCGCCTTTGTGTATTTGACACTATTCCTCAAGTTACTCAAACGCAGCATGGCTCGCCCAGAGCACATTATGATGATGGCGCACAGACAAGGAGATTAGAAGATCCACCGCCAGCTGAACGGTAGCGATTGTGCTGCTGCAACCAATCGAGCAGATCCAAGGCTGCAGCCCCACTTGCAAAATGAGGAAAAGACCGTCAGAGCACCATAAGGGCCAGGGTGCGAGTGATTTTTCGAAAACCTCGGCTTAGACATTGACCGAAGAATCAAGGGACTCATCGTAAGTTGGAGTGAAATACTGGGAAACGCGTGATGCGACGCTCTGCATTAGAGACAGAAATCATAACAATGGCCTGGACTGGCTAGCGTACTCTATTGAGCTTTCATTAGAGCTGCAAACCCCTTTATTGAATCACACACCTTTTCTACCATCTGTTTGCTCCATTTCCATTGGTGCCAAGACAGGCAGGTTATACCGTTGAAGCCTAGATCTGGGGGCTTTGAAATATCTCCGAGCAAACGGCAGACCACCAGGCCGTCAAGCGTCATTGGCGCCATAGATTTCCGTCATTCGAAACTGTTGCTTTCCAATAATGTAAAAATTTTGCTTTATTTCCTCTGTTTCAAAGAACAGGGAATCGTGCCGCAGCCACGAATGCGTCTCGTGCTTCTTGCACAGTTAGCCACTGGGGTTACGAGAAGCTTGAACGGCCTTTTCCTTCTCTCAAAGAAACTTTGATGCCTGTCGACTGTACTAGATAGAACCAGAGTTCTTTGCTAGTAGAAGAGTTGGAACCGAATTATCAGTGTGATCAAACAATGTCAATATCGAACAAAGGCAAATGAATCGTGCCGGAGCTTGTTTCCGAAAAGGAATCCCAAATTCCCTATCAATTTAATTCTATCCCTGATATTCTGTTTCTGGAAGGACATCGTTGGCTTCAATCTGCACTAGTCAGATTGGCATTCTTGGACGGAGAGATGGTGGCCTGAACTTCCACAATATGCCGCTGATGTCGAAGCTCGCAGACCTGATATGCCTTCCGATCTTCATTTCCGCAGACCCTATGGGCAAGTAGGAGGCATTTCATGGCCACTATACGTATTCTTAAGTCTTGCTTCTGATGTATGAAAGAAATCGTCATAAACTGATCTAGTAATGTGCATCATCGTCGTGCAGATAAGCTTTTGCGTCTCATCTGAGCTGCCCAGGGGCAACACCATCTCGAGTGCTGTAAGGTCTCATTATGATAATGGATGTCCCAGCGTTGAAGTAATCCAAGTCATGTCTGCACATGTATGGTGCACGGTAATCCCTGCGTCCCAAAGGATGCAGAGTGAATCACGCAAAATTCAGCAAGTCCGAGCCGCGTCCGTGGATGGGAGGCCATATCAGGAGGTTATATGCATAAGTGTGCCCTCCGAGCAGGGAGGATGGCTTCACTGGGAAACTTCGATGTAAAGGCCGCGTGGCTGGGCACCCACACTCAGTTCAGAAGCACAGCCGCTCGAGAGCCCAATCCATGTGTCAAAGTGTGAGCCTATATCCGTTTCAGACTGATCCACATATATCCCTTCCCTGTCAGTAAGTCAACTAACCAATAGAGGGGAGGAGGCGTTCTCTAGAATAGCCAGGGAGAAGAGGTATCCGCACAGTCAACGCCCAGATGAGGAATAAGACGCGTTTGCAAGATGGAGTTGCCAAGTAGATTTAACGACCGACCTCCAAATTGATATGCTCCAAGATTGACAGCAAATACGCTTCGATGTCGATTCTCTGTGTGGATGTCTCTAGCCATCCTTTTCTTTTCGTAGAGTAAATGTGAGAACATGGCAGCTTACTTTAAGAAGCGGCACAGCTGGATGAAAAATCACTCAATGAGCGGTACTCGGTTCCCCAAAGCATAATGCCAGATAAGCGTAATGACAAAGGCTGGACGCCGATGCTCGCTTTGCACCTTCGCTACATGGCTCTTGCTCCGCCGTAACCTCTAGATACTAGGAAAGTGCTGTTTTTCTCATTTCGGCTTGTTAAAGAAGAGCGAAAGCAATGATCTGAAGGTAATCAGGGATACTGGAGCGTTTATCGCAGGAAAATGATGCATTGGAAGAGCAGGGGCTTTATAGACTACCTGAAACTCCTAAACTGGTTGTGCGAGCGGCCCCGTTGAAAATATAAAATAAAAATAGAACGATAATCAATTGGCACCGATGCGTTTATGTGTCGAGAGAAAAAGGCACCAAAAAGAGTGTCTATGCAGATAATTCGCTTCTGGGAATAGTGAACTGAAGAAACAACGGCTCTAAATGCGCAGAAATTGTCTAAAAAGCATTGAACAAAACTAACGACGTCTGGGGACGATCCTCGTCTTGGGGAAGTCCAAAGGCAATCGCAAAACAGCAATCCTATGTGCCTGTGCCTCCTCCTTTGTGATTTTCAGTTTATTACGGTCAGTGAGAGTGGGGTTCTTGATGCGGCATCCGATCTCATGATAATATTGGGAAATGCTATGGACGAGTCAGCGCCACTTGGACTCCCTGTAAGATTTAGCTGTTTCTTATACGTACGCTTTTGGCTCAAGCTTCAAATCCTGCTTCAGATCATAGGTGTCAACCTCGAAGTTATCCACGATAAGGGAAAGCGCCGCAATGTGGGTATAAAGATTATCCATGTGCCATTTGTTGAGTTGACTATTGCCGTCAGCCGAAGTTTCCTCTTTAATTTGCAGATACGAGAATCATACCTTCCCTCCGCAAAACGTCGTCTAACGCCATCGATCCAAGAATCTTGAACACCCATGAACTTTCTCATTTCCTCCTTTTGGGGTAATTTCTTGACGCCTTTGGGTCCGGATTTCAGCGACAAGTGAAAATCAAGAAGCAAAAGAAGATATCGAAGTGCTTTGATCTTAGGGATGTCGCCGCTAGCCACAACCTTATTCAACCGTTTACTAACAAATCGACTCTTTGTTTCGATGTTCCTATTTGCCGAGACGGCATCTTGCCATTCCTTGACAGCGATCGTCCTCATCTCGTCGTGGCCGACCAGATAGTCAATTGGATACACCTCGGCAGGCGTGGTGGCATCCAGGTTCGCCTTTGGTCGGGGCTTAGCGTCGTCGATTGCGGCCTGCAATTCTTCTCGCGTAGCCATGTTTTGGGTGGATTCAGTCATGGAATCGAGCACGGCGTCAGCGACAGAGTTTGTGCTCTTCGCGTCTTCGCTGGCGGTGATGGCGTTCTCAGTAAGAGAAGCAATTGCTTTCTTCGCCTTCTTTGTACCGAACTCCATGCCAAGGGTGTTACGGAGGGCTTGTTTCTGATAGATGTCAGTTGACGTCAAGGGGAATGCCAGCAATTATTCTTACCGTCTTTTGATTATCGCGCTGGACCTCCTGTGCCTCCGCTCTGAGCGTCCCACGGAGGACAAGGTTGCGAGTCTCCATGACCTGGAGTTCGCCAGTCTTGGGGTCATAGACCCCGACATAGTGCTTCATCAGCCCATCTAAGGCTCCTAATCCTTCCTCGCGGCCAGTGTAGTCGATCTTAGGGTGCTCGGAGGAGTGCAGCAAAAGCTCAGATGATTGGATATGACCGCCACGGGCGGCAGGTCGAGCCTTTCGGTATGGCTTGAAAGAAATGTTCGATGGCAGAGAGAGACCAGGTGTCGGTGCTATGTAATGATCAGGTTAATGTACTCTAATGTTTTCCTTGGAGCAATGCTTGGTTTGAGTATAAAATTAAACATCCATTCACATACCGGTGACTGGGCTCCATTCGTCGGTTTCAGGAACCACCGAAACTTTGACAGTCGGCGCAGGCAGGTCAATGGCAACTTTTTTGCCAGGCCTTGAGCCATCCTGTGAGGCTCTCTTTCTCTTCTTATCCGCCTTGGGATCCGACATGTTCAAAGGATTTGTGGCTGGAGTATGGATACTATTCGTTCCCGCTTTGCAAATTATTATTTTCATGATCCTGCGATTTTCGGGAACATTTTCGAGACCGCTTGTGCACGGACCATCTCACTCGCCAACTTTCATCTCTGTCGGCGCATCCCTCGCCGACTACCGAGGCACCCGACCATGCCAAAAGCCAGTTTCCTTCTCGAGGCCTGCGGGCATGAAGAGCATGGAATGGGAACTGCAATGCTTGGAGCAAGTATAAGAAAAAATTTCTGTAAGGCTGTAAGTATCAAACTCACCGGGAATTTGACTGATAGACAGCTCAGGGAGTCACTGAATTTTAAGGGTTGTTTTCGGATTTTATTGTATATTTTTATTTACTTTCTAATATTGCATCTGTTTTTACCATCCTACTTAATATTGTACTAAATATCTTGCTGAGCAATCTGCCTGGACAATTTGCAAGAGCGAAATTCTTTTGCTCATAGATGCACGAACAAATGCTTGTAATGAATCATGGGGGACGAACTGCGTTGATATGTACTGCATAACACGTACACATCTTACCTTGGGCAGGTACTTTAGGTATAGACGGGGAATGCAGCGCGGTTCCGCTCGTTTCTCTCCTACTCAGTACACCTGGGTCCAGGGCTGCAACCACCCGGCGTGTCTTAGGACTGTAGAGTTCGGAATAACAATCTCCTTTGGGGGCTTTGACAAATTAGACTATACAGACTCTAAATCTCTCATCTTGAGAGTATTTCGTTACCTGTGGCGGTTCTACAGGAATATTATGCGCGCAAGGAACAGAGTATGGGCCTTGACATGGAATAATACATGTATAGTAGCTCAGGACTACGACAGTCCCGTGCATCATAAAGGAATGGCCATCCATCTGACCGATTGGCAGAATTTAGAAATCATCTCAATATAGAATCATTTCGAGCCGACATACATTGCATTTCGCGATCTCTTGAAGAACACCGTGCATAGACTCTGACCTAGCATGTCTTGTGATGATACCCCGCTCTTAGTCTTTCGTCCAAATGGTCAAAAGCTGAGGACCTTGTCTGTGCCCTGGAAGCCATTTAGGGCTACGCATGCATGGTCCAAGTGGTAAGCACATTCGGGAGAATTACCTAGTCGAGGTAGCTCGCTCGTCACTATGATACCTTAGCTGGCGCTGCTACCCCGCGATTTTCCAGCCTGCTAACGATCAGACCAACACCAGGATGATCAAATAGTGTGCAAGCATGGGCCATATTCACGTCACATTCAGCAAAACTATCAAATGCACAATTGTAATGATTTTGAGGAAGCAGAACTGTATTCCTATGCTCTACTCCTCCTGGAGCGTTGATATCAAACGTCAGGCCGTAGCCATCGATCAACAGCTCCAACGAGGCAATGTAAACTCCCCGAAGTGAAAACCCGACAGTGCTTTTGACCGTCTTCCGCTAGCATTCAAACGACCAAACTCGCTGTGCTCTGCCAACATGAAAACAACCGGCGCTTGACCGGGGCTCCTACAGCACGATAACTGTTTCTGACCGCACAAAGCGATAGACGATACCCGCGGCAGTCAAGCTGATGAATTGGAAGTCTCCATAATGACCGAATGTGATGTTTATAGCAAGTGGTCCTCAGGATGCCCAGGAAGGCGTGATCGAGTAGTCATTGAGATAGTTTACTTGCTGTAAAAGATGTTAGCATATTATTCCTTGCAAAACGGATATCGAGTATGATCTTACCTTCTGGCTCTGGTCTTTCTTCTCTTACGCTTAAGGCGGCGAACGCGCTTCTTCCTCCACTTGGCTCTCATCTTCGATAACAGAGAACCTGCAGTTAAACATCAATGTTAGTTCAATCTATCATCTTCGCAACCATAATTGACTGATTTACTCTCCAATGAGAGCAATTCAAAAGCTATGAGGGGAGCACATACTATTCCGAGGATGAGAAGGAAGTTGAAGAAGGAACGATGAAGCTGCGCCGACGGTTGTGTTAAGTGCGGTCTCGCTTAATTGCGTTTCGCGTTAGTGTGACGCTAAGGGCTCCGCGAAAGGGCTCAGTAACGCCTCGGGCATACTCCGCGACAGGGTTCTGTCGCGTGTCAAGGCTGAATAGCCAACGTCGTGACCATTAATTTGCATGTAAAAGCGTGTATATAAGCTCAGAATAGAGCTTTATTTGAATTCGTTTGACATTGAATCTGATTGTAGAAGTTGTGGAACAGCTCTTTCCCCTTCCTTCAAGCTCCAATGGATGCTTATGACGTAATACAGGACAGGGGTTTTACCCTAGTCTCCCGTCGTGCACTCATGTTGATCTGAAATGCTAAGAAACACATTCCCCATGCAAAAACATGAAAGCAAAAGCTCCAAAATCATGGCAATGGAGCATGAGCCGATACTAGTTGGATGGCTGACAAAATCTGACACTGCGTCGGACTCAAAATCCAGTGGGATCCACCACGCTATACCTCGGACTTTCACTCATAGCTTATAGCCACATACGAGATTAACATAGAACATCGCATACTGATCGGAAGAGATACAAAACGGTGGTATGTCCAGCGCAGCTATTTATTGGCCATTTATTCTTACATGGACCAGTGAGATTCATCTTGATGACCCGAGAGTCTCGAATTGGCATCTGCTTGTTTATACCGTCTTTCCTGACCCGGAGCTGGCTCCGCTTGTGTATGCTCGAGACCTGTCCAGAAATGGGTCGGAATGGAACTCTCTACCTATTACAAAGAATCATGGCCCGATCCTCCTATGCGACGGCGACACCATCAGAGTGAGCAAAGATGTGACATTTACATTTCATGAGTGCCAAAATCCGATTACCATGGTCAAGGCATTTAGCCCTGTGCAAATCAAAGAGCAGCAGGTGAAATATCATGTAGCATTAAAATGTTTGCAGAAAGCTGAACATAACTTGCTAGCTCTTCTCCCACAGATATAAGGTCACTGATAGACGGCTTGGATGCGGGGGATTCGGCGCAATCCATCTTGCTTACAATATGCAAACCCAAAGACAACTTGTTTGCAAGGTCATTGATGTCAACAAGCTTCGTGCAGCATCATATCAGCAGTCTTCTATCAACAACGCAAGTAATGGCAGAAATGCTAGATCGAAGAATGGACTTGGAGGGACCCTTGACCCCAAAGGCCTTCTCGAAAAGACAATCGCTACACAAATGCGGGAAGTTGATATTCTCAAGTCTCTGAATCATGTATGGCAAGCAACTCAGGAACCGATGGGCACTTGCTCACTCTTTTTCAAGCCAAATATCATTTCCATCGAAAAAGTCTTCGTCACGGACAACACCATGTACGAGGACCGCCCAGTTTCTAACACCGTTTATTAAATAACCTGTGCAAACAGCTATATCTTCGAGGAACTTATAACAGCAGGAGACCTATTCTACTACGTCGAACATCATGGCGGGCGACTGCACTCAATGGACGCGATGATAATTGTCTATCAAATCCTTCTAGCTCTCGAATACCTGCGTGACAAAGGCATTGTGCACCGAGATGTGAAGCCCGAAAACGTTCTCATGACTTCTCTTGTAAGCGGCGGAAGGGTTGTTTTGACAGATTTTGGTGCAGCGCGGTGTCTGGATGGCGGAGGCACAAGCTCAACCCTAATGTTCTCGCAAGTTGGCACAAGCGGGTACACAGCTCCGTAAGTATCAACTCCCTCGATGTCCCAAAGATCAACATCACGTATGACCGCCGGACTTAACACATCAGATAAACACCACAGTGAGGTTAAAGAAGCCCAAGGGTATACCAAAGCAGTAGACCTCTGGTCTCTTGGAGCGCTCACCGTCGTTCTACTCACGGGCCAATCCATCATTCCCGACATTGACAGCAAACGCAATGAAGGAGACGATATGTCAATCGTCGAAACAGACCAGAGTTTGGAAGACCTAGAAGACCCTCTCGCAATCAGCTTTATAAAGCAGCTTCTCGTGAAGAATGAACACGAGCGAATGACAGCAAAGCAAGCGCTCCAACATCCGTGGATCAGCAACGAGTTTTACTGTGAAGAACTGCAAGCCGTTTACAAGAAGGCCATCAAAGATTGGGTTCCCCGGCGCAAAGTATGGAAGTGCGTAGAATACCTTAACATTGATAGTTCTGGGCCGAAACAAACCCATTCAGACCGAGATGCTCCAACGCATGTTTCAACTACTCACTCTGCAGACAAAGCATCGCCTTATTTTACTACTTCCGTATCCAACGCAGATACCCTTGGCAGCCAGCGGCACATGAGACTGTCCACTATACCCGAAGAAACAGACGGCTCTGCCATGGAAGAAAATACCTGCGCCTTCACAAGCTCTTTACCTTCATCAATCAGTGCTGCCGTCAGAACCGGAGAAGTACATGGCCATGACGATCCTATTGACACGCTGAGAATAGAAAATCTCTCTGTGGCAGCAGACGTCGCTAAGGCCGATGTGGATATGGATACCGATAGCGATACCCAAGACAGAGACGCCAAGAGTTCATGTCGCTGCATCCCGGACAGTGTCGACGGAGACTCTGATATTGCTTTACCGGATCCAGTCTTCGAAGATTCTCCTCCTCCTCTTTCTCTTTCCCAAGCACCAGACTCGCCCATGAACCAAAAGCGGCTCACGACGTCCGAGCGTATCCGACAAGAAACAGAAACCTCCTGCAGCCTGAAACGCGGTTGCAGTTCGGCGACTCAGGATAGTCCCATTTTTCCGCATTCTGCAACATCTCAGACCAATGTCTCAGCGAAATGTTTCGGTCGCGAATCTAGGTATCCTCAGCGCCGTCGCGGTAATGGTGATGTCACCACCGAATCCGAGAAGGGACATGCTCCATCGAAAAAGCGACAGAAGATATATCGCGTGAAATGAAGTTCTTTTTTTTTTGGGCCGTTGCACAGTACTACTGTGCTGTGAGGTCGTGCTTGGTGGATAGCTGACTTGCTTGATGTCTGGAAGAGAATACATCCTCTTCAACTTACCTTTGGTAGAGCTTGCTCAGACTGTGTTCGCTCAGATCTCTAGAATAATAGATTTAAGAGAAGGGGAAATATTGCATTTAATGATGGAATAGGAAGGGCTAGAATTGCAATTTGTTATCTATCATTCTAGAAAATTAGTAGTATACTATTTGCCCTACAAGTGAGGGCATGCCGACTTCCGCATGCTTAGCCATGGCACAGAACGGCAGTATCAAGAGTAACGCAAGTTAACTCGGGAATCCCAAAAGGTCACAATCCACAAGAAATTCCGGACAAGTATCCGCATCAACTTCGTCGATTTCTCATCACTTCGTTAACAATATGCTAGCGCTCCAAAAGCTAACCCTAGGCCTGTGCTTAACGTAGATACATACATGATATCAGATATTCTCACTAATGACACCATCACATCTCATAACGTCATATATGCCGTCTAGGCTTTCTTTCATGAATAAAAGAGGGAAAGGGGGTAACACCTCGTAAAAAAATCTTCCAATCAGAGCCAAAGCACAATCTTGCCGCCAAAAAAACAACATATAAGCAAATCATCAATTTATGGAAGCGCTAGCAGGAAGAAAAAAGACTCCAATCAATCGTTGCACAAGAATAAGAGTTCTTCTATTAACCCATATGCGACACATATAACCAAGACCATTTCCGGATCCTGCTTTATATGTGTAAGACAAGGGCAGACTCGAGAACCCAATCCTTGTGAGACGCCGGGTAGGCGTCTTTCACGATCCATTGTAGTAAATGTCGATTCTGCTTGAGCCACCGCAAATCTCCTTGCTATTTCCCGTGCAAACCATGTTGCAGTCCGACGAGGAAGCAGGGGCGGCACCATTGGAAATGGTCGTGCCGCAGTAGCATTCCTGGGACCACTCCACGCCTGCATACGGGTAATTGGACTTCTGGCAGAAAGCAATGCACGATTCGACTGTCATGCCTGTAGTGTCAACGTACGAGTTGCTAACGAGAGCGCGGCCAGTGGTTCCCTCTGAGTAGCAGCCCTTGAGCTGGTAGCTTCCAACGCCAGTCGGGCTCGATGGGGCGCTCGATGTGGTGCTGGAGCTCGAGCCGGAGCCGGAACCAGAGCCCGAAACGCTCCAGACGGTGAGGCGGTTAGGTCCACCGCAGATCTCGTTCTTGTTGCCAGTGCAGGCCATGGTGCAGCCAGTCTGACCGCCAACGGAGCCGGCATTGAATGAATTACCGCAGTAGCATTCCTGACTATACTCAGTTCCGGCATATGTGAAGCCCTTGCCTTTACAGTAGCTCTCGCACGCCTCGTTGGTCATGCCAGTGGTATCGACGTATGATGCGCCAGACAGGGCTCGCTGGTTGGTTGCCTCACTGTAGCAGCCGAGCGAGACCGCGCCTCCGCTTGGGGATGAAGTGGGCGAGGAAGTGGCGGAGGCCTTGGTGGACGAGGAGCTGGAGCTGGAGCCCGACCCAGAGCCAGAAACGTTCCAGACGGTAAGACGATTAGGTCCACCACAAATCTCGTTCTTGTTGCCAGTGCAGGCCATGGTACAGCCAGTCTGGCCGCCAACGGAGCCGGCATTGAATGAATTACCGCAGTAGCATTCCTGACTATACTCAGTGCCAGCATATGTGAAGCCCTTGCCTTTACAGTAGCTCTCGCACGCCTCGTTGGTCATGTCAGTGGTATCGACGTATGATGCGCCAGACAGGGCTCGCTGGTTGGTTGCCTCACTGTAACAGCCGAGCGAAACTGCGCCACCAGACCCGCCGGTAGGAGAAGAGGAAGGCGCGCTGCTGCTGCTGGAACTCTTGCTGGAAGAAGCGGAGGCCTTGCTGGACGAACTGGACGAAGCTGAGCTCTTGCTGGACGAAGGACCTGACGTCTGGGTTCCACGAGTTATTGGCGTGCAGGCGCCGATGGTGCTCCGAGCGGAGAGCCTAACAGTTGAGAGCGTAGTTCCAGAGGTTGAGCGCTTCAGATGCTGGGAGACTTCGGACTTCCACACGCTGAGGCGCCAGGCTCCACCGCACTTCTCATAGCCGTTACCGGCGCAGTTTAGGTCGCAGTCAGTCTGGCCAAGAGTCGAGGCCGAATTCAGGGTATTATCACACCAACCTTGAGGGCGAAGTTAGCTAGGGGTCTCACGGAGTATTGGAGGGAAGAAGCTTCAAAGTCCTACATTCTTGTCCATTCTCGGTTCCGGCATAGATATAACCGTTGGTCAGGCAGAAACTCTGGCAGGATTCAGTGGTCATGCCTGTGGAATTAGTATACATGGTCCCAGAAAGGGAACGTGGTGAAAATGAATCGGTAGCGCAACCGACGTAGGCCCAGTTGTTAACAGATTGTCCAGGAGTGGGAAGCAAAGTCGTGGTAGCAGTGCCGGTGGCTTTGGAAGGCTGGCGCAACGAAGGTTGTGGGACACCAGCAGCACAGACCATGTCACCAATGGGGGCATTTGCTGGGCCGTTGTCGACTTTGATGCAGCCGGGAAGCTTGCTGATTCTGCCCGAAACCGGCTCCTCGACGATCGACGGCTGCTCAGGGCAATTCCAAGCGGCATTGTCATCATTGGTTGCAGCAAGAATAGGGCAGTCAGAAATGTCCCCATCATTATCGGTAAAGGCGCATTCTTTTGTGGCATTTTTGATGGTTTTTTGGTCCCAGCCGTTGATGAAATCACCGTGAAAGCCATAGCCGGTCGGATCTCCTTGAGCGAAGACGAAACGGCCACCGTCCTGGGTGACGCTGTCCATAGAATAGAGAACTTCGTAGAAGAGATGAACAAGTTGAACTGGATGAGTGGGCGGGCACTCGCCATTGTCAATGTCTGACATGTAGGCCACGTGGCTGTTGTCAGAGCGGTACAAGTCTCTGCCATTCCAGCAGGACTGGAAATGAATCTGGGCGCGCATGCCGTATTTACAAGAGGTGCGGAACATATAAGGTTGCTCGGCCATGGCCTGATCATCGAGACAAGCGAAAGAAACACGGTCCGCAACGGGACGAACATTGCCATAAGTCAAGGTTGTGTTATCGTAGGAGCGGGCAGACATGTCGCCCGAGAGCATTCGGAAGCCAGGAGGGAATGGGGTGGCACCAGTGGTGGCGTTTCCGCGGCCAAGGTAGTAGATGGCCATGCCGCCGGCATAAACCTCTTCAAAGGTACCATCTGCATGTTGATAGTAAAGGAGCGGGGTCCAATAGGCGGACTTGTCTGCTTGGACTGAGCAGGATGTGCAGCTAGCCTGCCTCAGCGTGTCGTAGGTGGAGCTTATATTAATATCTGGCCTTTGTTAGTGTTTCATACACTGACAGCCGTACTGTGGACAGCACATACTTGAAGCTCCAACGAGTTTGTGGACATGGCTGGAGACCATTCCAGGGGACACGACCGGGTCGATACGTCCAGTCTGGACAGTGCTACAGCTCATGCGCCAGTAGGCATCGACATTGCTGAAAGCAAAAGCAAAGGAAAGAACGGCAAGCTTCACTTTCGTGAGAGCCATGCTGAAAGAGCGAACAGCGCAAGGAACAAGAATGAATGAATGGCCGGCGAATGCAAATTGGCTGATGAAAGAGTAAGGGCAGACATGATTAGTTTTATAATCCTAGGAAACCCCTCAAGAGGCTCTCGTGATATCTGGGGCAGCTTCATAACAGGGACAGGAAAAATAGGTGAGATCCCGAAAGGGTGTTTGACCCTTCCCGTGCATGTTTTCCATCCCCAAAGAAGAGTGTGGATGGAACATTGACTTGACACAAGACTTGTTAGGTAAAATGAAACTCGATCTCAATGAATCAGATTGGAAGCCCGTCACGAGTAAATGGGCAGTTCCAAAGACAGGAGGGGTGATTGCGGCTCGAATCATATCGAACCAACCGTTGAAAGCGGCTCTAGGTAGCAAAAACCAAAGCCAAAGGGGTGAAGCCAGCGTGTAAAGACGGGCACCGGAACAACTACTCAGTTGCCGGGACAAGCAGATTCTGCAAAGAGCTTATTCAAGGGAGACGACATCTCAGGAGAGAGCAGTGAAGGGGGCTCTGAAAGGGATAGCGCAGCCACTGCAAGGGGGGGTTATGACCCTCAAGGGCAATTTTGGCGACAGGTGACCCTTGAGTCTGACTTGATGTCCGGACGAGTTGGAGACGGCAAGGCCGGTAGACGATGTGATAGTGAAGAGCGATTCGTCTGCTAAGAGCTAGATGAAGCGGGGAAGGGAGACTATGTGCTGAGTGGCTAAGGCCATCTCTTCCCTCTTCTCACTCAAACATGAACAAAAACCTCGATGGAGGCAGAGAGGCGTCAAGGGGGCGGCGGTCAACGATCGAGCCCTGCGGACTCGATCTGCAAGATAAGCGCATCCCTTTGATAGAGATGGCTTGAAAGACGGAACGAAACTGGGGAGAGGAAGGACCGAGACATGCATAACCCACGAGGCGGGCGCGTGCAAAAAGCCCTCGGCCCTCACCGACCGCCATCCCTGGTTCGGAGTAGCAGTCAGTTGCACTTGAAGAGGGAAAAGATGAACGGTTTATGTTGCCACAATGCAAGCCCTGAGGAGTTTTTTCGGGACGCGGCTCAGCGCTTCTGGTAATGGATCCTTGTCGAATACCGTCATGTCTTGATTCTGAAGATATTCAAAAGATAAATATGTACTGTTCGAAGCTCTTCCTTGACGCTCTTTCATCCATTTCTGACTGCCTCTGCATCATGTGGCGCCGAAAATGTTCGATTTCCATCACAAAGCGATCAAAAATTTCACGATAACTCCAAACATGATTCTTTCTGCAAAGCTTAGATCTAGTTGGCTAAGATGACGACGCACTGCATCACCGCTCAACTTCTCTCTTGGTCAGAAGAGGAACATTTCTGCCGTGAGCGGGCTCCTACCCATCGACGATCAAATGACCGAGTCATATCACCCCTCCAGGTCACTCTGAGGATGACCATCGGCAGTGACTGTGGTGGGAAGGGAAAGAATTCTTATCGAATCAAGGGCATAAGGGAAGATGTTTTGAGGGGATAGATGAGAAGGAAGGGGAGGGCAACTGGGACTGCTGACCAGGAGACGTCCCAAAGTGGCCCGTGCGTATAATGTCTGTTTTGCCCAATTGGGAAGGCGCCCGAGATGGATCTTTGGTTTGGCCAATCACAGGCCGCCATTGCCAACATCATGATGGCTGTCATTGTTCAGCGCTCTCTATGATCTCAACACCTCTTCTTTCAATCACATTGCACCCTCAAACCTTGTAGAATTGTTGTTGTGAAAAATTATGATCGATACACACGGAATGCTTTGACCTTTTCTCATTCATTTGTTCTTTTCGGTCTCCGTTTTTCAGCATGATGGATCTTTCATTGGCTTCATCATATCGGGATGTTGAACTGGCATATGTGCGTCATCAGCAAGCCGGCGTTCGTTCGGGGGAATGGGTTCCTTTTGTCTATCCTTTTCATGCATTAGGAATGATTATGCTCGGTGTCTATCTGCTTATTCCTCAGAGCGCTTTGAGATTCTCAGCATTTTCGATATTTTCTCGCTATTTTGTGTTTGCTCTTGTTTCTGCCCATTCAATATGGAGTATACGGAATATACGGTCAATTAGCACCGCCAACGGGTTCGGTGTTGGTCTAATTTCCTCCTGGACTATGCTCTGGGCCGCCACACTTCTCGTTTTCAATGATGTGCAGCGAGATTTTGCGCGGATTCAAAGAAAAAGTGACAGTGGCGTTCAAGTGGCCACGTCCGACCGTTCACACGATCATGTGGCGAATACCACCACCAGCGCCATTTCCGCGTCCAACGGCAGCCCCAGGCAGCGGAGCTCGATGCAGCTCGACAAAGCCGCCAACGGTCAAATTTCGACGGCAGCAAATGGTCATGCATCGGGACCCAAAAATTCTCGCACCGCCATTTACTTCTGGCAGCCCTACCCCCAGGCTTTTACCGACCGCCTGTACTGGGTAACTGACTTAGTTCTCAATTACAGAGGCATTGCTTGGAATTGGCGGAGCTCAGGGCTGCCGCCGCCGCCGAAGCGAGTTCGAGAATCACTCGAGCACAATCATGGTGCGAGCGCTGCTTCGCCTCGTGATCGAGCAAGTCCGGATCACTCTCATCATGGCCACAGCCGGGCTTCCATCACCTGGGAAGCTTTTCGACGCGTCTCATTCTGGTACTTTACTATTGATGCCATCAAGGTCATCATTATGCGAGACCCTTATTTCTGGGGATTTATCGATGCACCTGCACCTTCCTACCTCCCGTCAACGATCGCTCAATCTCCGGTGCTGCTTGGTTGCTATCGCCAGATTTTGAGCTTGGCGAGCATTTGTGCTGCTCTGCAAGGAATCTACTCCCTTGGCCCTCTTGTTTTCGTCGGGATTCTCGGGAAATGGTTCAACGTCAACGGCGAGCCATGGATGTACCCTGATGGCTATGGCAGCTACAGGCACGTCCTCGACAATGGCCTCGCCGGATGGTGGGGCGGTTGGTGGCATCAAACGTTTCGTACCATGTTCTCGGCGCCTTCACAGTGGCTCATTGAGAAGATGAATATGAATCGGAAATCACCCCTCGCGAAAATGTTGCAGCTCGTCATTGCATTTTCATTGTCTGGCGTGCTTCATGCCTGTGGATCGTACACAAACCTGCCGCCGTCAAGGCCCATGAGCGGCTCATTTCTCTTCTTTATCTTGCAGCCGGTGGGCATCATGGTTCAAATAGGGCTGAGTGCAGCATTGAAGAAAGCTGGCATCACGGCCAGGATGCCCAAATATGTGCGACAGGCCGGCAACTTTATCTACGTCCACGTTTGGCTCTACTATATCGCTCCACTGCTCACAGATGACTTTGCGCGACAGGGTCTCTGGCTGTTTGAACCAGTGCCTATCAGTCCTCTCCGGGGCCTTGGATTCGGGGCCGAGGGCGAGGGATGGGTTTGCTACAAGCAAGTGAACCCATATTGGTACCAAGGAGAGAAATGGTGGCAGAGTGGGGTTGCGATTTAGGGAAAATGGAGGATTGATTATCACGTTACATTAAGGTAACATTTGTTTGACCGGGAGGATTAACCGGTCTTCTTGGCGGCGGCGGAGTGGTGGAGAAAAGGCGACGTTGAATGATTGTTGATGTTGCGGGCGAGGTAACCGTCGCTGTCCAGGGCGAGGGTTACGGGGCTAATTGAGCGGGGGCCATGTCACCTCCCCCACCATTATCGCCGCCATTAACCGGCTCTATAAAATGCTGATAGGCATGGGCCCCATCGTCTATCACCAATCCAACTACAACATAGAAGAATGAATGAACGAATATAGAATGAGAATGTAGATAACCGGCGACATAGCTCTAGATTTCTTTTCTTATATATATATTCTCTCTCTTTACTTCAATACATTTTTCTTTTCTCTCTGAATCCTCAATTCAAGATCAGAACAATCCAAAGTCAATTAACCACTCCCCATCCACCACTAAACAACCTCATATCATCACCAGACACACCCGGCGCCTTCAGCCACACTCCTCGCCTTTTAAAATACCCTCAGTCTTCGAAAAGGCCAGATATACAGTATCCAAACCAAACCACCACTACCAAGAATACGTACCTAAATTCGACTCGCCAATCATGACCGCGACAGCGACCAGTACTACTACCGCCGACACTACCACCGCAGACACCACCACCTGGACCTCTAGCTTCTACACCTCCGCTCAAATCGCGCAGTACAAATCCTCCCTTCTACGCGACGGTTTCGTCCTGATCCCCTCTCTACTGAGCGAATCCGAGCTCTCGACTCTCCGGGGCGCAGCCGCATCCTCCATCGCCCGCGCACGCGCCGGCAAATGGCCATACATTCGGACCGTGCCGAAACAATTCCCGCCATGGCCGCCGACGCCTGGGCCCGAGGGGATCTGGGGCGTGCAGCACCTGCTGCACCCATCGCTGCCGCCCGAGGAGCAGCAAGTGTACGCGCACAGTTACTTTACGGGCAAAATCATGCATCTCATCATGGGCATACTGGGGTGCAGAGAGGAGGACATGGTGATGGAGCTGTATAACATGCTGGTTACACCGCGGCCGTTGACCGAGGACGAAAAGCGGGCATCATCCCAACCTCAATCCTCGTCTCCGTTTCAGCCTACCTCCTCTTTACCACTTTCCCGACAGCCCGAGCATGGCGAGGCAGTAAATAACCCCACACAGGAAGCAGCAACAACAACAACGGCCAAAAAAGCATTCACATTGCGCTGGCACCGGGACGACATACCCGCGAGCGCGTCCGCCGAGGAAGAGCTCGCGCGGCTGTCGCAGCCCGCGCACCACGCGCAGTGGAATCTGGCACTGTACCCAGACTCTGCGCTTGTCGTGGTTCCCGGGTCGCATAAACGCGCACGAACAGAAGCAGAGCGTCAAGCTGACTTGTTCGATGGCGAGGACGAGACTGACGAGAGCGAGAGGGAAAGCCAGAAGAAGAAGAAGAAAATGCCCGGCCAGATTCCTGTGACCATGCAGCCCGGCGATGTCGTGTTTTATAACAATAACATTCTACATCGCGGCGTGTATGATCGCGATGCCGAGCGGGCTACGTTGCATGGCAGCGTGGGTGTCCTGGCGGGCGGGGACACGCGGGCGCGCAATGTCCTTCAGCATGGAGTGGGCGAGTGGGTTGATCGGATTTCGTTTGGGGGGTTGCCTACCAGTTCGAGTGCAGCGAGCACGGCTGGTAAGAACGGGGCAAGTGCGAATGGCGCAGACGGTGGAAATGTTGATGACGAACGAAAGCGAGCAGAAACAATGCGTCGCAACCTCGTCATGCTCGGACGAGGGCGACGCGCAGAAGACGTGGGATTTTCGCTCGAGGGTTGAGAGATGATTTAACCGTACGATAGTATATACACTTATTGTCCACCTCGTCTCGTCATTGTATCATACGGTTGCGGTGTTAGATATAACGTACATACTAACGTATATATTTTACCTTGCCTAGATGTCGAATGCAAATTGTACATCCGACGCTCACGTCAGGAAGGGAGGTGTATATATCGCTCTCACGGTCAATATATTGTAGAAAGAGACTCAATCTATGCACACTCCCCTTTCTTATTATTTAACACTAATCAGACCCCTTCTTCCAAGGGAAAAGAACGTACAATATTCCAAAACGAAGAAGAAACAGTCGTGTTGCTCCGTTGTATTGTCATGTTGACCTTTGACATTGAATAACATGACATACTGCAGTGGTTGTCAAAGCACCTGCATTCAATGGAACGTACACTGTATATTGTACATGAGCGAGAGTGCGATGTCAAACGAGAAGCGATGTCCTGAGTAAAAGACACGTAATATCTAAATAAAAATGACGGAAATATTGGAAATGAAAAGAAAAGGAGCGGGGAACAAAGAGAACTAAGGGAAAGGAATGGGACGAAAAAAGAAAACGAAAGAGAAGGGAACAAAAGAAAAATGAAAAGGAGAAACATCTCCCAATAGCGCAGCTAGATCTCAAATCTCAAATCCCAAATGTCAAATCTCGAATCTCGAATCTCACATCCCATTTAACCGTACGTGAGACAAGGCTGAGGGATCCGCTGACAAGTGAGAACGCACTAGTATGGTCTCGTGGCAACCCATGCCAATGGTGCTTGAGGTGAGAGGCGGGGGGAGGGGGACGGATCAACAGTAGTAACAAAATACGGTGTACTTGGCGGCGCGAGATATATCGTGACGCGGTTTCAAATGCCAACTGCCGCGCTCGTTTTCTCGACTCTAAGCTACGTCTAGTACTGTGCAAACAGTTATAGCATTTACCATACTTATTGCGAGGCAGTAAGGATACTTGAGGAGTGTGGACAGGACAGGGCAGGAAATACGGAAGTACCGGGCTGGATGAGTAGATAAGGTAGTTACACAGACAGTCAATAGTAGAAAGGTAGAAAGCTACACAGACACTAAAAAAGATGGCATTACTCAGATAAAAAGTTTCAAAAAGGTTCTAGATGTATTGGATGGCTAAGTAGGACAGCGCGCAAGATGCCAAGTGGTATAGGTACACTTTCAAAAGAGAGCAAGACAAAGGTATGGCTAGGTGGCCAGGCAGGTAGTCAAGCAGGCAGGCAGGCAGGGAACGAGAGGGGAAAACGCATGAAATGCAAGAAGCGCAGAACGCGCTGAGAAATGCGTAGATGATATCATCTAAAACGACAGATGACAAATCAATAAGAGCAAAGATTCGATGAAAATGAAAAAGAGATATGACAAGCAAGTGACAACACAACACAAGCAAGTGACATGACAACCTTCAAATTCACAATACATATCCCCTGGGATTGACACAGTCCCACTTGCGAACTGCTCGGCTGTCTTCCAGCTCAACGCACCACCAGAGCACGCTCTTGGCCTTTTCAATCTGGCCGCTGAGTTCATGCGCTGTGGCAAGGGCGAACCATGCCTCGGAGTAGTCCCAGCCAGACCCCAGCTTGGTCAAAGATGACAACAGACCATATGCTCGGTCGCGAGCGGCTAGGCGATCGAGATCTTCGGGACTGATTTTTCGTTCAGGGTAGTGGTCGTTTGAGGAGGACGAGTTATCTTCCTCTGAAGCCTCCAGCGCAGGGAGGATCGAATCGCGAAGGGCAAAGATGGAGTCAGGCGGAGGCGCGGTCACGCTTTCGGGAGCTTGAGCGGGCGCGAGTCCTGCAGCCGACGATAAGAGTGCTTTTAGAGGCACTTTTTGCGTGTAAATGTCCAACAGAATGTTGGATAGACCGACGGTTGCAGAAGGATGGTCGATGAACAAGAATAGAGCCTTTTCAAAGTACATAATAGCCAGGTGGTGGGAGCCTTGGGCTAGCGCGAGATATGCTTGCTGTAGACAGGCGTGTGGTTAGCAAATGTTTTATTCTATAGGGACAAACAGAAAAGAACCAGAGGAGGGAATATAAGGATTACGACATACTTCGGCGTAAACATCGGCCCAGAGCTCGTCAACGCTCTTGCGGCCAGCCCAATTACGTACTGACAAAGCTCTGTTACTGGTATCCTCCTGCAAAACTTCAGTCTCAAGCTCCCTGACGAGCTTGGACGCTTCGTCGCTCGCCCCCTGAGCATCTTCGTGCATGTTTGCCCGCCGATAAAGGGCTCCAATGAGGAGCCAAATCTCCACCAGCACCGATCTCCTTCTCCGTTTCTCTTGTACAGTAGGTGGCCTGAGACGGTAGTTCGTTGCGTGAGTTGGTAATGAAGTGGGCAGCCGCAGATCTTGCATTGGAGGTTGCTTTCCGTGCCCGGCTGGCTCAGGCTCCTTTTTCGGGGGCATGTTGTGGACTATGGGTGAAGGCAGTGGTTGCGGGGAGAGATTCAAATCTTCGGCAGAGCCGGGAACATCGGGGGATACTGCGAGACCGACTTGGCTGGGAGAAGTGTATGTACTCCAGCGGCGGTCAGCAAATGAGCCTTGCTCTGAGCCTTGTCCATCGCCAGGTACTCCAAGAGAAAGAGCATTTTGGTTTGCGGAATCATCTACTGCAGGCCTTGTGCCGTGGTCCTTTTTCTTTCTCAGACTACCAAGGCTTTTGCGACGTAGACCCTCGTCTTTCTTGGTTTGCTTTCCAGCATGATGTGTGCCATTGTGGAATAAGTGATGGTGATGATGTTGACGATCTTTTTCTGACTGCCGGCCATCATCGGTCGTGACCTGAATGGTAGGCGCATCTGATAAGCTCGGAGCAGCGGGTACGGGTGGCGCATCAGCGCTGGATACGGCAGAACTAGCCTCCCCGTAACGAACGCTCTTTCTTGAGCTCTTGGGCCGACCAAAGATGGTCCCAACAGAGCTTTTGATAGTACCGCTCGAACTCTTTGGTGGCTCCAAAGATTCTTCTTTCTTCTCGACGGGCGGTTCACTATAAAGTCGACGATAGAGACCGAGAAGCTCATCACAAGAGTTCACAGCTACCTCTGCACCTTCCAGGATTTCCAGCAGAGCTAATTGAGTAATTTTGACTTGTATGATGCCCTCACGTTCATAATCTTCCATATCGTCGACGATGCCCTTGCTAGCCTGGCTCTTTATCGAAGAAATTGCTACGGAGGAGTTGAGATGTTCGCTGCGAAATGGTGCATTGCTATCATGCTCTCCGAAAAGGACTTTGAGATTTCCGAATTGTTCGAATGCTGCCTCGGAAGTCTTGAGCGCACCGTTAAAATCATGTCGAGCGCTCTGTAGCAGAGCTAAGAGGTGCCAGAGGGGGATAGAGCGCCTTTGGAATGCGAAATCTGACGGACGGATTACTTCGATCGTGTCTCTGCTTGCCATAGACGCAGCCAACCGACTTGATGCGCTGACGCCATGGCTGAGACTCAAAGCTGATTTCACAACTTCAACGGCGCCACTGACATCCCTAGTCTCGGCGAGCAGGAGGCCGAGTGTATAGCTAGCATCGAGCCTTTCCATTTCTTCTAGCTCGCCAGCGAGCGCCCGACGAAGGTTGGTGACAGCATTGGTTTGATACTCGGCGCGACTCGCGACATCGTACGTATACTTTGCCCACTGAGCTTGACTAATACCTATTGCCAGGTATGAGATTGCAAGCGCATCCTGCGAGATAGGTCTGCCAACAAGCGGCCGCTGATCCTCGGCTTCAGACTCTGAAGGGACACCGTCTGGTTGCATCAAAGTCTCAGCTAAAGAACCTGGCTGGTGTTTCTGCAACCACTTTTCGATCATGATGCCGACTTCCTTGGCTTTCCCCGCAGCCCATCGATCTCCATAAGCGCATAAGACTTTGACGCCCTGGGCTGCCATGCGAAGGGCAGTGTCATCATCATCCAAACCAGGATCTTCCACGCCTGATTTCTCATCTCGAGCCTTGCCCTTGGTGAATATTTCATAATATGTATCAAATGCCTTGAAAGCGAGCTCGTACTCAGCAAGAAATGTATGAACGGTGAAGAGGTGTCGCAGGATTGGAGTTGAGTGAAACGTCTTTGTGGCAGCACGGTAGAGAATCTTGACAAGAAATTGGGTTAGTTTTCAATTGACTTAACTTTAATGGAATTAGTTTTGCGATCGTTCCAGCTTACATCCAACACCTTGCGTGCAAGGCCTTCCTTGGCCCCTTCAATGAGTACTTCGTCCGAATCTCTCCTGCTTAACATACTCCAATTCTTCATAACAGTCTCGACCCACTGTTCGACTTCCTGATTGATCTGGTCTGCGCGCGGGAAAGACACCTGTTTGAGCAGCAGGGTCTCGTATATGGTTTCGACGCGCTTTATTTCCGAGGAAAGATGGAACTTTAGCGTTTCTTGTTCCGTGTTCTTCAAGACAGATCCTTCCTGGGGCGGGATGTATGGTAGATCCTCCTGCAGAATCTTGGATAGCGTCTCGAAATAGGAGCGCCAAACCTGCCTCCGTGGTATATCAACCCCAGAATTTGGTTCCTCGATGATAGCCAGAGCCTGACCGGGCCTCCCTTCCCACAATTTCGCCCAAGCGCGGAAACCCGACAGCGCTGTGGACAAGGCTCCTCTTTCAGCGACGGGTTCTGCAGCGTATTGACCGGAAAGTGTACAGTAACTTGCCAGCAGCTGCTCCGACCAGAAGCGCAGCTGAGCTGATTCCGATGTGCGGTACGTTGAGGTCTTTGTTAGAAGCGGAAGACCAGCTTGGAACGCATGAAGTGCGTCTCGGTCACGAGATGCCTTTCGAAGGGACGCGCCTCGAATGTAGATTCCCTTGATGGCGCAGACTGTTGTCCAACCCCTTATTATCTGCCCACCCGATGTGATTCGATTCCAGGATTCTTCAAAATCGGCTGGTAGTTGCGCCATGGCCGATTCAGGCTGTTTTAGTACCCAGTAGAGCCATGCCAGGCATGTGCGCGCCTGAAACACATCTTCGGGGTGCTCATTGGCATCTTCGATGGCGGCGAGAAGCGGCTGAGCTAGCTGGGAGAGATCTGAGGGCGGGGGGGATGTTGCAGAGGTTTTGCGGGAAAAGGATGCAATTTGACTTTCTGAGTTCGCCGTAAGTACGAGGCCTATTTTCATTACGGTCAGCGAATATTCAGCAGGTTGGGCGTAATAACACCGACATTTCCTATGTGGCGCATGTTTTGCTACTTTCCGCGCCAGCTCCGGGATATTGTGCCACTGGCCATCACAGCGAGCAACGTCAAGCTGATGGATATACCGAGACGCCTTTTCGGTTTCGTGATGCTGCATTGGCCCGTCAGTAAATTCCCCTGCTATCACTGTACAAGTAACCCGAACGACAGAGAGACAGTACACTCATGTTTGCCAATTTCCCTCTTTGGCGGAGGACGGTGTTTACGCTGATCTAGAAACGACAAAAGTTGAGGCAGAACCATTAACACATGTTGCATGGAACCTGTCAAATTAGAGACTTGTTGCAGCAATCTCGACAATTATATTATTCAACGTGAAAAAGGGGAACTGGCCGCGCAAGTTGAGGGCGCAGTGTGGTCTAATGACGACGATGGCGGAGGTTCCAATCACCGACCATTTTTAGTTTTCGAGATCCCTTTTTTTTCGGTTTGGCCATTTCACCTCAAAGTGCAAAAAGTTTCATTCTTCAACAACATTTGAAGATTTCGACAGGAAATCTTTCTAGCGCAATAGCGCAAATCTGTTTATCTTCTCCCTCGGCGACTGCATTGAACTGTTCGTCAAAATTCTGTGCTCGCCATGCAGTCGCATTCTTCAAACGCTGCTCCTCTGAGAGCACTCACGCACCGACTCTCTTCCATACCAACGAAGCAATTGCCCCAGACCTTGCCTCGACTCATACCCATTCTGATCAGTTGCAAGCCGATATTATCTGCTCCGGCAAGCCATTCGCAGGGCCGGGATGCTTCTGAGGCCGCGGTTCTCACGCACAAGTTCAAGACGCAACTTACGACGCTCTTGTCCGGAAAATCGCCCGAGGGGAGATGGACGGCCGTAGTATTGATCAAAGGGACAGTGGATATTGGTGGCTGGGAGATTCTACGTGCTTGTGAACCTTGGGTACGAGGTTTACTGGGAGTTTTGTCGGTATGTTTTTCACCAATGTCCTAATTGCGAAGAAGAAACCGGCCTGGACTAACTCTGCCCATAGAAACCCGACCCTCCTACGACCAAGCAGATATGCATTGTGACCTTGACCAAGATCTTCCTCCTAACACACGAGTACCCGACATTGATTCGAGAAATCACGACGCCTTCGCTGCAGCCGTTTGTGACCTCGAGTCTCAACCTCATCGCAAAAGTAGCCACGACAGGGGACAACAGCGCTCTGATCGATACCATATTGAACGCCTTTTGCAGGCTTCTGCCGCGTCATCCGAACAGTTTCCGCTCCTTTGCAGCGCAAATCCAGACTTCTCTTCTCCCTCTAATTGCGCCGACCCCTTCAAGCCACACCGCAGATGGCGGCAGATCGGTCGCGCAGTCTACCTCTGAGGTTGCTCGGCGCGTATTCGTCTCTCTTCATCATTGTGCGCCTAAGAATACTTCTGGTCCAGAATGGGGAAATGCGCTCAGGGCCGTTCTAACTAACGTGCACTGCACTGCGGACCAAGTTTTCAGATCGGTCATTGAAGACTGGGAACCAGCAGGAGAACCGCTCAGTCGCGGAGCGAACCCCAAAACATTGAGCGAAGTCGTTAGCGATTTTGGATCTGACCCTATGAATCTACCCAAATGGGTAGGAATAGATGCCGGCGTGGAGAGACTTGCAGGCCTCTTGGGAACTGTGAAAGCGTTCCTACTCACTCCCACATCCTCCGCAATCAACCTCCCTATCGGGTTAATCATGGACACCCTGGCTCGAATCTTTGCCATTGCTGCCCCCAGCAGTACAGGCAGCGATCACTCTACCATCCGATTTAACCCACAAATCGAGAGAATCGAGCGTGACGGATTACTCGCCGGCCTGCCTCATGTCCACGTCTCATGCATGGAGATTCTAATGGCCATGACTGATCGACTCGAGAAAGCCTTTGGGCCAATGGTACAAGGCTGCGTGGAACAATTATGCTGGATTTACCAAGCCGAAAGATGGAGCAGGTTTGTGATCCTCTCACTCTCCCCAACTTCCTCTCTTTCTTATTAGCACCGCAACTCACATGATATACAGTGACATTCGAACATCAACGTACACTCTCCTCGCCAAGCTCCTCCAAACAGGCGGTCCTGCTTTCAAGAAGAGCACAGTATCATCACTCTCCAAGATCATTCTTGCCTGCTGCGACGACCTCCTTCCTCCCGCCGAACCCACCACTCCAGCTCAAGACACATCTGGATCTAAAAAGGGCAAAGGCAACGCCGCCAAGAACATGACAATTGTCAACGCAGATAAATTCCTGACGCCAGCTACGCACCAACAACAAGAATACGCATCCAAGACATCCATCGGCCTCGCTGGCTTGACTGCTGCCGCTTCACACCTACTCCCCATCCTTCTCACCCATCTACCCACCCACCTTGTTCCCTTCCCCGTGCGGACCAAGATTGACCGTACCGCCATTCTCCTCCGGCACGAAGAAGCCATGTACGCGAGCGTTCTGAACCCGCCTCCCACGCGCAAGGGAGCCAAGACAGCTAGTAGCATCTTGCCGCTCCTTGCCCGCGCGTATCCGACAAACATGGACGTCGAGGCACTCATCCGGCCGCGCATGCCTGTCATTCGCACCTTACAAGGCGAACCGGGCGAGAGCGACGAAACCGGTGACGGTGCCGGGGCTGAAGCCGATGGGGATGAAGAAATGGAATCCGGCTCCGCGGGAGGCAAATCCACCGACGCAATCCAAAAGATCAATGCCCAAGCAACCAATGCATACCTCGCCGCCGCCAACAACGCCCAACAAGACGAGAGCACTAAATCAAATTACCGGCGAGAACCTACTCCTACGCCATCAGAAACACGAGCCGAAGCCGTTGCCGCCGCCGCCATCACCTCAGAGCGGTCTTCCGCCACGACGGAAACACCCGCAGCGAAATCACCGGCCGCTTCTACCTCGTTGAATAATGTGCCTGGTCTATATCCTGACGCTGCAGAGGGTAAGTCCACCAAGCGACCTTTTGCGCCAGAAGTTTCGCCTGAACGTCCAGAAGCTTCCGTTGCTACTCCAATTAGTAGTCGTATCACTGGTGGTAGCGGCGATACCAACAAGAAACCTCGTATCGAAGTCGCTCCCGCTCCTGTCCTCGTCCGCGATGCGTCTTCCGAGCATGTTGCTACTGTTCCCGCAGGCGAAGTTCCTGGCGCGAAACAGGCCGCGACTACTGGTGACGATGTCGACGACGACGACGATGATGATTTCGAGATACCCGAGCTTGTTATGGATGCAGATACGGATGAGGATGAATAAATCAAAGGATATATGTGTCTGATCATTTTATATGTATAGTATACAATATGCTATAGTAATGGATATACTATCCTCAACCCCCACTATGAAAAATACATTGAAATGCACATCCCCCGTGAAACATCGTGTCAAATATAGTGTCAAACAAGAGAAAGTCTTGCATCAATCGATTGACCCTCACGTTGAGGAATGAAGGTCTTGCATGCAGCTCGATCATACAAGGAATAAAGATTGCCCCGGAATCTCACCATCCCCACGCTATGAACCGCTACCTTGAATACAAGCTTCTGAGCAAAAATCCGGAGTATAAACCACTGAAACTAATTTCTCAGATAATCGATCAGGCTAACCTTCCATCCGATCCCCGAGCATGTTAAACACCCAGGCTACGGACATTTAAACTTGTTGACTGCTAGCCAAATATACTTGTTTTCCCATTATACTTGACGACCATTCTTTTCTAAGAATACTTCGCCCGCTCTTCACGAGCGACATCTTCAACGTTTCTGGCGTATAGCCATTCAAACATCTCGGCGAGCGAGCGCAGTTCGGCTTTTCTAGCTTCGGCCTCTGCAATGCCCGCTTTCCTTGCTTCTTTAGTGCCGGCGTCTTGGGCCTTCTCGGCCTTTTCTTGTGCCTTTCCTTGCTCAAAGGCAAAGAGCACGGCAAATTCCTTCCCGGTCTCGTGGGCTGCCTCGTTTCGCGCCTCTATTTGCTGCTTTAGAAGCACTGTCAGCATTTGAATGTTTTTCTGAATCGGAGAACGTTGCGTACCTTGTCCAGGCTCTTCAGGACGTCGAGACACTGGTGTTTCAATCCAGCTCTCTGTAAATCGTTGGACTTCAGCGTCTTTACATACTCGGCCCATCGATCTGAGGAGTGACCGTCGTGAGACCGCCCCGCCGCTGCCTTCTTCTTCCCCCCTTTGGACGTGGACAGCTCCGTCTTCAATTTCTTGGCCACCTCTACTAGGAGGTTGGCGGCAGAGACTGAAAATCTGACACCCTCGCTGTACTTGACATACTCCAGATGCCAGACAGTCTTCGCCGCTTTGGCCATGGTGGCATCGTGACCCTCGACATTTGCCGCGAGCTTCTCGTATGCAGCTTGTAGCAATTCGAGAGAGGTATTTTGTTCCTCCGCCTATCTGATGTCAATATTATCATTTACATGCTTGCAACGCCACTCACCTTTTGCAATTCCACGCCCTCTTTTTTTCATGAGTTTCAGGTCCTGTCCTTTCATCTCCACCCTGTTCTTGATACGATCCAGGGGGAGCGCGGATACTCGAGCATGGTAATCCGTCATTGATTTCTCGGACTCGAGTGGTCGCGGGTCCAGGCGTACTGATTTGACCGCTGTATAAGAGGTGGCGTCTCCGGTCTTATCTTTCAGAACGTCCAATGTGGCTGGGCACCAGAGATAATTTTCCGGGTTCTCCGAGCCTTTTGATGACATTCAGCAGCCTAGGAATAGTTTAGTAGAGAAAAGTTCAATTTCTAAACGCAAACAGGCAACATGTTTAAAAACAGGCGAGGGCAACGTGCCAATATTTCGTGATAAGAAAACAACACGTATGCCATTCTCCTACATCATCCACATGAGCTTCAGCGCTTTCGCCACCTCCTTCTCATTCAAATACGTGTTGGTATGTTTGAATGTAGTAGTGTTCAAATTAGGACCAGCGGCACTCATTCCTCGTCGTGTATTATCTGTTTCACACGCATTTCTATTTTGTATAAGTTTTTCAGGTCAACGAGACCGCAGGATGCTCGCGAAGTAACCTCAATGGTTCGGTTTGGAAGTTGACCGTGGCATCGGTACTACTTTCCAGCAGGTAAAGGTTTCCCACTGCACTTCCCCGGCAGTATGCGGGTGGAAGGAAAGACCAACAATTGGCGTAGTCAAAGCTGACACAGAAACACGTGTTTTAATCTGGATCTCTAACAGAAAAATTTTACCCATCGCTCCTGCTTCGTTTGGAACGGACTAGAGAAATACATTCCGTAGAGCAAGTCAAGAACGTAAAGGGTCTACGGTTATTATATGCAAGTCTTTTTACCCGTGAAATTCTGTAGATTGCAGAGAGAATACCATAATGAATCGGATTCGAGGGTAATACAGCCAGTTATGAATTCGGTAGGTGAAGTCTTCATTCGTATACACCATATTTACCAACTCCATTGCCCACAAAGCCTGCTATCTTGCTCTTGACTATTCATCGTGCGTAAGCAATGAAGATATTCAGTGAGACAAAGTGATTTGCCCCGAGGCAATCACTTCTCATGAAGTAATTATTTACTCAACCTCTTGTGAAGCGTACTTCGGCGTTTCCACGCTACGATATCCCGTCAATACTTTTGAAGGAAGGTTCCATCATGTGCGGTGGCACGGGCCCCCAAAATTTTCGGAGAAACTGCCAGCAAGACGCAGCTTCACATACCAGATCATGAGAACCTCTATACGTCCCGACAGCATATTGAACTTCAGCATGCGTGATTCATACAGCAGAAAACAGAGTAATATTAGTGTATCAAGAAGCTGCCATCAAGCTGTCGCTATTGCTGAATCAAATGGTCAGGATGGTGACAGGCATGAGGCAATTGAGCACAAGAGATAATCGGCGCCTCTGACGAGGTTTTAGCAAGATTCTACTTAAACGAATGAAGAGCATTGTACACCTTATCATTTTTGGATATAGAAGAGCAAGTTACTTTCACTAGCCGGAAGTAGAGCACTTCAGATATGCACGAGACAAAAGCAGCTGAGGTCGTTCAGCTGAGGCCGTTAAGCAAGGGTCCGCACTCTCTTCTGTTTTAGGTTATTGGACAGGGTATGAGATGGTAACTAACAGTTAAGCTACAGCGGCAGTGGCGCCACTATCTGCTTAGAAGTTAGATCTGCCGCTGTCGCCAGTTCGCGCAAAGTTGCCGCCGTTCCCGTAAGGCTCGGCTATTACCGGCCTAACGGCATCTAAAATGCCCAAATTTCAGGGGCCCATCGGGGTCTTACAACGGACGATTGGCGAGACATAGAAAGGAATAACACAGCACAGTATTGCCAAATGTTCTCAAATTCCTCTTCGGCGGCATGATCCTATCTCTTGTTTCAGAATGATCTCTATTCCAGGTTGGAGCTTGTTTCGTACGGGAGCATACTGTGATGGATCATCTGAAACACACTTGAGCATCAGCAATATCATGGTCTGACGTAGCGGCATCAATCTACCCTCTCAGGGGCTTCACTATATAGTGACGTTGGTCGCCTATCGATTTATTTCTGCTAATTATTTACGCATATCCCCGCAAAACGATCTCTATTTTGGTCCCCACTCCACCATTCAAGCATTTCTCCATATGCTGCACGAGACGATCCTTTGCTGATGCCGTCCGGCTGAACTGGGGGGCATCCCAGCCGTTGGCCCTGTCATCGGCCAGGCTCTGTTCTCACCAGAAAATGTTATGGCCGCGAATTGACAAATCCAGGCCGATTCGATGATGATTCGTGGCTGATCCGAACATCTATTGCGTGGATCTTGTAAACTCATGCCGTCGAAGGGTAACTATGAGCAGAAACGACCTCAGGAGTGAGCAATTTGCTGCAGCAACTGGACACCTCAACGCTGCTGAAAATGTAGCAATGGCGCAATGGTTTTTACCAGGACGACAATATAAAGCAGCCCGATTTGACCTTCAAGAATCCAAATATTCAATCTTTAGACTTCAAACCAGCGAGCTACAAGATGTGGCACTCCACTCCTTACTCGCAAAGCCGCTTTGCTTTGCTTTTCCATCTTTTCTTTGCTCTTTATCTTTCTCTCACAGCTGCGCTGCCTCTGTCTTCAGACAGTTCTCCTTCATTTCACAACATATCTGACCCCCATACGCCTCCAGCGAATCTGACCAAAGTTCCTCTCGTTTATAACCCCAAATATGAAAAAAACGGCACAAAGTCCTATGTCTCTCTCTTGACAAAGTGTATGCCCTCTATTACGCCTTGGAGGCTTTGTGATTCAAACTAAACTTTTACGCAGACAGCTTTGCGCCAACCAAAGAGGGCCCATACTTTATCACCGACCAAGTCAACGAACAAGGCAAACATGGCGTGCTCAAAAAGGTTGGCGGTCGCGCCCAGGTTCGCAGAAATGTCCTACGGAAGAGACAGGACAATGGCCAGGCCGGTGAAGTTCCTGCGGAAGACCAGCAGAATGATAGCATGTATCTCGCGCCGGTGAAAATTGGTACACCTGGACAGAAATTCATGCTGGACTTTGATACCGGTTCTGCCGATCTCTGGGTACGCCTGCCGAGCGCTTTTGATTCGACTTGAAAATGGGCTAATGAATCAATAGGTGTGGTCTACGGAGCTCCCTAGCTCACTTCAGTCTCAAAGCTCCAAACACAGAATCTTTAACCCTGACAAGTCTAGCACCTATAAGAATATGGATGGATACACTTGGAAGATTCAGTACGGCGACTCGTCATCAGCCTCTGGTACTGTTGGAACAGACAATGTCAACCTTGGCGGTTTGGTCGTCAAGAACCAGGGCATCGAGCTGGCCAGCCAACTTTCTCAACAATTTGCGCAGGGCGTTGGTGATGGTCTTCTCGGCTTGGCCTTCGGCTCTATCAACACTGTTCGACCTCACCCTGTAAAGACCCCAGTCGAGAACATGATTGAACAAAAGGAAATTCCCCCGTCCGCGGAACTCTTCACCGCCAAACTTAGCTCCTACCGGGACAATGAAGATTCCTTTTACACCTTTGGCTATATTGATCAGGACACGGTTAAGGCTTCAGGCCAGGATGTCTATTACACGCCCGTCGACAACTCTCAGGGCTTTTGGATGTTTGGCTCTGGCTCGGCCACGGTTAACGGCAAGACTATCAACCGTAGCGGCAACACCGCTATTGCGGACACCGGAACCACACTGGCCCTCATTGACGACAACACCTGTGAAGCCATTTACAATGCTATTCCCGGCGCGAAATACGACCAGACTCAGCAGGGCTATACTTTCCCAAAGAGCACTTCAGCCGATAAGCTTCCCACAGTTAGCTTTGCCGTTGGTGGCAAGCAATTTTATGTTCAGGTACGAGAATGACGCTTTGCTGCTATCAAGTGTGGCCTGCTGACCATTTTAACAGAAGGAGGATCTTGCCTTTGCTGATATTGGTAACGGTTACGTCTATGGAGGCATTCAGTCGCGCGGAAGCATGTCCTTTGACATTCTTGGTGACACGTTTTTGAAGAGCATCTATGCTGTAAGTCTCTCCGTACCATAGACTTGTGCTTTAAGTCTTATGCATATTAATATGGCTTTTAGATTTTTGACCAGGGAAACACCCGCTTTGGGGCAGTCCAGCGCGGTAGCTCTCCTGGTGGCGGCGATGGCGGTGATGGCGGGGACGGTGGTGACGGTGGTGACGGTGGCGACGGTGGCGACGGTGGCGATGGTGGTGATGATGGCAATGACCCATGGTGGGACCCCTTTGGGGATGATCCATTTGGCTGGGGTAACGACGGCGACGACGGTGACAATGGCAATGGCAATGACCCGTGGTGGGACCCCTTTGGTTGGGGCAATGATGGCGGCGATGATTGTGATGATGACCCTTTTGGCTGGCTTGATCCTCACAATTGGGATGCTACTCGCAAGAATCAGGAGTAGATGTAGATTACCGTTTGCAGTCATTGTTTGCCTGCCGCTGAAGCAGTGCAAGATTCAGCAGTGGCGGTGTCAAATGACATGGAGGACATGATTACTATTGTTCTCCGTGCAAACCAGGAAAATAGAAAAACGAAAAATAGGTGGATGACAATACAAATAGTGGTACAAGGAATAACTCAAATACCACACAATTTCCACCAAAAAAGGGCAAAAAGTTATGCGTCGACCGGAATCGAACCTGGGCTTCGTCGATGGCAACGACGAATTTCACCATAATTCGCCTCAAATAAAAAGCGTTGATGGTTTAGTGGTAATAAACCATCAACGCCACTTGCTGAGTAAGCACGTCTAAAATAATTCACTATATTCTACTTCAGAGCACTTGCAATATATTCCTTTCGTTGATGTTAATAAGAATCGTGAAATTTAATGTATTTTATGTACCATCACGTCCTAATTGCGAATTGAAAATAATACAAAGAGGGCTTTTGAAGGAAAAACCACTCATGGTGCTACAGACTAGACAGAGTGAAATGACCTGTGAAGTACAATACGATGCCTCATTCACCCCATCATTCGCTGACGGTCCATGTAAAATTTTATGTTGATGGTAAATTGTATCCTGAAATTTCTAACGGAAAAAATGGGTGATGAATAATCCAAAAAAAGAGTTTCATGCATGTTTGAAGTTCCGGGGTCTGCGTGTACCCGTACACTGTGCTATCATAAAACATCTCTACAACATTCTGTTGCTTTTTACAACAAAACTCTCTGTTACGCCGCGAAATGCAACATCTAGGGCGCCTTGATTCCATTGCCACACGTGCGATCTTGAGTATTTTCGGGCGTCGATAGTGAAAGATGACGGTCATCTTGCGCTTCGAGAGAACTTGAGCAGGAGCGTTTTCGTTTAGTCCCGTTTGGAAGGGGACATGTAGGCTGTTGCGGAGGGCGTTCCCAGGAGATGATATTTTGATTACGATCTCTCAAGCTCCGTCTCGTCCTCATAATTCTGCCACGTTCGACGATTGGCGCTCCGTCTTCTCCGTGGCCTGTAATGACTGGCGAAGGTGGGGGTATCGTAGGTATGTCGAATGGCTTGGGTTCAGGTACAAAGGGAGCAACATCGCAAATTGCCTTGCGGCGTTGAACCCATTCATTCAGATGCTTGCGAAAGAGTGCGACATCGTTATCCAACTTGCATTTCACTGGCCATTCCTCGAGACTTTGTACTGACTCTGGGTTTTGCTCCTGAAATGGCACATGGCGATAGTGTTCGTCCTGCGTGATAATCTCGTACAACGTAAATATGACACCGGCGACGTCATTCCTCTGAGGAACACACCAAGGATGACCGACTGGGGCGGCTCGGTCAAAATCAAAGAGCAGTATATTTTGTGTCTTGGAGTCGAGTAGAATGTTTCGTGCTGCCACATCCTGGTGAATGATACCCAGCTCCAAGTTGAGATAGTCAACTACGGAGGTAAGTTGTTGAAAGTACTCTAATCGAAATATACGACTCTTATTATCATCCAAACAACCGCCAGGAACGTAAGCTGTTGTAAAACCGAGGACGCGGGACTCAACATCATCGACGACGACGCGGTCAAACGGAACCAGATTCGGGTGAGCAGGAAGGCTTTTTGTGATATGCAGTTCGTGCCATATTTTTGTCCGCCTCTGGAAAATCATGCTGTATTTGAAGACGACCTTTCTTTGCGCTTCGGGTTTGTCGCTATCGGAATAGCTTACCAAGTCAACGCCGGGCCCGAGTCGATCTAACTCGGCGAGTCGAGAAATCTCGATAGTAGAACAAGATTGTAGGGATGGAGACTTGGCGTAGCGTGGGTAATGGATAGTCAAGAGGGGGTCATCTTCAGGAGCTGATGAAACTGAGGTGAGCAAACCGTCATCATCCACGGTGATCGAGTAAACACTTGGAGCAAGATGATCAATGTAGCGCTTCAGCACATCAATATCCTTATCCTCCTCGGGGGGGATGAACTTTATTGAGCCATTGATAGTATACCATCGACGTTGATCCCAATCAATGACGGTGCCGGCGTGCAAGTCTCCAGTAACACTCTCACTACAGACCCAGAATCTATCTTCTGGACGGATCATGATGAATAGAGTTCGTGACTGTCCAATCAGCCTGAGCGGGGAGCTATTTGGTACTCTAAGGAAGAGGAGGTATTCTTCACAAAGTCAAAGAGCAGAAGCGCTATTGGAATCTGTATGTAGAATAAGCTCCAGGCTTCGCGGCGGTTATGAATCTCAAATAACCATGGTGGTGGTGGATTGATGGAGACGACACGCTAAAGGGGATAGGTGTTACCGCCGGACAGCCGGGCGGCTATACCCGAAGGGCCCGTGCATCCTTGATCTGGGGCTAAGTCGCCTCTCAGGTGTTTACTTCCAAAGCATCCTGAAACAGGTTACAGCTTTATATAGAGGTCCAAGAGCGCTTCTCTTAAAATAGAGTTTTATATTTAGGTATTTTCAGCTTTTTCTTCACATGTAAAACATGACCTTGTCGATGGCGCGCCAAAACGGCTTCTCAGAAAACTATATATTTTTCATTTCAGTCCTCTCTTATTTTTCTCTACGACAACGAATTTTCCTGAGTACAAACAGCGCCTCTCTTCTGCTATATATTCTCTCTAGAACATATGCTCTAGGCTCTATGTATGCTTGTTGACTCATTGTTATACCCGTGACGGCCCGCGTGAACAAGCCTCTCAAATACGCTACTGAATCTCGACGCCGAAACCAAAGAAGGGAATTGATATACGAGGCTCTCAAAAAGCCGATTCGGCCTGGACGAAGAAAGATATCATTCAATTGTTTATATTTCCATTCGACTTCTTCAAACACCAAAGTCATGCCTGTCATTATGCCTGGTGATATCGGCGACGATGTAGAACTTCAATTGGTCAATGACACTTCCAATCCTGGCAACTGTACCTGCGGTTGGTACATTTACTATTCGAGTGTGTGCAATCACGCATATACAAATTATAAATATACGTGTGGAGCGCGCACGACAAGATCGGGAGTAAGCGGCTTTTGCGGAAGCCCGGCCCCCAGACACATCGTGGTCGGTACGACCGTAGGAAGGTCTTGTCAGCTCTGTTAGCGGAGTCATTGAAGGTAAGAGGCTTGGTGTTTCTCTGACTTGGCCAAATGCTGATGATAGTACTAGTGTGATATTGCTATCTGCTCGTTATGTCATTTACCTGCTTCTCGCTTTGATATCTGAATTGCTAGGACTCTCAAGAACATATTCCCAGTACTGGTACTTTGGCATATATGGTTTTCAGATATAGAATCTTTTCTGTTTTGCGCTTTCTCATAGTTCTTTTGAGTACTGTTTACGGTCTTTCTTTCTTTCTTTTCCTTGTTTTTGGCCTTCTCTTTTGTTTCTATCATGACTATATATACTATCTTGTGCAAACGCAATGCAAACCTATAATATGATGCAGAACAACAAATTGTCACTGAGTAGTGCTTTTTGGTAAACTACAGGCCTGTATACGCCGTATTAAAATGTTCCGTTGTATGTAGTATCACGGCCAAGAGTTTCCTGCAGGCCCGCCTTAGATATATATCGTTCCCTACTCTTTAGTCCAGGTTCCCCTGTCTTTACACCTCCTGATTTAATCTAATTTATTACTTATAGTAATTCTATTCTTCCGTACATCTGAGTGAAGCACCTGAAGCATTATGACTTCATCATTTCTTACTTCTGCCCCGTTCCATCCCATTCCCCACCAAACATTCCCAATCTACTTCCAGCCACGCCTTTATTTATCATGTTCCTACGCGTCTACGACAGTACTTTTTTACATAATTGATCCGTATACTTTCCCGACAGAGCATCAAAATATTTATCAATGCCTATGCCCGCTTATTGTCGAAGTCTCAATAGGGTTGCGTAATTGTCTATCATTCTCCAGCTCAGCCAGTTAGCATCTTTTTTTTTTTTTTGCCACAACGCTTTGAATTTATTACCAGATACAGTTGAGATCCTCTTCCTCCTCTATCCAATTCTTGCGTATGCTACATTTCCAACCAAATCACATTCATAACGGTTGAGATAATTAGGCTAATATTGAACCGTCTCAGTGGTTGTTTAATTACTGGCTGCGAACAATGGACTGGATAAAAAAGCTATTTACACCAAAAAGTCGTCACACTGGAGGCCACAATCAATATGCTCGTGCGCGAGAGCGAGAACTGAGACGTAAACGCAACGGTGGCAGGACGTCGAAGACGCCCTTTTTCTGGGGTTCGCCCGGGACGACGTTTGAGAATCAGGGTAAGGAAAATTGGAATGAGTATATGAAGAAGAACAGTGGGTGATTCGAATCCTAAATCACCATGAAAAAATCCGGGGTGAAATCTGCAATCCTTAATGGAGGGTCCTAACGCTCTTGTGGAGATTATGGCGCGCGAAGTTAGTGGGGGGTCCGTCGTCTATCGGGGCGTTGTAGCCGCTGGATAGCCGCTGGATATAGTGGGCCGAGCTTAGAATAACGTACAACCTGCATTTTAAAAGAGATACAAAAAGAATATTCATAAACGAATCCTAAAGTAAACCTGAAATTATTGGCACAATCTTTCGGAGCTATGCGTTAGCAGAGACATTTTGCGACCGTGCGATATTATCGCATTATGGAGAGGAATTGGTGCAATTCCCAGCACGCGTAGATGTTTTAAACGTAAAATCCTTTGTTATCCATGACCCGAAACAAAGCCCGACACAGTCAATAATACCTCTGACCCATTAGTCAGTCACATCCTTGCTGTTCGCACCGCAACGGGTGAGAATGATTGTCCAAGCTTGCTAAGCATATTTAGCACAGAATTTTTGGTAATTACAGATAGACGTCAGGTCTTACTACACAAAGTTCAAATCCGGAGAAGCTACCCCTCCAACGTTTGCATAGTACTCTGCCTCTCCCACCCATATTTCTTTACAATGACGAACCCGTATGAAACGGACCCGGAAAAGATTCCATCAACCGACCCGTACGCTGATGTACCCTTTTATGGTCGATACCGCCCAAGACCTGGTGACTTCCGCGTTGACCTCCAGCATGTCAACTCCCATAGTACAGACTCCCTGAGATACTGGGCATCGGTCGTTAGTCTCTGCACCGAAGAGAATCGCATTTATCCAGCTGACGAAGGCGGTCGTGACGTTTTTGCTCTCGGTAGCGTGATCGTGAAGTCCAGCCATCTCCACGCGCGAGCAGGTGCTCAATCTACGGAGATTGACTTCTCCTATGCCGATGCAAATGAGCATCGGGCAATCACTCTGGCAAAGACCGTTTTGAAGGATGTCAAAGTTCCAGAAATTTACTTTGCTGGCAAGGTACTTATACTTGCTATTCGTTTATAAAACTCGATGACTCACATCCGCTCAGATAAATGGTCGCCAAGTGCTCGTCCAAGAAAGGCTTCCGGGAGTCGCATTATGCGTCGCGCGGCCATATTTATCCAGAGACCAGAGGGATTCCTATAAAGAACAGGCGAGGAAGATACTCCATCAACTTCACACTATCAAGCCTCCAGAGAATCTGCAAGCTCGATCTCACGTGGTATCGGACCCAAACATACTCAGTAACGGTCGGATCAACCCGTTAGAAGGGGACATCCTTTTTTCAGGCACCAATCATGATCCAGATATGAGCTTCATGCATAACGATCTTACGGAATCTAATTGCATTGTTGATAATGGCATAATTGTGGGGCTTATTGACTGGGAAATGGCGGGCTTTTTTGGCTGGAAGACCGCCGGAGAGGTCCACCGTCGGATCAGAACCCCGCAACGAGAGCACTTTGTGAACGTCAATTTGAGGGAGGAACAGCTTCAGGGTATTCTGTATTGGAATGATCTATATGATCAGGATGTGTCAAAGAATTAAGCCTGTAGGGTCTCGAATTCCCAGGGACATTTTTGTACTATCCTATTCACTTCTTTGAGGAATTGCAAAGACCCCTCCATGGCTTTGCCCCATCCATTGAGAGCGGCTGAAAACCTTCAATGACTTTTCGCGACACGAAATATAGCTCCTGCACTGGGAATAGCCAGCCATCGCCGAAGGAAAACAACTCCTAAAGATGTAAAGATTAGAATGGCGACGGCACTTCTCGGATACTATGGAAATGCTGAAAAGCGGAAATTGGTCTTGGAATGGCGAATATATTAGGTAATAGTACTCGTTCCGAGTATCGCAAAGCGTTGATGGTTTAGTGGTAAAATTCGTCGTTGCCATCGACGAGCCCCGGGTTCGATTCCCGGTCGACGCATATAATTTTTTTTCTTATATTTAGCCCTTCGCTTCAGGATGTGTTTCTAGGCATCAATTTATTTTGCCTTGGTTTGGTTATTATAACCAACCTCAACGAGGTCTATAGCCATCCGCCTATTGACCTTAGTAGATAAATCAACTCGACTACCTTTAATCATTCTAATGATTTTAATATTACTTTTTTGCCACTATATGCTTGATATCTTAATAACAAGATATTATAAAATACAGGGATGAAGAGGTTATAGAGCAGGTATTAGTATATGTTATGACTACTAGACGTTAATATAAAGGGAATTACAAAGAAAAATAAAGTTCTATCAAGCTATACTATAGGCTCCTTGCAAGATATCTTTCATAATAGCTGGTTCCAGACTCGACTAACCAGCTAGATGATAGAAGTACGAGGTTCAATAGCAGTTAGTCATATAGTCAGTGGGACCCTACCTTCTTCCTTGCCCATCTACGCATCCAATCCGGCCCCCATCACCTGACAAATTGACTGTATAGTTCTTTCCTACGCCGCATGATTTCAATGACGCCAGATTTGTCTGGTTTTTGTAATTGCTTATGTCATTTCTGTTGAGCCTTAGTCCAGTACTCCGATATACTATCCCAACAATTCATAGCAGTTCACACTGCACAACCATGACCCCCACGTCCCCTTGACTGTTGAAATCATATAACGAGTACGAGAAGCTATTGAAACGGCCAGACATGTCAACCATGTCTCTCGGATTACTAAACTTAGATAAGCACGTATACGGTATGCATGTATCTCATGCTCTAGATCTTTTGGGGTATATATGAGAATGCACGTGGCGATTGTGGGTTCGAGGTTTGTTCCGTTTGGTCAGACGAAATGGTTTGAGCAGTTCGTGTTTTGGCCTGGCATATCTCATATTTCTCTTTTCCAAGCTTCATACCAATACTACTTAATAGAAGGCGAAAATAGAGGGGAAAAGGGAACAAGGGCATAGCAAGCTAAAAAAAAAAAATCAATTCTGCAAAATGCATTTCAACCCATCAAGTCTCGTCATATTTGCCACGACGTTGCCACTACTCGCATCACTGTCGTCCGCATCGCCTGTACTGGACGTTGCTCAGCGCCGCGACACCGTTCCCTCTGGAAGCTACTACACTGTCGAGCGGCTGCCATGGGACGGCGTCACGCCTGTGCCGCATGAGGGCGAATACCTCTACCCGTACTCAACTGGCACAGGTCCAGGAACAACCGTGGCGGCGTTTACATCGGACAAGACGCTCGCAGTGAAGGGATACATAACCGAGACGACGACGTTTGAACTTGGCATTGCATTATCTGCATTCCCCTGGACGATGCAGATTCCGAGCAGTAACGTATCAGCTGCAGTGCCGGTAACGATTGAGGCGAACGCGACCACGCCTGGGACGGTAGGGTTTGGGTACAGTATTGGTGCAAAGCCGGGATTGTGGACGTCGGCCGTTGCTGGATTTGATGGGTTTTTCGCATGTGAGTCTACCGATTTTTATTCTTGTTTTCGGGGATGCTGCTCAAGAGGATATCTGTTGTGAGCTGCGTCTCGTCAGGTCAGGAAGGAGTACCCGCATAGGATGCTGTAAATTGAGAAGATTGCCATGGCCGATAAGAAATCGATGCTGACATTGAGTGAATGGGGGGTTTTTTTTAGGCGACACATCGCTCAATATCACTCAGCTCTTTGGAATAATCAGATATGGAAGGAGCTATTCGATTCCAAGTGGGTGCGCAGAAATTCAACTGGACAAAGCAAATTGAAGGATTTAACCCAGTATAATGTCTTCTGGAGCCCTAGAGCAGAGGGGAAAGTGTGATGGGAAGGTGCAGACTGTTTTACCGCTAGCGAGCTGCATGTTTTTTATAGACATGGGGGAGCAAAGACAGAGATGAAGTTGATGATTGAGGCAGTCAGGTTGATTCAGCTAGCAGAAAAAGTTATATGATTCTTATCCACAATACTCGTGAAATATTCGCTTTCGTTTAACCGACCCAAACGAGGTCTATAGCTAACTTATCTGCCCATCGAAAGGGAGTATTTCACGAGTATTGGGGATAAGAATAATAACTTTTATGAGGCACATTCTTCAACAGGAAGCGTTGATGGTTTAGTGGTAAAATTCGTCGTTGCCATCGACGAGCCCCGGGTTCGATTCCCGGTCGACGCATCTCAAACATATTTTTTTTCCTTTTTATTTTTTTTTGCTTCAAAACTGCTTTCAAGGAGTGAAATTGTTTTCACTTGTTGGAATAGCGATAAATTCAATGTTATACCTTGTCAGGTCCGTTTGTTGTCTTAAGTCATTCAGAGACTCGCTCAGAGTAAAGAAAACAATTAAATATTATCATTGGTATAGTACATTGACGAAATGTCAGGGTATCGCAGATATTAAGCAAGAACTCGAAATTTTCACCCCTTCTCAAAGAATTGCCCCAGTTGATCTCTTGTATTTCCGAACCAAAAGGACCGCAGAAATATTTGGACGATGGTAGGATCGCATCGACTTGGTGCATTGAAGGCCGCAAACCCTCAGTCGCACTCCGAGCAGGGGGATGCTTCGTGTACAGACCAGAGAATGACTGCAATTCGGCCGCTGGTGGATATTCGGGGTAAATAGAGACGACGAGGCCGGCCTTGTTATAGTTTCGAAAGATAAAAACGAAAATATCGTCGCAGAGTCCGTCCCTCGCAGACTGAAGGTTCATATCGAACAAAAAGGCAGTAAAGACGAAACAAGGTGATTGCCATGGGCCTTGGCTAATCGCGTGAAGTATATCGTACACAGAGCCCAATGATCATGCCGATGATGCCGCCCACAATGAACCCTAGTAGTGCCCACAGAAGCATGTACTTGATCACTCGCCCCTTGGAGCCGTGCTTCCACTCCGTGGAAACGTCTTTGTTGGTCACAATAGGCCGCTTTCGCGGTTGGTAGGTCTGGTCCTCGAGATCCATGTCCGTTGCAGCGGGAGATCCATATGGTGCGTGGGTGCGCGCTTGCTCGGGCGCTGTTGGTTCCATTTTGATGAACGGTTTACGAGGTTTACGTTTCCGCGCCTGAATGTGTAGAATTGGCTAAGCCCTGAAGGTATTGGAAATGGTTGTTCTGCAGGAGCTATCAATATGGAGGAACGGCGATATCTTGTACAGTGCAGAGACTAACCTTGTGAATGTTAAACGAGGGGAAATTGGAGAGGAAGGTCCTGGTTATCTTCAATGCTGTCCTATAAGGAGGGCGCACAGTCATTTAAATGCATATTTAAGCTTCTTCTACGGAGTACTCTGTATTCGAAATCTACAAGGGCCAGGATACACCCTGGGGTCCCCGAAGGTTTGACATCTGACAAGACCGGCCATGCAGCGGCATCCCTGCCTTCGGCGGCCCTTTGTCCGAGAGTAAACGTCGAACCGAAGGGTAAGATGGTGGCATAGCCACGATTTGATACCCTGATTACCAGCTTGAAGCCTTCTAGCGTGGTCCTGGTGGGTCAAAGAACAAGTGCCAAGATGGTTTCCCCTCGTCGCCGAAGAGGTTAAAATTCGTTTAGTCCACGCTTGGGGACCACAAGGGAAATCCTAGGTTCTTTTTTCTCTTCTGAAGGGATTGTTGATCGTCAAGTAGTTTCCTTGAGTAGCCAAAGATGAGAAATTGCTGCAATTCCAAGAAAAATGTTACCAAAGGAACCGTTAGTCAGTAACACCTTGGCAGAAAGTCAGTGGCGGAGTCAACAAAAAATTCGTCTAACGTAGATAGTGATATCTCGCGAAGCAACTGGAAAGAGATGTGGGACACTGGAAACTGGAGACAGTGGGGGCCAAGCACGGCATGTGGGTATGGCATATGACAGGGACCGAAAAATCTCACTCCACAGATCTGACGGCGCAAACAGGAGATATGACACAGATGATGCACAAAAAGACCATTGACAACTTCAATTGCAATAAATCAATAAAAACAGAAATAAAAAGAATATCATCCCGATTGCTGACGAGCATGAAAATGCAGCTGCTGCCTTGTTGACATTTCAACATTGACTCATCGTTCTCAATAGTATTATCTGCATATCATGTCAGTCAGATATCTTACGGAGTACAGGGCACACCGACCATGATGGTCGTAGCACTTCTCTTACTGTCAGGCTGTGTTGCTGTGCCGTATAAGTTTCTTCGCAGTCGTGATGTTAAGCGCTTGGCATTTCCCCTTTAGGAAAAATGTGTACGCCGTTCCAAGCGGTATGATGTCATTTGACCAGTCTGACTCCCCTTCGCTCCTCGCTTTTTCCGACAACCCCCGGTTCAACCCGCAACCGAACTACGATGACCACACAAAGCTTACACTTTACGGAGTAAGGCTCTACGGAGTAAGCCACACATTGCGCGCGCACGCAAGAGTTCCGCTCTTCTCTGCTAATTCGCAAAAGCCCACTATTATACTTAAAACGCTTGATGCGACAAGACCAATACAAGTGTATGCATTGTCGCACGTCATTTCCAAACACAGCCATTCCGAGCGCTGGAGTCCACAGTCTTGACCGATACTATGCCGCACGGCGGTACTACGAGGCATAGTCGCTTTTCCGGCCTCAGGTCATATATCTAAGAACAATCACCACAGTGTACTTTGCATACTCGAATTAAAGGTGATTTTGCCCTTTATGCGATAACATTGCACTTTTGTATAAATGTCCTGACACCATTTGTAGATATAGCAGTCAAGCATAAAGCTGCTCCTCTTTTTCGAACTTGCACAGTCTAGCCATTGAGCTCATCGCGTTGTACTTATCTTCAGTCGACAAGCTTTAGTCAAACGATATATTCCGTACATATCGAACGAGACTTTTATTTTGGATAAAAAAATGGACTGGCTAAAAAGACTATTCACACGCGACAATTCGACAAGGTCAAAACGCAGCAAGAGTTCGCGCGCACGGGATCGGGAACTGAGACGGAAAAGAAACGGCGGCAGTTCATGGAAGTCGCCTTTCTTCTGGGGCCCGATTGGCATGACTTATAGGGATGAGGTCAACAGGGGTATGAATCACCATGTGAACAGGGGAGGCAGATGAGTTTGAAAATCCCCATACTCTGAAGAACGCACAGCTCCAACTGTAGCTCTTTTTTTTTAATTAGAGGCGGCTATAGTTGGTATTTATCACTGTCGAGGAAACTCACTATTCTAGAATAATGTATAATTATTAGTCACGAGGTTATGGCTCATATTTTTGATTAACGTGAGAAATTTTATCAACTGCGGGAAAAAGAGAGCCTGAAATTTCATTCGATCTAGAAAGCCATAGCAAAGCAAATTCGTAAACTCATAATTGAAGTGCAGAGACAAATGCCGCTCAAGCTTCCAGCGCGTTCAGTCTAGAGGCAACTTCAAGCTCGAATCGTAGTTTTCCTTGTTCGGAGCCTGAAATCTCCTTGACGCTGTCCATACCTGGCGTAATATCCTCATCCCAATCGTATTCAGCGCCTCTGCCTTTCAAATTGCAGAGCACCGCCATTCGAAAATGATATTTGAGCAGCGCGCGGCTTGGCTGGTATTTTGCTGGATAATCTGGGTTCAGATACATTGGCTCACCATTACCAGGCATGCGAGTTTTCCGTTTGAAATATGTAATCTTGTAATTATTCTGAACATACAAAGCTATCAGAAAACCACATACCAAAAATAAATCAGATTGAGACTGGTTCATTGCACTTACGTCCGGGTCCATCGCAACGAGGTACTTGTCAAAGAGCGTGTGAATTGTTTGGTCCAAAAGTATACCATTCTGGACTGAGTGTATGCCACTTGAGCCGGGCATTTCATCGTCGGAAAGAACTGCTGCCCAATTCCCTGTTCGCCACTGTCCATACAGTCAGAAGCAGAGATTTACAGATGGGTAGCGAGGCCCTCCACTCACTAGATCCAAATGCGCGAGAGGAAAGATATGGGCTGCATGGAAGGTTACAAAGTCGTAATCAAAAACTTCCTCTCTCGACACGACGCAACGCATGTCCCGATTTCGAACGCGTCTTTGGAACGCCATTTGCTAATATTGGTTAGCAGTCGCCATCCATGAAGAAAATTTGGTACAAATGGGTGGTCAATCATTCAAGTATGGTCAAGATATATAATTTATACTTACACGAGGGTCGGGGTTTGACAGAGAAAATGAAACTGTTCTCGGCGGAACTCTTTCTTCGTTAATATTGACTTGAAGACAATCTCCTGTCATCAATGTTAAAGCAACCCTAAGAAGACAATCGATTGCATTTTCTTCCCGTCAAAAGATGCATGCAAACATGAAGAAAATGGGCCGCGTACCTTCGGGTGAGAGAATAGAATAAAATCCAGGTGCGATCACAGTGGGGTTGCCAGCCAAGGTTATCTGAGTTCCGTGCCTGTAACCAGTCTCTGCAACATGATCGTCCACACATGTCCAGACGCTGTATGCGGTTTCTGGCATGGAAATAACAATGTGCAGCCACTCATCCATCTCTCCCCACGTTACAGATCCGGTCTGCATGAATCCTAATATTTCATCGTCACGGCCGTCGAGAAAATGCACATTGCGTGCTACTTGGTTGTTCCTAAACCCAGGCATCTTTGTACCTTGTAGAGAGGGCCTAAACGCTGCCGTGGTAGAAAGCTTAGGTTAGATTGTAAAAGAGAAAAAATGAAAACCAGTACTTGAGTAATGTATCAAGGTTTAAACAGTATCTGTAAAAAGAAATGTAAGGAGGTGAAGAAGGTTACTTGGGCGTGGAGGGACATATGGTCCGTGCATGTAGAGTGGCCTGTGCTTTGCATTTAGGTTTTGACCTCGGGCTTAGTAAGTAACGTATTTCCCAAGCGACCCGGCCAGGCAGATATCTCATACAAATAATGTAATTTTACAAGATTTATATCTCAACATGAATGTGTTATTTTAAATTGAAATTGAGTAACTTAATTTTCTTAGGGCAGATCTATACATAATAATCATTTTGAATATTTTTATGTTGTTTTGCATTTTATTTCTCAAATTACATATATTTGATACTAAAAATAGTGCATGGATTTTTCTCTGAATGGAAAAATTGAGCAAAATTCCTATAAACAGGATAACCAGCTGACATAGTCTTCTAGACCCCATGATAGAAATATCCATTTAAAAACTACAATTTTTGTTGAGATATAATCCCATTTTTTGTAAAGAATTCTGCCTGGCCGGGTCGCTTGGGAAATACGTTAGTAGTAGAGAGGACTGATCATGCTCAAGCTACTAAGGAATAGATTTAGGAGAATATTATAAAGAAACCGCTAGATCTATTATATAGACTTATCACTGGTCTAGCTCTCGGGGCGACTTATTCAACTATAGGCTTGACTTCAACCCTATATGTGTGCCAATCACCATTTACCCTTGTACGTGGGACCCGATCGCGCCGGTCAGGTCCTAATGGGTCTCCGAATACGCCCAGCAACTTATAGTACTTCGTAGATACGGAAATCAACCAGGATGTATTTGTATAGATGAATTTCGTTATTATACAGGATTTCCTAACCCAATCTTTAACAAGCGTTGATGGTTTAGTGGTAAAATTCGTCGTTGCCATCGACGAGCCCCGGGTTCGATTCCCGGTCGACGCATCTTTTTTGCTCTTCCGTCCGCGACCCTTCCAGTTCTTTTTTTGCCCTTACAATTCAGCCCGTGATGTGGATATGGACGCCTTATGCGACTGGGATTTTTATGTTGTCGGCGCTTTAGAGCATAGAACGTTGGGATCGTTTTTCAGGATTTCGGGTTCGACGACAATTGTATTTACAATCATGCTGACAATGTTGATGGCCGTTGTGCCCGTACAGGATCTAGTAGACTGGCTTGGTCCCATTCGACGAGAACTATTGGGGCCTGTATGATCATATGGCGTGTCTAATTTGTCAGTCCGGCAACGAAATGTCATGGATCATGATGGGCATCTTTTTTTGAAATATCTGTTGAACAACGCAGACAGATAAATATGACTTTGACTTTTCGAGCCCCCATAGGGCCATAGAGATCTCATTATAAAGATTCTAAGATTGACGATCATGAATAGCGATGAAATCGATGAGTGCGAAGTAGCATCCAAAAGAAGCCGTGGAGACCAGCAGTAAGCACAACGATAAGGATTTCTCTGCATATACTGTAAGAAGAATATTCCAAATGGTCCCAAGAAATCTCGAAAGAAAGAAAAGTATATCTTCAAACTGACACGCGCCGGTCCCCTTTCCACTCAGTTAGTCTCTTGCGCTGCATAATTAAACACAAAAGACAGTAAAAGTAGATTATATATCCCAAAAGAGCACATCCACCGGAAGAAACCAACCAGCGTTCTGAGTCAGAGTCGCCCGATTCAGCCGATTCGGATCCCTTTTCCAACCATTTGCACAAACCCCAGCCCACGACTCCAGTGACCGCAACAATTAAAGTATATAGTGGCAAGGTTATTCGACAGAGCTTTTTAATTCTTCGCGTCAGCTATCTCTTGGTTAGTCCAAATTTTGCTATGGCTACTTCGCGACCATCTGAATAAATGCCCAACAAAGAGAAACAGTGGGATGCAAAGATACCGGTGGGTTTTCAACTTACCTCATTATATTCTTTGAGAAGGTGTTTGACCCCTGCCCGTAAGTCGTCTATATAGTGATCCGGCAACCCATGCATTTGTCCAACTAGATCCATCGCAGGGTCGCGCGTCATGTCCACCATGTCGTGGCACCAATAGTTTGCGATTCTTTTGGAGACCTGCCCTCTCAAGTATAACTTTATTACACAAAATGTAAACAAAAAGTCGCGGCACTCTTTCAGTGTTGCATTCTCTCTGGGTGGGACTAGGTTACGTTGCATCGTTCTTGTCTCGTCGTCGGTATTTGGGTTGCTGGTTTCAGCCATTGCTGCAGAGCTTTCAGGCTGCTCATTTCCAACAACCTCCTCATCATTTTTATCGCAGCAAGTTTCGGCCATTGAAATATTACCACTGACAACATTAGCTTCATAAAAAATAAAGGATGGGGTATTTCAGGCACAATGCTTGCAAGACAAGCAGAAACAGGTCTAAGGGTCCGGGTTCTCATAGATGAACATACCTAGAGACGGAAGCTTTGCGAGAGAACATCTTGAGAATGGGAACCAAATAGTGCTAGAGAGGGAGAAAATTAACTATCAAGTTCGTTGTGTTGATTTCAGATACTAGAATGGATCTGTTTTTGCATTAATTCGGATGCTCAAATCTTCTAAGATGATTTTGCGTAGGAAAGGGATGTTCGTACTCTATACCTTATATCAATTGAGCACTTGGGTGAAGTAAGCCTTACTGAGTGTTGTAATGCAGATCAAGGGTTCCAGTCTTTTTATAGCATATCAGTGACCGGGCCACGTATCAAGTCCGATTACAAATTCAACACCTAGGAACAGGCCAAAGAAATGGCAGCATAGACTGGATGGAAATTCCGGAAAAGGAAGGAGTTTTTGATTTATTAGTGTTTGCCGTAGCAAGTTCAGAGAGAACATTAATGCTGATGGACGAGATTGCCTTCAAGTCTGGCGAGCTAAGGGAAAGCATTGATATCAGCCCTTTTGAAGCAGAAGCTTATGGCGATTTCTTATGAAGATATCGTACAGTGGACATAAAATGATAATCAAAGACAATATTATAAAACATGCCACCATTCTTGCTAATATTCGATGATGTACTCACAGTTCGTATTGTGTTTCGACTCCAATATATACCAACCCGTCTCACTCATACAAAAAGCAGAAAAGAAATTCGCTTCCCTATCCCACAATTGAATGTCAATTTCGAGACATCAAAATAAAATCTGGCAGAGGACTTGTGATTATTGTCATAATCACGATTGCCTTCAATCTGACTTGTTATACATTTTAGCACATGTCCCACTGACAACATGGTCAATGAAATCGTCGAGGAAATTCTCTGCAAGGTTAGTTAATGCTCCCATAGTTCCACGCCTACTCTGCCACATATTTCCCTCCCTTTTCTCTCGTGCTTGCTCTCGTTGACAATACAACAAACTATCCCGCCTTGGGACCTGGTAGCAGCTTTCCTTTTGATATTATGGCTCTCGCCATCTGATGTATTGCATTTCTTTTCATCTTTCAGTCTTTTGCACGCTTCAGCGAGAATTTGATCAATTGATTCACCAAGGGACGGGGAACGAGGCTTAGCCTCTATTTTGACAGTCTCGCTGTCAGACTCTTCATTATTTGATGTGAATAAGTCATCTTCAGCCAATTTGCCTCTCATTTTCTCTTTGCTCCTCTCAGCGGAAGCAATTTTTGACTTCATTATGACTCTCAAGTATTTGATAAATTTTACTTGTAGCTCTTGTCCTTGTTTGAATTGATCGTGATAGAAATAATGTAAGATTGTCAAGGGCTGTTAGTACAGTTGAATATCCTGATGCATCTTTCCTGAACCAAGGTTAAAGCATTTAAATCTGTACTATTTTTGCTTTCTTGAATTGTTTTTGAAGAACATAGATTTGTACAAGCTAAAGACAGATTCTCTTCAGATTTAGATCTAAATAAAAATTTCAAATCTCTTTAATGATTGACTAGTATAAGAATCATCTGTTCTGCTTCCTCCAAAAACTCTTCGAAAGACTTTAACTTATACCCTATATCAGCTCTTTCAATTTCAGTCATTTTTAGTTGATATTGAGTTTTATAGACTTCACAAACAAAGGCTTTCAGTGTTTGGATCAATGCAAGTGTTGCTTTGATAATGAGCCCAAGTTCAGGTTCTTCTCTGACATCTAGATGTTCTCCAGAGAAAATATATCTCTCGAGATGCTCTAGAATTGCCTGAAAATTCTTCCTAAGGAACATAGGTAAGGCTTCCAAGCTATTGAGAATTCCTGAGAATATCCATACCTCATCCTTGAGGAATAATTGAATTTTGCATACAGCGAGTGCATGCTGTTGCAGAGACATTATCCCATCAAAGCTGAGGCCGGTGTCTCCATGCATTGCTTTCTTAATGGCATGGACTGCTTCTCGACGTATGAATGGCAACTTCTGTTGAATATCTAGCCAGCTTCGCGTCGCTGCCTGCACCAATCGATGCATGCTGTATGTCGCATCTCCTTGGTCCGAGGAGATTAGCGAAAATGCCTTGAGTGTCCCAATAGCTTTATCGAAAGCAATAGTTTCGCCTTTTTTTTTGAAGAAGAATGCCCGGAATGCCCTGCCGATCCAGAACAGCCATCATTGAAAGGATCTCTGCCGCTCTCGGATTTTGTCGGGATATCTGTTCGAAAGATATCTTCCAGGTTCGCATGACGGAGTTCTGGCCCTGCAAGTCTCGTCGAGAGTCTTCCAATTCTTCGCTCAAATACTCCTGCAGCTCTGATTCCGCCAATTTGATACGTTGAAGGTATGCAGCAATAGTCATCTGATTTTCAGAGATAAACGCTGCGGCTTGGGTGACCGCAAGTGGTAAATATTCGAGCGCTTCCAATAGTTCAGTGGCGATTTCATCGTCCCAGATGTTGCAATCGTGAATCTTTGATTCAAGAAGCATTTTGGTTTCCTCCACACTCAATTCGCTGACTCCCATAGCTTGCTCACGGTCTGTCAGCTTTTGACCGACTCGCATATCCCTCGTCGTAACAAGGAGTGATCCATTTCGGGGAATATATTTGACTAGGTGACCGTTGCTTGAGCCAAAAAATGTCTCGGAATCGTCTGCATTATCCAAAACCAGAAGCCATTTCGATGAGCGGTCCGAATCTTTGAACCAGTTGGCGACCAAATTGAAAATGTCTGTCTTTGGATCGTCCCAACCTGGAATAGCCGCAGCGGTTGCTATAGATCTGTATGCCTGTTCGAATCGTGTGGCGCTAGCAGCATAGATCCAGAAAATCCAGGAATCAGGGAACTGCTCCCGAAAGCGATAGCAATATTCGATGGCTATTTGCGATTTTCTAGAATTTTTTGAGTTGAGAGGTAAGCATACCGCCATGTCAATTAGTCTATGATCGTACATACCCTACACCTCCAATACCCGCTAGCGCTACTTGGCCACGTTCTTTTATCCGACGATCAACCTCAGCAAGAATCTCTGTGCGTCCAATGAAATCCGGGTCTCTTTTGAATGGTACGTGCATCTTCACTTTTGACGGAGTAAATTGGGGTTGCGAGGCTGTGTGTGGTGCATCGCTTCCCACCGAAACATGCATGGTCAAGGTCCGCATATACTGTTCCAGTGTTTTCAGGTGTGCTTGAATATCTCTGTCGTAGAACAAGCTGAGAGATGCCTTCTTCATGCGCTCGCGCTTTGAGGAGCTGATGGGTATAACTTTATCGATCTTTTGCAGTAGCAACTCAATTTGTGAACGACAGCCGTTAACAACAGAATAAACAATGTCCTGCGTCTCTTTAGGCAGGGTTCCACGCTCTGTTTGCATCTTGATTCGATCGAGAGTCTTGCATATCAGCGGTAATTGCGTGTCGACGTCTTTCAGATAGTTTGGCAGCTCGCCGACAAGGTCCTTATACTCTTTGAGCCTGATAAATATCGTGCTGCTGAAGTCGATTATTTGCACAAATGCAGATATTCCACTGACGACAGCCACTGCTTCTGCCATGATAGAGTTTTGTCAATTCTCTCGTTCTTTTCTGGTTTTGTTGGCGTGGAAATACCGACGACTGAGTTGAATATGCAATCCATCTCCATATGAGCTGGCAATGAGGCTGAGCATCACGGGCCTTGTACCTTTGTGTAACACAGGCCGCCCAGCCAATCATTCGAACAAAGAGGTCCGCGACTGCGGCTCGGCACAGCTTCTCTTAGGATCTCAGAAAATACTTGGATCTGAATCATCGTAAGAAATGGTCTCAATTCCAAATTGCAGCCTGCCTTTCTTCTTCTTCTTCTTCTTCTTCTTCTTCTTCTTCTTCTCCTCTCCTGTGCCTTTTCTTTCCTTGAGAAAGCGATTTGGTTTGAATTGTCACCGTCTTCGCTGTGAGCTATCGGATCTTTTTCACCTCCGTTTTACATAACTTAGCCATAATGTAGCCTTAACGAGGCAGTTTATAGCTAAAACTAGAGAGACTCCTCTTCCTAATCTGATATCTAGTGTATTTAGAAGCCTCTTTGCTCTGTCGTGGGACTGTGGGCTTGCAGTTTCTTTCAAAGAACTCGATTTTGAAAGATACGACCATCACAATTCTTGGTTAAAAAAACAGCAAAGGGAAAATGTCAATAGATCCCTTATCTGTAGTTTATATGATGTATCGTTTCTATTTGATCCAAAGACAACTTTTCAAACGTATGTTCAAACAGTATAAAGGTATGATATACTATAGATGAAGTAAGAGCCAGCTATGGTCTATTTGCAATTCAACCACGGATCTCGAAGACTATTTGGCCCATTCATGTCATTGATGTAATGGCAATGAATTATTACGTTGACCATGTTAATAGATTCACACATTCCTCCAATGAGTCCAATATCATGCAAATCACTGCCGATTGAGTAGAGGAAAAATCCACACAGTTACAAGATCATCGAAAGGCCAAGACACCCGGCAGAAAACTGTAGACGTATCTTGTTATGATGCAGTGATGCGCCGTATTCGATACAAAAATTCTGTTATTCAAAAAGGGAAAAGCATTGCATTATCTGACTACATATCCATTTTATATGCCAAACGCGTCATGACTGTACACAACGCCATATTTCCCGTCAACGCCGTATTAATCATCAAATCTTTCTACTATAGAATGGAACCCAGTCCGAAAAGACTGGAATCTAGTCGCCTCTTACGGCATGACCAACTAAGCCAGCCAGTTCACGAAAGAAGATGCCCTTGAGCGCTGTCTCGCCTTCTTCGACAGCCCACTCGCCTGCATCAACAAGTCTCCGTTTCCATCCCTCGCGCTGATGATGCTCGAGTTCTTCCCACCGCTTAAGGCCCTCCTGACGGATAAGCTCATCGTCGTGGCGCAGCTCCGCAGAGATTTCGTTATGGGAGTCAACAACGATAATGGTACCAGGTGATCGGACGTCGACCTCCTCTGCAATCTGCTCGATGGTCTCGTCAATCGATTCGCTCTCGTCCGATTCGTAGCTGAGCACACGGCTACGAAGTCGGTTGCGGCTGGCAAGGAGATGTCGAAGGCGCTTATAATTGACTGCCGAAGCAGTAGGCGCGGCCGCGGCGTTATTATCAACGTGAATTGTGGCACTGTCGCCGCCCGCTGAAGTTATAATGGAATTTATTTGATCGCTCAGGGGTTTGGGAAATTCCTTTGCATCGGGAATAACTGGGTTTGCATGAGGCACGAGATGGTCTCGGATGGCAGGTGGCAGACGATCTGCCACACCAAAATAGGGCGGTGCAACACCTCGGACTTCGAGTAAAGCTTGGAGTAGAATGGCGATGACGACGACGGCAATGAGCGAAAAGGTAACTGAGAAGGTGGCGGTGAGGATATCGGTACTCGCGGTCGTGAGGACGTAGCGCGATTTCTTGTTGCGGCTGCTTGTTTCTACAGTGAGAGGAAGAGTGTGTACGACGACAGTATTGCCCATGCTGATAGATGCTAGCCTGAGACGCGCGGCCGGGGCCGTAGAGTCGCCATGTGGCTTGTGTGAATGCGAGAATCTGGAGAATTTGATGCCGGTAATCTGGAGAGAGTGGACGTCTCTCAGGACGATGAAGACGCGAAATTTGCTCAAGTCCTTGGTTGGGCTGTAGTCGATGGTAAGGATTTCTACTGAAATGTCTTGCCCCGCAACAGCGACCACTATTTGCAGATTTCCTGCTGCATCTGCGTTAAGGAAGGCGACTTCCAGTCCTGTGGCTGCCTTCATTGACCGGTGAAGGCGTTTACGGAGAATGACCTCGCCAGTTCCACCTCTAGTGTCAAGAACAAATAGCTCAGATCCAGATTTTCGTGGCCTATTTGCCAATAAAAGAATAAAGTGTGGGGTTAGAAAGCGCAACGCTCGAAACGTCGGGCGTCCTGCATTATTTTGAAAAACGTCCGGGTGAGGGATCCCATAGAGAAATTTGGGTTTAGCAGAAGTATCAATTTCTCCGCTATCATGTGTAACATTGTATTCATAAACCTCGTAGTCAGTGCAGTATGCGACCTTGAAGACTCCTTCGCGGGGTTCAATTAGGTCTACATCCGCGGCCTCCTCTTTCTTTAGGTTTACACGGCCTACAATAGAGGGCTCTTTGCTCAAGGTCGTATTTGCATCGAAGACAACAAGTTCGCCTTCGGGTGCAAGCCCAGTCGCCACCGTCCCAAACCGGCGATAACCAGGTCTTCCCCGGGGAGAAGGGGAGAGGCGAATCACCCGCTGATAGGTTTCCTTTTTCGGTGCTGTCGAAGGAGTAAAGAGTGAAGCCTGAGAAAGCTGAGATATGCTCCGCTTCTCTATTGCCTTCTCTTTTATCGGCTCGTCAGATGCGTCGGCGCCGGACGGGACTGAAATGCCAAAGGATCGCAAATGTTCATTTTTCCCAGCTTGCTGGTCCGCGGTTGACGAATTAATGCCAGCAAGTGCCACAAGGCCCTGCTTTTGATGCAACACAGCTAATGAAGTTACTGAGTCTTCATCGCGCGAAAGGTCTATCTCAGCAGTTTCGGAAATGTCATCCGTCGAGGTATCCAGGACAGTCTGCGCAAATGGATGTCAGCGATCCATAGAGATGCAAGCTACAGCTGAATTTCAATACAATTTTATTTCCAACACCACTGCGGCCTTCGCCTCCACCGCCGCCGACAACCAGACAATTGTCGTTCTCGGGATCAAAGTCTCCGGCATAGAGCGGGTATGAGAGCGTTGCCTTTGTGGAGGAGATGTGTGACGCCATCGTGCCTGCGATAGCTTGATTTGCCGAGAAGGGAGGTTGATTTTCGGTTCGCAATGATGTACAATGAAAATATAAAGAATATAGAGTCTATTCGAAACTTATTATTGACATGCTTGGCGTATCGGAGGTATGTAAGAAGCTGCGGTCACAAGATGGAGAGTGAGCTTCGTGTACGCAAGCAGCTTGACATTGGAGTTTAGTTCCTCAGTCCAGATCCCTACGTCAAGGCATACAGACATTAAACGAAAATCGACGCCGCGGATCGTTTCGGTCAATCGTCCTCACGGGCATCACCAACCTCATCTCGTCTTGAAAGCAAATACTCCACCTCGCAATATCTCCTATACTCTCGCTTTTCTTTTATCAATGCTCCCTATCAGCATTACTCCATGGCGAAAAGATTCTATATGTGCAGTGATTTCCAGCATGGTTTATATAGCACGAAGCCTGAATTGGTCTCCGCTATAGCATCAGCAAAGCCCGCACGCTTTCAATTTCTATGATCATAATGCTTTCTTTGGCGTCAGATTGACTTTCCAATGAGCGCCTTCTTCTGTTTCAGACTTTGCCATCTTGAGTTTCGCTCGTCCATTGTGCGGTCCCGTTTCATGAGATCCACAGTGAGATGAACAACTTACGGGTCCTTTCTCGCTTTGCTACTGCTTTACATCGTTAGGTTACATCCTTGATCCTTCCCTGACACTGACAGAGGACGAATTCCGCGTTTCTTTCCGTTAGTCCCTTTTTCTTCCCCCTCTTCCTCATCTCTCTTGGTCCACATAGTCGTGTGTTCGGCCTGAATGTGTCCCAGGGTCCTGCGATATCGTGCAATCTAAGACTTTCTCTCAGACGCCAAATATCCTAGTCTTGGCTCGAGGCTCGCTCCTGCTCAATCGCTATTGGCGGAAGAAATTGCGATGCGAGCAGCTTGCCCCTCTTTCGGGCGATTTTCAGACGCCCTCTCGGCAGGTGGTAACGTCCTGTCGTGCCGATAGTGGGCGGGCTAAAGGAGTTCCAGTACGCTACGTCGCGGGGCGGCAGCGTTCCGAACTTTTACCCGCGCCGCCGCAGCGAACAGGCCGCTCCCTGACCACCAAGAAAATAACGAACTGGTCCCGCCAAGAGAAATTTCCAGGACTTATTGGAGTATATTAATTTAGATATATTTGAGCGATTCAAAATGGATTCTGTTCCCTATTTCTTGGGCTTAACTTTGTGCCTTTTCAATTCGATTTTTTTCTGCTGTCGTTCATTGGAACATCTGATAATTCGAAGTGCTCCTGAAACGCCTACAACATGACCGAGTACAAGTTCAAAGGATGGATCGCATGCGACAAGGAGACTGGAATTGGCGGCATGAAATGGCAGGAATTTGAGCCCAAAACATTCGAAGAGACTGATGTCGACATCAAAATCACCCATTGCGGTAACGTCTATCACCATATTTAGCCGTATCTTAAGGCTCAATGCATGGCGTTCATCTCACACAATTTCCCATATCAGGTATCTGCGGAACAGATTTGCACACTCTGAGCAGTGGGTGGTATCCAACAGACTATCCCACCTGCGTTGGTCATGAGTATGTGCGAACCATGTCAAACTTCACTTTTCATATCATTCATCCCTTCCGCCCCGTCCACAAATATTGCAAGTCCACCAGACGACTGACAACGACCAAAATCCAGACTCGTCGGCTCAATCACCAGAGTTGGCGCCAAAGTTTCCCCAGAGCTTCAAGTCGGCCAGATCGCCGGCGTCGGCGCACAAGTTGGCTGTCAGTCTCTTTCTCCCTCTTTACAGTCGTCTTCCCCAGCTCTTTCCTCCATGTTCAGAAAATACAACTCCAAGAATCCCCCTCTAACATTGGCTCCGCAGCCTGCGCTGACTGCGAGGAATGCACTTCCGGTCTCGAGAACTACTGCTCCAACCTCATCCCGACGTACAACGGACGATACGCCAACGGGGAGAGATGCATGGGAGGCTACGCCAACTACTGGCGCGGACCAGGCGCATTCGTCTTCCGGATCCCAGACGGCATGCCACCTGCTGAAGCCGCACCGATGCTTTGCGCCGGAGTGAGCGTCTACTTTCCGCTGAAAACGCACGGATGCGGTCCCGGCAAGAAAGTCGGCATCATTGGAATCGGCGGCCTCGGCCATTTCGGCATCTTATTCGCCAAAGCGCTGGGCGCAGACAAGGTCTTTGCGATTTCGCGGTACAATTCGACTTCTGCCAGCGGTGCCTCGAAGCGCGATGACGCCCTGCGGCTCGGCGCAGACGAGTTCATCGCGACAGAAGACGAGCCCGGGTGGGAGACTAAGCATGCGAGATCTTTGGATCTAATCATTAGCACGGTTGCCAGCCCAAAGGTTAGTCTCATGCTCCGTTATCTGTCAGATATGGTACACCCTTTAGCACTCTGACTTTTCGTCAAATGACAATACTTGGGAAAAAAGAAGTATCTGAACCAGGAGGGTATATCTAATAAAGCAAATACAGATGCCCATACTCTCCTACCTCTCCCTTCTCCGCGTCAACGGCACGCTTATCCAGCTCGGCGCACCAGAGGACACTCTCCCCCCGCTCAACGCGCACTGGTTGATTGGCAAAGGCGTCAAACTTGGGGGGTCACTAATCGGCCCGCCGAGCGTGATTCGCGAAATGCTCGAGCTTGCAGTGGAGAAGCGCGTGCGGCCGATCGTGCAGGAGCGACGCATGAAGGACGCGAATCAGGCGTTGCTCGATATGCAGAATGGTTTGGCCAGGTATAGGTATGTGCTTGTAAATGAGGACGATGAGGAAGGAGGGCGTCAGGAAGCGAAGCTATAGAGGGAGCTATCTAGCGATTCTTGAGGTGGGTTGCGAAAAGAGGAGTTGCAAGGAGAAAGCGTATCGTGTATTTGTCAGGCTATTTTCGAGATATCGTCATCTCATGGCGTCATGTTGGGGAGTTGAGAGGTTGTATGCAGTAGAGGTGGCAAAGTTTATATAATGCGTGAGAAGGATAATTCTATACAGCGTTTGGTGAATAGGCAATGTGTAAGATCTATGTATAAAAATGGGGACAGTAGAAGAAGAAGGGTTGAAAGAGGATGAGGATACCATAGACGAATTGAAGAATGAAAGAATCAAAGGAAAAGGGGTTCTAAAATACAACCATGCCAGAATGTCATGTGCCGTAATGCCATAATACGGGGGGTATGTAAGTAAAGTAAGCACGGAAAGCCAAATAAGACAGTATATAGAAGTAAAAGAAGAAGAAAGAGAAGGGGAAGAAGTAGAAAGCCTCAAAGCTCAGGCTTCTGCGCAACGACGGCCCGAAACTCCGTCTCACAACGTTTCGTTTCATGACAAGCCATAATCTCCTCTCGCGTCTTTTCACATAAATCCCTGACCGCGTCAACAGTCCAGGCCAATTCGCGCGTCAAGCGGCGGAGACTCGACGCCTCGAGGCCCTCTAGTACAACAATAAGCCACATCTTCCCCATGGCCAATCTGCGAGGATCTGGGCGTTGTTCGTCCTTTGGCCACGTCCCTAGCGGGACATGAAGTTTTGTGACATGGACGTTTTTGAACCCAGCTGCTTCGAGGACATGTGGGTGGAGGTGGGCCAAGGTTCCTCCTTTGGCTGGGCCTCTGGACCCTCCGGCAGGTCCAGCACTTCCTGCGACTGATTTTTCGGTGGGCAGATTCGAATACATGCCTGCGCACTCGGCAGCGCTTTGTGTCGCGGCTGTGTAGATGCTGATGTAGCTGTTCGGTAACAGGGCGGCAAGCGACTCTAGTCCAGCGTGGTCGCAGACTTCAATGTATCCCCCAGGACGAAGATGTTTGTATGCCTCGCGGAAAATAAAAGGCCAGTCGGGAAAAGAATCAGCCATGTTGCGGATATGTATGAGATCGAACTGTTCCGCAAAAGTCCATTCGAGCGTGGCGTCATCAATCTCGAGAAAGAGATTTGATGGGATGGATTCGGGGTGCAGGGCAGGGCTAATATCTGTTGCGACGACTTCAGCTGCCGGGTATTGCTCTGCCATGGCAATTGCCCAGTCGGCGGGACCGGTACCAATGTCGAGAATGCGCAACCTGGGTATCCGGGAAGACGAGGAAGCAGTTGATGGGTAGGATAAACGGGAAGAAGAGGTTGCTTGGGGCCGAGTCAGTGTAAGAGGCGCTAATGTGAATTTGCCGTCCTGGACGAGGAGGTAGAGTTGGTGTAGGATATTGAGACGCGTTTGTTCGGCCTCATCGTTGGGCATGTGGTATGTTTCGTTGCAGTATTGCCGGTCATTCTCGAAAATGTATTCAATAGTGCTTGCCTCTAGGGATTTGGTTGAGCTTCTGGGCTGGAAATAAGCATATGGAGTTTTTGAAGTTACTTCAAGATATGACGAGAAAAATGGCGAGGAAAAAAAAACATACGGAGCTCTTTCAGAAACAGCCGATTCCTGTGATAATATTGAAGCAGTGTCGCTTGATGCTGGTGACGGCGACAGAAGGTCTTCGGAGTCGTCGTCTTCGGTTGCGCCCGGTGTAGTCAAAGGTCCGTCAGAGGCCAAAGGCTGCTCAGGATCAGACGACATCGTCATTATAGGAGTACGCTCGGTCCAGATGCCCCAATGCTGCCAAAGGAGTTGGCAAGCGGCGGCATGGGCCCAGGACCGACGACGAGAGTTTAGAAGGGTTTAAAAATTCGAGCTTGATTGAAGCGATAATTTGATAAACAGAAAGACAAAATTCAAGAAGACAATCACATCAAGGTATAAAAAAAGTAGATCCAGACAGCGAAAGTGGGCACAAGCGGCAATGAGAAAGTTATAATATCATATGCGATGAGAGCACATTCAAAGACGGCATGACATTGGTGGAGTGTGGCGGACAACGATGAAGGGGTACAACAAAACACGGGCCAATGGACCAAGGAACGGGGATTGGGAAGCAGATATCTCCAGGCTCCGAAGAGCAGGGACTTGGGACCAAGAATCAGGGCATTTTTGGACAGGGCAATGCATATTGAGCAGGCATCTAAACGTGGGGACGAGGGGGACGAGGGGTCCTCGGTCGAGGGGCTGAGTCGAAGCTCGCCCAAGAGATCCGACCTACAGGAAACGGCGAACGAGGCAAACACGCTCACAACGTCTTTACCACACGAGGGAGGCGACACTGCATCGCACGGCCCGTCGTTGGGTCAGGCACCGGCAACCGAGTGGACCGAAACTGGTCGCTCAAATGCAAATCGTGTACAGTACAAGTTTGCACCATTCAATTGGTACACCCACTCACACTGAGAGATGGAGGACATCCCACGATTTGCGCGCATCCGCAGGGTTAGTTCGGGTCGGACTTTTTTTCTCTCTTCATATTCGACATCCCCCTGGCGTTGAGCATAGAGGGGTCAGGCTCGCAGTGGCATCGAGGTGCCGGAGAGTTCTATGCACCCTTGACGCGGTGGACCGTCGACTGGTAGAATCGCGAACCATGAGTGGCTTGCGTCGTTGCTGTGTCTTGCCGAGGGGACCGAAGCACTGGCAATAGACTGACTTGAACAGACCAAATCATTCTGTCGTAGTTCCATCGAGGTTCAAAGGGGGGAGAAAACAGAATGGCCGCGAAGGGTGAGATTGGCAGAAGCTGTTAGCTTCTCCGAACCCATTCTCAAAAAAGACGAAGCCTTAGCCTGGCTAGTTCAACTGCCGTCACGAACTGGATTCGGAGCTTACTTTCCAATGCCAGCGAGCGAGAGGGTATGGCGTCGTTAGCGTTGAACAGCGTCTTGCTTTCTGGCCGGTCTCTGCGTCCGTCAAGTCAGTGCGCTTGCCAGCGACAGTTGCGCCGCTGCAGTAGTGGAATGATGTTGTAGGCGCGGGCCGAAATTATGACTGACGGCAATCCCAATTCCTATCATCGCTTGCTCCTCCTCTAGGAGGAAAGCTCTTCTCAATCATGATCGACTTGTAGGACCGATCGGCACCTTCCCCTCATTAATAATGGAAATTTCTTTGCATCCATGTTCGTTTCGCTGAAAATGACCACGGGGTCCTGGAAGGGCGCTTGTGACATGGAGGATGCCCGATTTCATTAGTAGAGACAAGGCGGACATAGTGTTCCAGCCGTGAGGGCGGGAAGAGGGAGAGGCGCAAAAGAAGGCTCGATCGAGCATGCCGGGTAGTCGCAGCAGTAACTTATTCCTTGGGTGGAAAAGACATGCGGACCATGGGCGGCCGTGCGCCGAAAACCCGTCTGGGTCTGATCTCGGAGGATCGAGCAAAGAGAAAACCAAAACCCCGGAGATTATTGACAAGGGTATTCATAAGAGCCGTCAACGCCGAGTCAGAGGAGAATTGGGGCAGAGGACGAGGGGGAGGGGTGGAAGGTACTCGTTCAACAAAAGCCAAACAACCGTGCGGAAATCAAGTGTAGAGAGACAAGGAACACTCTGAATTCAATTCAAGAAAGGAAGAGAGGACGTGAAAATTTGGACGAATCAATGATCCCAACACCTCCTTTCGTAGCGATAGTTCTGCCACGAGATTAAAGGACAACGAATCAAACAGCTGGCAGACATCACAAAGAAGGACCGGGAAGGGAATCATAGTCACTCAATACAATGAGAATAACAATAGCATGACGACGAGCAAGCATGAAACGAATGACGACAATGGCTGTCAATCGAGTAACACCCGACAGATCGCAAGCCACATTATTGAAGACACTCGCAGGGATGAGAAAGCCAAGCAAATGACTGTCCATCAACAGCGAACCCTCAAATGAAAAGTCTTGAATGGCGCCATGGTGGCCACAAGTCGGGTGGATTGGGCACACAGACGAAGGGAAAACAGAATGGGCGGCGACACTTGACTCCCCTGTCGGATTTAATCGGAGTATCATGTATCCTCGGTCTCCCAGGCCAACCATGATTAATGAACATCAGTTGTCCATGTGTAAGAACAATTGTGGTTATTCAGTTCATTCGGGGATCATCGTGGAAAGTTTCATGTGCGGTCGGAGTTAGTAAAAGTGGGCACGTCAGGAGGAGAAGGTGTAGTAGCAAGGTCGAGAACTCGTGGTCGGCTCTTCGTAACGACAGTACAAATGAGCCAACCTGACAAACTCATCGCTTGAATATTATTCATCTTTGATAGGCGTTAGAAATGCTCATGAGCAGGAAATTAATTGGATCTTGATACGTTTTCGTATATGAACCGAATTCGAGGTATTTGAAAGAAAAAAAGATCAACTGCCGAGTGCCGAGTAACAGGTTTCCCCCGGGGGACAATTCGCGTGGAAGAATCGGCATCATCAACCATTCGTCTTGGCCGTCGCGATCACAATTTTCATTCATCGCTTTAATTGTCACGTTTTTGTTAGGGCTATCCACTATGGGTGGTGACAGATTTAGTGTATTCATGGCGAGTGTCAACGACTTTTACAGAAATCTCTAATACTTGTTTATAGAGCATGATCTAAATCTAATCAACGTTCTGCTGGCCCTCGTACTCTGGAAGTCGCTTGAGCACGTCCGCCCACGTCTCTTGGCCATCGACCAGCTTCTTGATGGCATCAACAATCTGCTCCTCTGATCCACGCACCTGCTTGGTCGTGTCACGGTCACGAAGGGTGACGCTGCCATCCTTGACCGTCTGGAAGTCGACGGTTATACCAAGGGCAGTGCCGAGCTCGTCGTTACGGGCATATCGCTTACCAATGCTGGCCGATGAGTCGTCCACGCGGTTCGAGATGCCGACGGAGCGGAGGTAGTGGCTAAGTCGGCGAACAATTGGTGTGAACTCTGGGTTAGTTGAGAGGGGCACGAGAAGCACCTTGGTCGGAGCGACAGGCGGGGGGAAAGAGAGAATCTGATGTCATTGCATGTTAGCAGATCAAACCGCAAGGACGGATATTAACTTGAACAAGAACTTACGCCACGAGCCTCGTCGCCCTCACGGGTCCAGTAGACGTGCTCCATCAAGCTGTAGAGGATACGGCCAATACCAAATGAGGGCTCAATGACGTTGGGGATGTACTCCCGAGTGTTCTCGACACGGGTGCGCTTCTCGATGGTGACAAGATCAGAGCCAAGTTCCACATTGCCATCAGCCACACCAGGAACTTCCACAACGATCTTGCCATTGGCCTTGAGTTGACCGGCGAAGGTCTCGCGCTGCTCCTGAGTCAGCGCCAATACAGCAGCCTCAACAGTCTTTCCATCCTTCTTGAACCGAGGGCCAAACTTCTTCTTGTCGAGGTCAATCTGCCATTCCTCAATCTTCAAGGGCTCGGCTCTCGTCTGTCTCACAACCAACGGCGCACCGGTCTTCTTGGCATGCACCGAAAGATCGTAAGCACTGCGGTCCGCACAGCCAACACACTCAATCCATCCATAGCTGGTCAGCAGTTCAGCGTCCCAGCAGTCGGCAGCATAGTGGGCCATTTCATTGGCCATGTGCTGACGGAAACGCAGCTTAGACTGGTCTACACCAATCTTCTCCAAGAAGAGCTTGATTCGAGCAAGGAAGTAACCAAGAGTCTCGTTGTCAACGAGGCCAATCTCAACAGCCTTGCCAATGGGCATCGTCTCGACCTCAGTCCGGCCTGAGAGCTGGGTCTCCCGATTGAGCAACCGGAGCTCGACATCTTTGACCTCGTGGAAGCGCGAGTGCTTTTTGCCGCTTTCAGGGTCGACGAAATGCTCAATCTCAGCCATCAAGAACTCACGGACACGTAGAAGACCGGAACGGGGAGAGATTTCGTTTCGGTAGGACTTTCCAATGGAAGCGGAGGCGAAGGGCATGGCCTGCTGGTTGAATTCAAGCAGCTTAGCAAAGTTAAGGAACTGGCCCTGGGCAGTCTCTGGACGCAAGTATCCAGCAAGGTTTCCGCTGGGGCCAATGGCAGTCTGGAACATAAGGTTGAAGGCGATCGGGGGCTCAAGATCACCATTGGTGGCGGGGTTCTTGATGCCATACTTGTTGATGAGCATTCCAAGTTCAGGGCCGTCGTAGTTATCAATCTAAAGGATTCAACCTTGATGAGTACCTTGTAATGACATCTGGGTGCGAAACCATTACACACCTTGGCCAGAACCTCCTCGTATTCCTGAACGGTAGCATCGTCCAGTTTGACGACCTTGATCTCCTTGACCTTCTTCTTCTTGTTCTTCTTATTGCAGTCCTCCTCCTCTTTCTCCTCAATCTTTTGCCCTCTTGCTTCCTTGTCACCCTTCAGTCTGGCCTCGAGAACCTCCTCGACAAGGTGGTCGGCACGGAAGATTTCTCCAGTCTTGGGGTCCTTGCACATCCAGTCGGCGAACTTGTCAACGTGTCCACTGGTCTTGAAGACCTCGTGCGGCGTCAGAACAGAGCAGTCCACCTCAAGCATGTCCTCCTCTAGGACGAAATGCTTTCGCCACAGATCGATGATGTTGGCCTGCAGGGAGCAGCCGGGAGGACCATAGTCGAAGAGTCCAGAGACACCACCGTAGATTTCATACGCCGGGGTGTAGAACATACGCCGACGGAGCATAGACTCCATGACGGGGCGGTCGAGAGGCTTCCCGGAGCGGGTAGTGGCAGTCGCCATAGCGGGGTCAATCTTTTTGATAACTTTGAATTTGAGAGAGGGGTTCGTCGCAGTAAAAGCTCGGATCTGCGTAACTCGAGGCGTCAGGCTCCGTAGGTTGAGATGAGAAGAACAGCGCAACAAGCTACACAGCTGGCGCATATACCTCAATGTCCAGCTTAGCTGGATATTTTGACGGTAAGAGAATATGAGAGGATGAGCGAAGTAGAACAGCGTTCTCTTTCTCTCTACCAAACGACGTTTGAGAATGACTTATGACTCGAATGTCCCCTCGCTGTGTGTCGAGAAACAATTTGTGACTTCCACCAATCAGAATGCAGATTTTCCTTTTTCTTCGGTAAAACGTTAATCCACCCTCCGTCTAGGGAAGAAATTCCGACCAATTTTCTTGTGACAGTCAACTCAACTACTGTCCTCTTCAAATCGTTATTCTTCTCATTACACAAGAGCATTTTCTTGACTCCACATTTGATTCGCGATGGGGTCTAGAAACCAAGCGCTTTCATCTAAGGCTGCTTTGCCGTTCAAAACGAACAACAAAGAGCAGAGGCAACAGTTTTACGTCAAACAAAAAAAAGCCCGAGACAATATTAGACGTGATGAACGTTTTCGACGAAAACGCGAGGAAGCCAAAGACTCTTCGCTCAAAGAAGATCGATTGAAGCGCAATGTTCCAATGACAATTGACCGAAAAAGACAATGGGATGAAGTGGAAGGTGACGTTGGCGCGGGTTTAGGACTTGCCATTGACGTTTCCAGACTGAAGCGTCGAAAGGCGGACGATGAAGAGGAACAGAAATCTGGTGAGGAGGACGAGAAGAGTAGCCACGCAGGGGAGTCTGAGCTGGAAGACTCAGAAGAAGGGGATGAGGATGATGACAAGGACAGCATGTTGGACTTCTCGAGCGAAGATGAGAACGAGGATGACGAAGATGACAATTCGTCGCGCGCAAAGAAGTCCAAGGCCAAAGCCAAATCAGACGAGGAGGAGCCTTCAGAATCTACATCAACGTCAACCAGACTAGATACTGCGCCCGAGGCTCTGACATCGAAATTCCCAACCCTTTTCACTGATGGCCCGCCTCCGACGCCCAAGATCCTAGTTACCACATCCATCAACAGCTCGCTTCACAATGAGGCAGAGATCCTTACAACACTTTTTCCCAACGCTGTCTACATTCCGAGATCTGCACACCGATATGGGCATAAGTTTTCGATCAAGGAGATTGCCAAATTTGCCTCGAATCGCAACTACACTTCAATGTTGGTGTTAAAAGAGGATCAGAAAAAGCCGACTGGTCTCTCAGTGGTGCATCTTCCGAGTGGCCCAACATTTCATTTCAGTATTAGCAACTGGGTTGAAGGAAAGAAACTTCCCGGCCATGGCAGAGCGACCGATCATTACCCCGAGCTCATTCTGAACAATTTCCGCACGCCCCTGGGTGTCCTCACCGCGCAACTTTTCCGTACTCTATTCGTTCCTAAACCGGAGATCATCGGACGCCAGGTTGTCACTATGCACAACCAGAGAGATTACATTTTTGTTCGACGACACCGATACGTTTTCCGTGAGAAACGTCAAACCGAGAAGGCAGTTGTTAGTGCCGATGGAAAGGAGATGAAAGGTGCTGAAGGGATCCGCGCAGGTCTCCAGGAGCTCGGTCCACGCTTCACGTTGAAGCTACGAAGAGTCGACAAGACCATTCAACGGGGAACCGAGGGTGTTGAATGGGAATGGAAAGCAAAGATGGACAAATCTCGGACCAAGTTCCAGCTGTAGTCCATGTCATAAGTCGGGCTTTGTTCTATGGGAAATTAGGTTTCCGGTCTTCTCTTGCATCAATCATCAGCGTGGAGTTTTTTTTTTTTTTTTTTCGTTTCGTCGGCCTTTTCTTGCTTAATGGGGTGTCTTTGCTTAGGGATCTTCAAAACATTTCAATCACCAAAAGTTAATCTTCTCCTGTTGAGTACCAAGCAGCCATATCTTTATCTTTTCTGGGTCCCAATCAATTTTTTTTCAGCTTTGAATTCTTGATATTTTTCATCTGCGCACTAAGGCTGCATCGAGATGAGTTGTTAGTGCCACTTCCGCTCATTGTATACACAGTTTCTTTCAGTCATTGATGTCTTTGCCTGCTTTTAATATCTATGGGGTCAGGTTTGAGGCTGTATGTTCTACTCTCACCCGTGCTGTTGTCACCTCAAATTTCGTGTAGTTGGTATAAATTTACGAAGACCATGAAGCTTCCGAGCATATGGTCCAAGGGACACTTTCTAACTTACATCAATTTCAGCGCATCATTGAAATGTTTCCATCCCTCTTATCATCTTGCTATTGTTTCATTTTTTACAGTTGGAAGTGGTCGTGTTTCGACAAATCACTGGAGTTTTTCGAGCAGGCCTTTCTCACTTTTTAATTCCAATAGAGTAAGAGAAACTTTGAACTTGAAGCCTTTCCAAACGCTCATTGAGACTGCGTCTTTCTCGTTTGTCTAAAGAGAAACCTCATGGGGAGTATAGAGCTCAGCGAATCGTAGTTAAGTATAATAAACGTTTGCGATCAAGTTTTCTTTTTAACATAGATGTGGTGAAATAAATACTCACGGAAGAAATATATTTGTTGGGGCGAACTACATATATTAAAGAAGGCGCAATTCAAGATCTACCATGATCAACCTGTATATTCGATAACTTACAAGTATTTACTTGATTCCCTATACAAAGGATGATTAAAAAATCCGAAGAGAAAAAATAAAAAAATAAAAAGAAAAAAAGAGAAAGAGAAAGGGAAAGAAACTGCCAAATCAAATGAAAATAAAAGATACGATAGATCACAACCTCTGAGTTGTTGAACTCCAACGTCTTCTCCACATATCCCGAAAAGGCAACATCGCGCGACGACCGCCAATGCAACGTTCATAAATCACAACAAAACAACAACAAAGAAAACACCGAAAAGGCAGAATGAACCTCAACTCAAGCTCAATCCGACGTTGCCAAGTTTCAAGACCACGTTTGGAGGATCTACAAATGCCTACTGGTCCACATTTGCAAATTGCAACGATCCAGCCATCACCGTTCAAGCAGCGATCGACAATATTCGCCTCAAATATTACGTGCTTTAGCCTGGGACCAACGTCGACCTTTGAGGAGATCTCGAGAAGCCGGTGCGTTCTAGCCGGCACCCCGTCCCAACGTCCGGACATTGGGCCGCATTTGTATAGTATTCTGTCAGCAAGCTCACTTAGCCGTCATTTTGACAGGAGTCCGTCTCCAGCCTAGACCGAAAGCCGGTACCAAGAACACTGATATGAACGCCTTCGTAGCTAAAAGAACGAGCAGTTCACCACACTGGCTGAAATTTGGAGATACCAAAGTGGACCTGAATTATTTCACGGAGCTACGCATTACATGCTAATGTTTTAGAGCCGTTCTGCCTCAAGGTACTGTATTCGTCGACTCTCCTTATGTCTGCCATTTGACAAATTGGTTGAAAATGACTTTGTCATTTTCCTAGCATCTTCCTATTTGCAGATCAATTCATCGCTGGGAACAAATCGCGCGAATGTGGCACAGAAACATACTAGGTTATCTCAGTCTTTTACAGTAGAAGATTGCACCATTTAGCGCCGGTTCAGTGGACCTTCAGCCTCTACTCCGTAGACTCTAATGGACGACAAAATGAAGAAGATGTCTTGTCTAAATCTGTCATTGACTTCTTGTCCCGAACTCATTACGGCTGGTTGATATGAGACAGAAGGCTCACTACTTCATATTCACGAAAATCGACGAGGGTGAAGCCTCTGTGATCTAGGAAACTCAGCAGCTGAGAGACAGCGTCAGACGGATTCAACTCCGCCAAATGACCACCGAAATTGGCGTTCGCCGAAGCTCCTGCTCAGAGGATGGGAATCGCAGGGCGGGTCTCCTATGTTTATCGATTTTCTTACGCCATTAGGGGTTAATACACACATTTCTTCTCCGCAACGGGTCTAATTTCGCAAGTGATCGGCAGGGGCAATGCCAACGACAGTTCCAAATTGAAGCGCAAAAATCTCCATGCTTCTTGAAATACCTATAAACATTGAAGCTTGCAGCTCACATACGCTAGATTTTTTTCCGTGCCGCTCTCAGTCTCGTGTGCGCGACATTTGTGGTATTGCGATGCATGCCAAATGGGGGTCCATTGCAACCGAACCAAACGGGCAAGACAAATACAGTATGAGTTGGTTGTGCGGGGAGCAGTGCGATCCAAGAAAGACGTGGTGTTAGTCCACTCCACCCTCTGTGTGAGACCGCTTATTCATTGCCTTTGCATTGAGTATCGTCCATCAGTTGGGAGGGCGGACTACTTCCATGACAGGAAAACTTGCCCTTGTCCGCCGATATGGGTCGTGGATCCAGCACGCGGCCTAAGATCGGCCCGGTCATCCTACGGAAAGTAAGGAGTCTGCAGGGACATGGGTGCAAATTATCCGTCGTGATGGGCACGGGTGAGAGCATGCCCATGCAACACGCGTCTCACGGTCAAATATAATGTTGATGACATTTGCATTTGACCTTGCATTTCGGAATCGATATTCCAATAGAGCACAACATTTTCGGACGAGGAAATGTGGAGAGAAATATCCGATGAAAGCAAGGTGTGGACATTGACAGTTACAGCACGGAGATTGGGCCTTCCCTCTCCCCACTCGGCTTCTCCACGTTGCGGAAGGGACGCGAGGAGAGACGGGACATCCCGGTCGACATGTTACCAGCAGTATTGATGATACTGGCAGCTCATCCTGACGTGTGAGAGAATTTGACTCTCCGTAAAGGAAATGCTTTACAAAACATGCTTGCATGATCAATTATTCACCGGCCAGAGATCCAAACGAGCTTGACGATTTGGCAACGCAGGTCCACGTACCCCGTGCTACCCTCGGAGCATTGAAAGGTCGTATTGCCTTCTTGGCCTCCGATTTGGCAAGAGAGACATGACCTTTGCCCCTTCGAATTGGGTGTCACGACCTGTTATGACTGCATCTGTCAAAGCATGAGCTTATTCAACATGCAAAATCAAGATACGAAGTTTGGGTACACAGGTTCCATGTCACAACTCCTGCCGAGTCAAGGTAAGGCTTCCTCAAGGTTAAGACCTAGCAATCTCAAACAGTTCACTCATGTAGCCTCAAATCTTGTTGCGCTCCTGGTGTCAAGCAACGGTGGGGTGGGATAGTCTGTCTCCACTGAATATTCACAAGCTGAATTGGAGCGGTCAAATAGGTACAGTTGGGGTTCAACCACCAACTTCAGTCACCAAAGCAGCTTGAATGGTCATGCTCAAATGCAATGGTGTTCCAAAGAAGATTCTCGGGAAGATCGGCCTCTCTTTGCCGTTGGTGGGTTGGGAATATTGATCTGTTGTGGGTCCTGCCAACTTTGGTCCCGCGAACGTTTCACAAGGTACCATGTCCGGTCGGTTCAATGCCTTCGCTTGACGATGTTTGTTATCTCAATCATCAAGGCCGGAGGGATCTCCCATCCTCCACCAAAAGTGATAATGGAAGCCATCTTTGTCCATTGTGGAGCTCCGCCAATCCCAAGGCCCACGATAATGGGTCTTTAGGATCCTTCAAGCTCGTTCTCCGTGGTGTCTCCTGGATCGACATTCTCCTTGGGCTGGGATGAAATGCCATTTTTCTTCCAGGAAATATGAATGACTCTTATCCTTCGAAACTCACTTCTCGCATAGTCATCCATACCGCCAGAATGACCCTGGACAGCAATCGTCTCTATGGTGCAACGCGAGGCGGTAAAAGACGGTACAGTATCAAGTCAGATGAAATGAAGTTCGGGCATTCTCGTACATGCAGGCGCACCCATTTGGGGGCGAAGAAGGGGCGGAGCGAAAGTACCTTACTCTACGGTACTAGGTTCTGTATACACACTGCATACGGATGATCAACGCTGTTCCTCAATAATTATCCCTGTTCTGCATCTGCTTCGCGGGAGTGAGGTGGTTTGTGAAAGACCAATTAGAATTGGCTTCAAATGCTCGGGTCCGGCTTTGACGAGATTCTGGTTCGGCGACGAAGCGACCATGGTCATTGACAATCAACCTAATCGGAAAAAGCCCTAGCTCCGGCACACCAGCAACAGGAACAGGAAACGAGATCGATCTTCAGCTTCTTTCGTCAACTTTAACAGGGAGATTGACGAACTGCACAGTAGATAACGTGAATGGATCACAACCGGAGATTTTGGAGAAGGAGGCAGAAGATGTCGAGCTGGAATCAACATGTATGAAATGCTCCAAAGCGCACATCAATCGGCTCACACATATGAGAGTCTACAGAGGTACCATGTACTTGATCAACAACTCATCTATATCCAGTCATTCAACTGCTCATTGCACCTCCTTGCAGCATGTGTGCCGAAAAGTGCAATGAAATCCTGGAGGGGAGATATATGCTGATCGTCAGGCAAAACCTCCACCTTTTGGCTGGAAAGGTTTAGGACGAGATGCACGAGCTCGCCTGGTGTGACAAGCTCTTTACTGGGACGAGTTTAGCATGGCAAAATTCCCCTCAAGAGCAAGAGATGTCCAACCCTGTATGACTACCGACTCAGTGGCATCGCAAGCAAGGTACAACCCCCCATGCTGTATGTCTCACTACTCCGGCAATGGGGCACCCCTCATCGTGCTCAGGTCCACGGGTTCCACATGCTGCCCTACTTGTTGATTCGCTTACTCCCTCAGGTAAGTTTCTCGCTCGTTACCAGTCGTGGCCAGTGACATTCAGAGACGTCCCTCGGTCCTACTCCCTCGGTCCAAGATTGGCTCTGATCCACTCGGTTCCGGTAAAAGGGTACTGCACGGGCTTGGGGCATTGACACGGAGGTTTCTGTGTGGGCGTGCATGTCTATATTATGCTGTGACAGCCTGAATGAGACCATAAAATGACATGATCGAAGCCGTGGACCAGCCAGATAGACCGCATTGTCTCATCTACTGTGCCTGATTTGGATGGAGAAATCCAAAATTCAATTTGGCGAATCACCAAATCACATTATGCGTCCCCCAGTACTGTTGGGGGTTCGAGAGGTGTCGAATGTCCAGACTGTCGCAGGTCGATGACTGAATAATAATTGCGCGACATGTCATGGGCGTTGTGCCCGGAGTGAATCAATATTGCTAACCCCCTCTTCAAGTTTCAGAGACGGGCTTCTCCGCTCTCACTGAATTTCTGTCATGTTCGACTCTGGGTCCTGAGGATTTCTCGTGGTTGGGATTGCTACATCTGGGTTCTGCTATGTGGACCAAGGAGGACTAAAGCGGAGCTTGTCGTCCTCGATTTGTGCCTGGGGCGAGGCAGAACGGGGACACTAAGAGTAACGGCGCCATCTTCAAGGGTTCTCCCCTTTTTATTGCCGACCGATCGTTATGGCCTTAGGGGCTGCACCACAACTAACTCCATCCAGTAGTGATACTCTTCGGCGAACAACAGGCATCTCCCAGCGCCCCTAATAACGCCGAACTTGGGCGTTGAGCGGCTCGCCGTTGTGTCGGGAAACGCAATTGATGCGACGGCTTTTCCAACCCCTGACAAGAAGGAGAGCTTTTTGTTTTCCTTTTGGACCATAGTCTTGGCCCCTGCAAACCCCCTCAGCCCCAAGAAATTTTTCTTCCGCCAGTTGATCTCGCGCGACCTTCTGCTCGCTGCAAGCTTACAACGCGTGCGTTCTCGCTAGGTTTTCCTAGGCGCACCACACGCAAGGGGTCCACGACAGGCGGGTCTTTTTATTTCGCACGCCTGGTGAGCTGGAGTCGAGCTGAACTGAATAGACACGCGGAAAAATCCATGGTGACCGGGATTATACCTGCCGGTCACCGTCGCTCATGTGTGTGCGTGTGGAGCATGTGTTTTGGCCAATTTTGACCAAGGGCCTCATTACTGGCCGGTCGAAACGAGCTCCCAAACGGTCCCCCAGAAGGAAACACGGGGCTCCTCATCGAGTATGAACGTACCGTTCAAGGCTCTCTACGGACCCAGAAAGACAAAACGCTTCCCAATATTTTGTACTAGCGCTCAATTGATGTCTGACGCACCGCGCTGTCTGCTCGACTAGCAGGTTGCAGATGCTGTACGACTCCACTGTGACGACGGCCTTATACTCTATGTCACCTTGTCCGTGCTCGACACCAGACACCATAGGCACCAAGAGAGAGAGAGAGAGAGAGGGGAGAGAGGAAGAGGCACAGTCATAACTCCCACGGGGAAGAACATTGTAATTTAGACCACCTCCGTACGGAGCGTACTTTTTACCATTATTACGACTTGTTGAACCTCGCACCAGCTAACCTCGCTCACTTCTGTTAATTCCACGCACCCCTCTGCGTTGTGCCTATTTCCTCTTTGGATCTTCATATCTTCGATCTATCAATTGACTGGGCCCAGGGTCTCGACTAAGGCGTGGCGTAACATTTGCCGTTGGTGGCTGCTTGATTGGGCCCAAGGCCGCGCTGAGGCGTCTGTTCACTCACCACGATCTGGACAAGGTTATATTATGACGGGATCGGCCGCGAAGGTTTCAGCATCCAACTCTAGTTGTTCTTAATCCGACCCTCGCCCTTTCTCCTTCCCCTGGTACGGCTACTGCCAAACGGCACGAAAGCAACGTCGGGACGTTAATTGATACCAGTCGTTTCGACCTGATAGTTGGTTGGTTGCATTGACCATCCACGCTCTCATAGTTGTAAGTGGTCTATCCCGTCCTCTTTATTATTAGGCCATATGATATCTATCATTCCCGTCCCTTTTCTCCCCTTTCTACCTTTCCAATCCGATAGAGATGGTGTAGCTCACCCTTTTTCAGGAAGCATTCCACCAAGGAATCACGATATATACACCTTGAATGAGGCCTGCTCTCCATGCACATGACGCGAACTTCTGGCCCTTCCCCTGGCACCTCTCCCCATCTCGTCGCTGGTTATTCGACCTTGCAGTGGAATTCGGAATAGCGTCTTTCCTGTATAATCTGTGGCTTGGGACCTGAACGCAACTTATTCTGGACCTGCACCTATTGTTGTTTAGGAGGACTGTCACCGGAGACAATGTTTACTTTTTCTAAATCTCCTCCATCCTCACAGGGGCGGCGAACCTCGTCTGACTCTCGTTCGATTGAGCGCCCGCCATCCAGCCATGCTGGACATTCGAATTACCAATCCTCAAGCGACGAGCTCAACTACTCCGAGCGACCTCGTGGCTATGTTGAGAACTTTAGAAGAAGCTCTGTACTAGGTGTTCGAGCAAGGAGCAATACAACAAACTCAGGCTCTACAAATCACTCCATTACACCTTCAATGAGCTCGACCGCAGTCTCGTCGCGCCGCTCGTCCCAAGATGGCCGCTCTATGTCTATAAGCGGCTTGTCAAGATGGAATAGCTCGGAGGGCTCTGCGAAGGCTCTCTTCTCTCGGGGCAGTAGAGTGCTACGGAGGAATAATAGTCGCATGAACCTCTTCGCCATGTCGAATGATAAACCCGACGAAATTGAAGAATTGGCAAACCGAAGGAAGAGCCAGCTCTGGCAAAGTGGCTTTTTGAGCAAAGGCGACCAAAACGATACCCGTGAGTAGAAGGTTGACTTCTGTCAAGCTATTTTGAGGTGTCTAATTCTGTTTGCTAGATGCTGCGCGAAAGCGAACGATTTCGGAACCATTCAATTTTCAGCATCTCACTCACACTAAAGCTCAGCATTTTCCAGAGTTGGATCGCACGAGCCAAAGGGAGCTTGTCACCGAGTTCTCCGCCATCCGGGCCGCCCAAGCCCCGCGAAAGCAGTTGGAAGGAATTCGAGCAGACGACTTGCATTTTAGGAACTTCTCCACCGAAGCTATCAATGCCTGCCCCTTATTAGATAACCCCCCTGACCTCTCCGGTCATTCACGCCATGAGCGCTTCGATCCAGCCGAAGAATCAGAGCGAAATCTCCAGTCGCCTCTAGGTCATCATAGAGACGTGCAACATACCCGATCTGCGGACAGCGTTTCGCAGCCTAGCCCTCCCAGGTCCCCTGAGGCGGTTGCGGATCCCGTTACTCCACCCCCTCGGAGATTTTCCAGGGTCGCTTTCGGTTCCTATAGTCGCCCCTCTGGCCAGTCCTCGCCAACCTCACCTTCATTCAGTCGCCCTCATACGAGCTCTGGCTTCCGTGATGCCCGGCCATTCAACTTTTCTATGTTGTGCTCGAATTCTCCAAAGTCACCGAGCTCCGGCAGAGCTTTGGAAGTATTTGACGATGATCCCGAAATACCTCATGCCATGACCACCCCTGATGAGACTGCGATGGAGCTGAGGGCCCCATCCTTTGGTTGTGGGACAGAGCTGGCCGACGTACCCGAAGAGGAAGAGGGTGCTTTTTGCTTCAGACGCTCAGTCCGGCCATTCCCAATTGATTCGCCCGCTCTTCTCTCCCCATATGATCTATCAGACATCGATCCTTTGAGTCAATTGGACCCTCCTCAATTCCCCGAATCTACAATACAGCATCGGGCGCGACCACTCTCGCAGGCGTCCGACACTCTCGGTGCGCCGTTTAGCGGCACGCCAAACTTTCAATTATCTGGGACGTCGCCCATTGTACGCGGAAATTTCTCTCCAGCTTTACCGACGGACGGGTGCTGGGAAGATGATATCGATTATTGCTACGAACACGCTGCCGAGGCCGACTGCGATTTTGAGTGGTCTCGTCTGCCAAACGAGGCTTCTGTGCCAAAAGGGGCTGCCCAGTCGCAGCACACTGCCCAGGCTCATTTGGACCAATCGCGCTATAATGTCTCCAGTGATACGCACAAAGACAGCGCCCCAGGGCCTCTACCGACCTTTGAATTCGCAGAGCCGCAAGCACAGGCTGCCCTCGCCGCGGGTCCGGGCCCAGCCGAAGCGGAAGGCTTCTCACTTAGTCCTTCACTTCTGATACCCAAGGACTATGAGGACCAGATGCTCCGAGAAGCATTATACGAAGAGCTTTTGTCATCTAATCCTGATGTACAGCAACATTTCCCATTTTTCGCGCCCAGCCTCGCACGACCCGAAAGCGGGTGTGTTTCTTACCGCAGTAGTCGAACGTCGCCTAGCAAATGCGATTCTCAAGACAGCTTTAACTTTTCAGTTGGCCAACAGTCATTGAGCTCAAGGAGCAGTGTCCTTGATCTGGTCCATAGCCATCCATGCAAAGAGGTATTCGACGAAGCAGCCTTGCGTCTGGCTGATCAAATTGCCTCCTTGAACGCATCGGGCTCGGAAACCAGTTCTTTGCACCGCAATGGCAGCCTCAATCAGCATAGCGAGCATGCCTCATCGGCTTCGCCATATTTGACACAACAAGACGATGAAGCGCATGAATCGAAGCTGCCTCGCCGACAGCGATCAAGCTCTGACGGTGCCTCCGCCCTCCTTTCCCGCGCTATTGATGGAAAAAATGGCCGAACGCGATCAGCCAGCTCTGCAGGTTCCCGCCGGGCGTCGCGTGTCTCATATAACCTTTTCCCAGCACCCCCACGCCATCTACCCCAGTAGATTGGCATTGGCTATATTGCACACTTGATGCGGCAAATTTCAGCATTGAATTTCTTTTGTTTACCTTGACAACCCTGCCGCCGCCTTTCTTTATCTGTTTTTTTTTTCTTTGGCATCAAGCCCGAAAAGTATGACCATTTGGTCAATGGTATTACCCACTCGTTCACCCTCTATCCATTTCATTACATCTCGGTATATTGTCGATATACCCTTGGCATGTATTCCCATTAGATTTTGGCTTTTGACATTTGTATCGTTTGGCACGTGTATTCTATTAGCGCGGCGTCTGGTAGTATCTTTATAAAACTTTGGGTCACATGGTGGGAGGCATTGTCGTTTGGTTTAGTTTCAGCGCGCTTTCAAACCTTTTTTTGCTGTTCATTTTAAGACTTTCCTTTTTATCGAATCTCTTTTGTCTTGGAATTAAGAAGAAAGGAGGGGAACTGTATAGTAGGGCCGATAAAATGCAAAGACTTGGAAAGTCGATTTACTGGCATATGATCATCTGCTCTTATTCTGGAAAGCGAAGGTATTCAAGCTGGTAGCGCCATAGCGAGTCGATAAGTAATATTTTTGTAATCGAAAGACTTCATCTCTCTTTGCGACACAGATCTCTCATTTCAATCCCTAGCAAACTCAGCACCTAGCAGAACCAGGTGCATAAAGCCACTATTATGAGAATACAGGACAAGGTCATGAAAATAGCCTCTACAGCGTTCAGGTTGCTTGCATGGCCTTTGCATGAAAGGCTTGTGCGCCTGAAACATTCCTCTCGCAGGCAGCAGCCTGTACTCCGTATATAAATGCATACAACATTATCTCCGCTTCCCCACGCTTTCAGAACCATTCATCATTCGAACTCGGGAACTGCAAGTATTCTATTTTTTATTTTTTATGTTTTATTTTATTTTATTTTATTTTTTGGTTTTGGTTCAGAATGTCAGAGTACTCCCTCAAAGCCGCCATCGACGAATTCTTCTCACAGACGTCTGCCACTCGCGAAGCATGCGATTCCATGGCCAAGAATCTTGTTGGAGGGAAAGGGAAACCCGTGCCAATTGCCGTGCAAGGAAACTGCAGTTACACAGTCTACGCTGGTCCTGAACTTGAATTTGTTGTTCAATTCCGTTTGGACTCCTTGAAGCTGGATTCCGAGATTTCGATTCTGGCAAGCAAGCTATACGGCTCTCTGGTGCCAAATATTTCATTCCATGGCGAGATAGGAGGAGATAATGGCCAGTTACGTGGAGATAATGGAAAAGAACACGTCTTGGTCTACGTCATGAATCGCATACGAGGGGTCAGTCATCTTGACTTTATTCTCGAAAATGGATTTCCTGAGAACTCGGAAAAGACTTTTGCGTGGAGGGATACGCTTTTGAGAGATATAGCTTGGTAATATCCCCCCCAAATTGCCCTTATTGCCCTCAACTTCCAACGCTTTTACTTAATGTCACATGGATTCACTGCTTGGGAAGTGTGCGATGATCGCGATTGTTCTTTATAAGGACTCGATCGAACGTTATCGTGGAAATTAAATGCTAATGCCTCATAGTTTCTTCGCGCTCACCTGGAAATCTCCCCAGAAAGTCAATCAAGACTACAAAAACAAGTTACGCCAAACCTATACCAAGGAGCTGCAGCTGCTACTCCATTCTCTTCCGTCGCGCTTTCATCAAAGCGTACAGAAATGCCTTGATTCAATGGATGCTATTTTCTCGTTGCCCATGGTCCTCCTTCATCGAGACTTTGGCACTTGTAATGTCATGGTCGATGCAACGTCTTGTCATCTGACTGGAGTTCTTGACTGGGCCGAAGCTGAGATTTGCCCCTTTGGACTGAATCTCCATTCACTGCAGGCTTTTACGGGCGCATTGCATCTGAAGAATGGGTGGAGACGATATGAGGATTACGAAGCGCGGCAAAATACGTTTTGGGGCACGTTTCGTGATGAGGTAGGTGGGTTGTCCGAAGAAACGGTCAGGACTATCAAGATGGCAAGAGTCATGGGTTTATTGCTGTCTAGCGGCTTTACACGAAGACTGGCAAATAGGCCGGAAGCTACGCCGATCCGTGATGATGAAGCGGGGAGGTATAATATGTTGTCTCTTGATGGGTTTCTTGTTAATCCAGCTACGAAGTTTGATGGGCTTGATTGAGGAGTGAGACTTTGGTTTGAAGATCAGCACGCAGACAACTTGCTATGCTGGCTTCCAGAGAGCGATGAAGCTAATGAATGTTTACCTCCTCCGCAGAGGAGGGCTCAGCTGAAGTTTATGCTTGCTTTTGCCTTTAAAACCTTCGTCTCCGATTATACTAGGATTTACCCCCAGTCGTGACCGATACTACACTAAACCCTTCGCACTAACTAATAAACTTTCCCTCTTGTCTGCCTGGAAGTAACCAAGGTATCTGGATAGGTTCCTGTAATTGTCTCGGGAGGTACACTATAGTAGTACAGGTGCAAACCTCAATAACAACCCCTCGCATTGCCTTGGCTACTTTTTCTTTCACACGTAGTAAATATAAACCCAAGCTGGGTGCCAAACTTCAATTTCAATTTCCTCTTGGTATTTGTCGCTTGCGTCAAAGAGTCACCTCGAGATTATCCCCTTCAGAGCCAACCCCCCTCTATCAGCAACGATGGGCCAATCACTCAACGATCCCTTTACTCAGGAAATTGAGCGGCTGAGAGTCGATTATGAGAGAAAAAGAGAGCAATCTAACTTGGGTTCTGCTGGTGGCCGACAGATAGTCGATCTCAGTATCGACTTGGATGATGGTGTGTTGTGCTACACGTATTGGTACGAGCACCAGTGCATCCGGCTTGCTGATATTCCTGGCACCCTTTCGGGGGATATCCTGCGCCTACACCAAAACCTCCCCAGCTCAGTCGACAACGGAGACCACGAAATAATTGGTGACGATATACGCCTCCTCAAAAATGTGCCACCACTTCCAGAGCTAGACGACGACTCTGAGGATCTTGATACAGTTCTTACATCACTCCCAATCGTGTGCAAAGTTGATGCCAGCCGACATTTTGTCAAAAAGGGCAAATATAAGAGTGAGATTGAGAATCTGCTCAAATGCCAAGGTGGATCCTGCCCAGGAGTGCCCATATCGTCTCACATCATTCAACTGCTGGGAAAGTCGCCAGAGGGCATGTTGGTTTTTGACAAATTCGTGCCCCGATACTTCATCTTGGGGTCCATTTATCCACTTTCTGTCTACAAGGATTGGATTTTGCAGATAATTTCTGGAATGAAGCAGCTTCATTCCCTTGGGATTGTTCATCGCGATCTACGCATTGACAATGTTGTCTTCTCCTCTGACAAATCTCGTGTGCTCATCTGTGATCTCGAGAGTCGTTGGGGAAATCATCTGGCTCCAGAGGTTTCTCGGGGGCCAGTGTTGGACGCTGGCTGGACTGAGAGATCGGACATATATGACCTGGGATATCTTATAAAGGGCTTGGTATATGGAAACTCTCCAGTGACATTTGCAGTAGAGTGGCCTGTTCCTCCGACTCTGGCAGCTGTTGTGGAGGCTTGTACTTGCGAAAGACCTGAAGAGCGCCCCAGTTTGGATGATATTTATGCTATGGTTGACAAGATCAAGACTACTTAACAATGTGAATGTTGAAATGGGTAAGCATGTATAGAATAGTAAGTAATTAAATTGAATACGCAAGACTTCGCCCGCTGCCAATATTCAGTCTGGAATAAAAGGCACGATGGTCTAGAAGGATAGCGGACAGAGAGCTTGAGCACCCTCGCTAAATTACAGTTAAGCCTTTGAGAACAAGTTAGAGTGAAATATCCGTACGTCAGTCAATCGCGTCAAATGATAATACGCATTTTGGAAACAGAAGAGGCAGAGAACTGCCGTCATTCTAATTTACTATTTTTGCGCAGCATCATTTGAAAGTCTGCGCCGTGGCTAGAGAAGGATCGTCAGGGACCGACCAAGGGGAGAGGTGCGCGTCCCGCGTTCAGCCACTCGAATTTGGTTGACAATGTGGGGATTCGCCACGCCCCAACCACGCAATTATCCTGACCAGCTGGTTGGTCCCTCGGTCAACTGGCCAAGGTTTTGAGACTTGAGCGGTCAGGGACAGCTCAGATGATGAAAAAGAAGATGGAAACCATTTCTCCTCGATAACAAGCTCACAATTTTTTCCATCCTTTGTGTTGACTTTTACTGCACAGAGACCAAACGGGACTTATTCTCAATCTTTACCGTGGAACGCTTGAACTGTCATTTCTACGCACTTTTCCTCTTCAGGTTGCGGACATCCACATTATTCCGCGCCATAGCGGAACGATCGAGTCGCGCGTCCACGGTTCCAACGCGCTTCCCGCATCTACGGAAACAGGAAGGGGCAAAGGGGTGCAGGAAGTCCCTGAACCAGAAAGGCGGTCCACGCGCACATTCTTTCTCACCGCCCGTACTTTTATCATTCCAGAAAGAGAGAAATACGCTGCGGTCCTTGCTTCGGGAAGAGAGAAAATCTGAAACTGCAACAAAAAGACTCGATACCGGAGTTACTTTTTGTCTGCGCAATTGCCTCTGGTCACAGTCTCTCCTGGTGACCCACATCGTTGCCGTACGTGCTCGACACGAGACACACCGACTCGAAGCTTGAGGCAATGCTGGAATCCGCCATTTTATCGCCCTCGCTTCCACGGGCTGCTCCTTCCCACCGCCCATGCGATAACGGGCTTGAGGATATAGTTCTGGCCACCCCTGCACCGGCCGCGAGGCTTGCACCCAGACCTTCTCGCCCCGGCCCAAATTTCCACCACCACCAACACCACTCGTCGGACCCTTCACCGCAAACTTGGCGTGCGCCAGGACCCGTACTGATCTCTTCGTCTGCGAATACACGACTTTTTGACAACAATAACCACAACAAACAAGCGCAATCTTTTTGTCGCGACTTTGAGATCCCACCACTGCTCACTCGCGGAACATCATTTGGCGGCCTTCCTTGCTCAGACTCGACACGGCAACGCGCACAGCCGTCTTCTGATTTTATACCGACGCTGACGGGCGACACCGCTGGAGTAATTAAAGTTGAAGATAGAGGCGGAAAACTGAACGAGTGGTTCAAGGGTTCTTCAGCGCCAATCAATTTCGGCATTAAAACCGCGACAACAACGACTGCCGGGTCAACTTTAAATCCTTCGAAAATGGAGTCATCAGCGACTTCCGAGAAACACTCCTCGAGACCGTACGCACACAAGAGATCCTCGACTCTTCAATCCATCAGTTCGTTCCTTGGTGGCGGCGCCGGCAACTCCAAAAGAGAGTCCGCATCACCGCGTGCGGCACTTGCATCCATCCCAGCACCAGCCGACGACGAATTTCTTAATCTCGATATCAATACTGCCTTATTCCCCAATGGGTCTTCCGACCCCGCTGCATCACCACACGCCTTTCGCGACCTGGTTTCCAATGCCGAAGCAACCATCCTACGGATCCAAACTGCGTACAAGCTCCGCACCATGGCCTTGCACGATATTTCGGCTGAGAAGAGCGCACAAGCCGACGAACTCGAAGAGTCACAAACCCGAGCTCGTCATCTCAAGATGCAGCTCGACGACCTCTCCGCCAAAGTATCCGAGCAGGAGAGGACCATGAAGGAACTAGCCGAGGAGCTCTCTGCCGAGCGGCAACGCCGTTACGAGGAAGAGGAAGCGCGCAAGCGTACGATAACACTCGTCAAGAAGCCCGCGAGCATTCCCATGGACGGCGGCGATAACAACGACAACAAGACACTTGCTGCAACAAAGCGCATTTCCCGCGCCAGCGACTCTGGCTTTGAATCAGAAGACGAGAGTTGCGCAGAGAGCGTTTTCTCACGAGTACATGATCGTGCGGATGCTGCTTCCCCGGCCGGCACAATGTTTACGTCTGCATCGGGTTTGACATCTCCAGTGGAATTAGTATCCTCGTCTGCTCCTTTTCCATTATTTTCCTCCTCGTCTCCCAGTGTACAGAAGCCGCCGAACGAACACGCAGAGGATAAGCCAGATGATCCGTCAGTCACACCAACCCAACGATCATCCATACCGCCCCAGCGCTCGTCGGCGTTTCAGAAGATGCTCAGAGGCATTGGCGCAACGTCCATGGCCAAGGCAGCCGAGGCGGGTCTCGGTGGCTGCGCGAACTGTAGAGGCGAAGATGCGTCAATGGCGTGGAATATCGTTGGCCATTTGCGCGAAGAAAATGCCGAGTTGAATACTCGTGTGGGGCAACTCGAGGGCGCCGTGGAGAATTGTTTAGATATCGTCAAGGGATTGCATGTTTAGTGTCGTAGTCAGGGTTTTATGACGGCACCGCGTTGTTTATGATCAACTTACTTGGCTTCTTCGATTTATAGCGCTTATACCTCGAGGTACTTGGGCTTAGGCGCCTTTAAGGTTCTAAGTGTGAAATGTTTCGACTCAACAGCGAAGGAAAGGTGTTTGGTTTGCGGTCCAAGGATTATTGTTGTATGATGGACATGAAAAGTTTACTGGAGTTTTCTATAGATTTATTTGCGCTTCTAGATTTTATTTTGAGCTTCTAGATTTTATATTTTATCTGGACGTTTCTTAGTTTAAGGAGAATATCCATTGTCTTTTTTTTTTCTTCATCTTCATCTTCTTCTTCTTCTTCTACTCGGGGGCGGGGCAAAGTTCATACTAAGTCTCTCTTCTTCTCACACTGAGCTTATACCATTTATCCGCCCACTCTATCTTACTATGAACATTATATTTCTTTCCCCCCCCCTCTTTATTCTCCATTCCCTAGGCTTTGGTTTCATCGTCCTACATAGTAAATTAAGCTTATACACCCCTCGCCCCGAGCAGCTCTCGTTCGGCTGGCCCGCTGTAAATACCATTCCGCACGTGTAAATACTAACCCATACCCCTGTCATCCAGCCGCCCAGCCACCAACACAGCCACATCAACACATCAACATGACATCTCCATTGACTACGGTGTATGCCTTCATGTACTCCGTACGGAGCAGATCTCGGTCTTTTACGTAGTACGATGACTCCAGAATCCCAAGGTAATATCATTACTTGCAAGGATGAATTGAACGTTTTGTCTTCTTGCTGGGTATTTATTTTCGGAACACAACTGCAGAGTACTCCGGGCTAGACTGAGTTGCTGATGTCAACGCGAATAACGCGTCGGTGTACGGAGTAGCGCACGGTGACCTGTTTCACCATACCGAAAGAGGAGGCGGTGAATGCCAACATGCTCAGCCCCATCGTCATTGACGTCTTCTTCTTCATTCGATGACTGGGATTTCTGGGAGTATTCTACTTGAGGGTGTGATTTTGCGGTGTGTGTTTGGTAGTTGTTTAATGCGCCGAAGATTGAAGTTTGAGCGTTTACTTTGTGCGAGGTTGGCATCCTGAGCTCTCATACAGTTTTATCTATTTGAGCGTTGTGCTTTTGAACTCGAAGGCCAATATCTTATTGCCCGTTTTTTGGTTTTGCGGATGCGACTCAATATCGTACGAGATATACAGACACATAAGGCTTCAAAGAATTGTTTATTTCTGCATTTTCCGGCATATTTCCAGCGCGGCATTGCTCTTCTTGATATCTTTACTGGCATTGCATATTCGATTTGTACGCCCGCACTCAGACTACTGATTGGCACTATTGGCTACGTCTTTACGCCCGCACTCAGACTACGGAGAGCTTACCTGGATCTGCCCGTTCATATCCAGCATGCCATTTATACCACACACTCCCGAATCGCTGCTCTCACTTGCGCGCTCCGACTCGAAAAACCCAGCGACAACATGCCGGGGAATTACATCGAATGGACGACCATGCCGGCGCTCACTAGCCGCGTCCTCGACGCCGGGACAAAAGAATGGATCCGTGTCGCCAGGCCGTGGCACGAGTCCAGGTGCAAAGGGATCCAGCAACGAGAAAAATCTCAGCAAGGGCGTCTTGGCAGTGCTATCGAACGGCACTGGCAATGGCGTTGATGCCGAAGACGTCGCGGCATTCTTTTGCTGGCAGCACAAAGATCAAGCCGCACAGTACGCGCAGCGTCTTGCAGAGACGTACGGATCTCAGACACGTCCTGGCAAAAAGCCAGGCAAGCATGCTTCTTCTTATTCTGCAGCAAACGGGAATAAACCGCCCAAGATGGTCCCAGTTCACCAGCGCACGAGCATAGATACGTTGATTGAGCGAATCCATGGCGTGGATATCAGCGATGGCGGCGCGCATCGGCCGCAGACAAACGGAACTCAGAATCATCACCAGCGACCGAGTAAATCTTTGTCCTCTTCTTGGGAAAAACCAAGTACTTCTAGACCACCGCGACCTTCAAATTCAGCCAATACGCAAAACAATGCCCATCGACCTTCGAAACCTCAATCCCACGGCTTGTTGTCAATTCTATGCTGCATCTTATCAGACAAACACTACGACGAACCTGCACCAAGACCCAGCTCACGGCCCAGCTCACGACCGCATCAACCTCAAAACCAGAACCATCATGCCCCAACAAGCAAGCCTCCGCAACCACAGCACTACCACACCAAGCCATCACACTCATCCCACCCCCCGCGGCCTGACATCCAACACATGCCCTCCTCTCAAACCGAGCACTACCTGTCCTTTATCCCGCGCACTCTCCCCCCGCAAACGGCATCTTTACTTCTCAGCGAAATCGCAAAACCCATTTCCCCAAACGACGAAGACGGGTACATCTACATTTTCTGGCTCACAAACGGAGAGTCCCATACTCCTAGTGGTGCAGCAGCCCAGGGTCCTGCTCAGTCCCGAAGAAAAGCTCAACAGTCGGCAAAAACAATCCTTCTTAAAATCGGCCGCGCGAAAAACGTTCATCGCCGCATGAACGAGTGGTCCCGACAATGCAACTACGATCTCACGCTTGTGCGATACTATCCGTATGTTCCTACCACTGGGTCTGCGGATTTACTTCCTCCTCCGTCTTTTCCTCCGTCATCTTCCCGATCCATGTCTCGCTCGGATCCAGGCCTGTCGTCTGCTCCTCGTCACAATCCCGATCACGATCACGACCCTTATTCCTATCCATATCCTTATACACCTACCCCATCAGGGCAAGTCAATCCGTCTGATCCGTCGTCACTATTCGCCCCTCTCTTTTCGGTGAATACTCCATACGCGTCCCCTGCTTCCTCGCCTTACTATCCTCCCCCTCATTCTTCTCCGTACTTTTCTCCCTCTCCTTACCCCCCATCCTCGAACATTCCAAGCTCGTCCCCGTCTTTCGCCGCCTACAACACCTCTCCCTATACCTCCCCTCCTCCTCCTCCGCCGCCGCCGCCAGACGGCCCCCTAGAACGAAGCTACGTCGACGCAACATCCTCCTCCCCTTCCGCCACCGCGAATGCCCTGTCCTCTGGCACTTCCACTTCCAATTCCAATAAAGTCCCACACGCACACCGCGTCGAGCGGCTGATCCACATCGAGCTCGGGGCCCAGCGCGTCACGAACCGCGGCGCGTGCGCACAATGCGGGCGCGAGCACCGCGAGTGGTTCGAAGTCGAGGCGTCGCGGGACGGACTGAGGCGCGTGGATGAGGTGATACGGCGGTGGGTGCGGTGGGCGGAGGGTACGGTGGCTTAGTATTAGTAGTAGTGTTATTATTATTACTGTTACCAGAATTATTATTGTTAGTATTAGTATTAGTATTATTATTGTTATTAGTATTAGTATTATCATTATCATATAGTCACTTCTGATGGTGGTGTTTTGTTGCTAGTATTTTATCATTATCATATAGTCACTGCTGGCATTGTTGTTTTCGTTATTCTTCATTGTTGCTGGTATTTTATCACCCTCTTGTACATCATCACCATCATCTTCATCACTATTACCATTACACCAAAAGGGAGAGAGCGTTACTTTTGTAGCGGTCGTCGCCGTCGTCATCGTCGTCGTGGTGTTTTTCACTTCATCATCAACGAGACCAAGATCCAACGCCCAGAGATCCTAGTAATCCAGTATCTACGTGCCTAGCACGAACGGCTCTAGAGATACAAAATAATTAAAAAAAAAAAAATAAACAAAAATAAAAATAAGGATAAACAATGAAGAAATAGTACTCTATCAACCTATCCGAAACACTTAGTCTTCAAAGATCACTGCATGGAAATAAATACAAAATACACGAGGTATCTTACTATTCAAGTGTTTAATGTCAATGTATGAATATAAACGTAAATATAAATGTAAATGCAAATGCCAAAGAAAAAGGAAAGAAAGGAATATAATGAGATGTTATAAAAAAGGAGAGGGGAAAAAAAGAATGTAATGGGATGTTATAAGAAAGAAGGGAAAAAAAAGTAGAGAATGTAATGAAATGTAGAAAAAAAGAAAATAAAATATAGTAAACACCAATAAAAAAGAAAAAAGAGAAATAATAAATGCTTATAAAGAAGAAGGAACAAAAGAGGAATACATTCTGTGATCAAATTTGTAATCCTCTACCACAGAAATATAATCATCTGACACTATAGCCTATACAACAGACTCGATAAATCACGGCTCATTTCCACCGCCATCATCGTTACTACCGCCGCCCCAGCGCCCATTTCGCTCCGCTTCTTGCTTTGTATATCGCTGCATAAACCTGACATAGTCGTATTTTGGCAGTTCCCTGTCGACTTGGAGATCTGGGCCGTGGTGTTCGGGCATAGACCGGACGAGGTCTTCGATGAGTTCGTCGGGGATGAGTGAATGGCGGAGATCGACTTCGGTGACGTATGGCTATTTGATGAGTTAGTATGGGTTTTGAGGATAGATGATAAAAACCCCCTGGGACCGAATAGAAGAAAGGAAATGAAAGGAAAAAAAAAAGGGTTAAATAACGACAAGAAAAGGTAAGGGAAGCAGGAAAGAAGGGAGGGAAAGAGGGAAAAAACGAACCTTTCCGTCTGCGACCTCCTGGAATGACTGAAAGACTTGCTCGGCTGTATTCTGGTCCTCTGTAACAGAGACCATGAAATGGATAAACTGCTCAAACGTGACATAGTCTTTCCCTTCGCTCGTCTCTTTAAACTTTTGATGCATTTCGTCTTCGTCATATACTAATCCGAGACTGGCCAGGGCGGCAGAAAACTCGAGTTCTTGCAGCGAATTGCTCAGATCGCGATCAAAATGGCGAAACACCGACTCAAACTCTTCGAGCTGGATTGGCGTAAGGTTCGTCATGTTTCTTGCTACCATTTGATTTTCGAGAAAGGAAAGCTTCTTGGCAACGCTCGACTTGACTAGTCCCAGCTCGTACTCGAGTTCGTCGTAAGTATATGTGGTGAAATCGTTTTCTTCAATGTTTGCCTCTTGACATTGGCGATCCAGCGCTTCAATGGTTTTGAGGAATGCATCCAACGGTGGGAGATTGGCGGAGAGGCGCTGACAATGTCGGAGCTGGTCTTCGACATCGCCCTCCAAACCGGAAATGGCGAGGGAAAGTGTATTAAGAGTAAGTGCAAAATCGTTTGCCCTGTCGGCAAATGAGCGGCGGAGGGCATTCTTAATGCTGAGGATCAGTTAGTTTTACGATACGGTAAACTAAAACGCTGATGTATTATGCCCGCTACTTACTCTCTGATCGTCTCATTAATGACCTTACTCCGTGCTCGCTCGTCGTGTGTCAGCCCCGTCCATGCCTGATCTAGCACTTCTAATCGTAACTCCGGCGGCGGAATGTAATCCCTCAACCGATACGTGCTCATCTTTGTCCGAATGTTTCCAAGCAGGCCGACAAGCTCCGTCTTCTCCGCCACCCAGCTGCGCTTCTGATTCCGCTTGTATTTTGTAAACTCGATAGCTTGGGCTTTGGCGTCGGCATATGTCCCTTTGAATGTCGCTTCCTCCCACTGCTTCCGTTGCTCCTCGATTTGTCGTAGCAGCTCGCGCATCCGTCGCTCAAACGAATTCTGCATTTCCCACGCGCCCTGCATGTTCATGACAAACTTCTCGACACGTCGGCCGGCATTCTCAACTCGCTCCATTTGCGAAAAGGCGTGGAACCAGTATGCAATGTAGGTCATGAGGGATCGCTCATCAGGTTTCGCAACGTCGCACACGTCCTCGACATCGAGCAAGTCTGGAATACCAATCTCTTGCGACGCAATCTCAAAAGCAAGCTTCATGTTCCCTCGGTGGTCTTTCTTGTTGAGGCTGTCGTAGTCGATGAGATCCGGCCGGTGGATATCCAAAAGCGCGCAGCTGCAAAACAGTCAACATCTGAGTTCTATGTCGTCAGTTCCCAAAATCTCAACTCACAATGCCAGTCCATCATTCCAGCTGGACGAAAAGTCTCTGACTTCAACCTCTTCGTAGCATGCCGTCTTGCGCTGACACCACAAGAGCAGACCCTCTTTGGCGGTCATACCCTCCTCGTTGATATCGCTAATGGTGAAGCGCAGAATCAACGTCCAGATCAGACCGAGTATAATCTTGCGGTTCCCATCCACGACGTCTTCCGCACCAATGTTGGTCATCTGGATACCTCGAGACTTGATAAAGTCCAATGCCTTGTTCACGTTTTCGAATCGCTGCACGCGGAGTTTCGGTTTCGAGGCATATCGGCCGAGTGATTCGTTTCCGAGAATCTCAAGCAGGTGGATCAAAATTACCTATACGTGTTGAGAGTTTCTTGTGAGCTTGTTGCGAGAGGCACGCCGAACAGGGTTGGCCGGAGGGCTGCTTACTCCATCAGAAAGGTCCTTGACCAGGTCGTTGATTGCAAGGTCTCGAGCCTTGATCTTATTGTTCAGCCTTTCCAAAGCCGTTAGCACACCACAATTCTAGGCAGGCTTCATTTGAGATGTCAAAAATTCTTTACCATTTGGTAAAGGTCTTCTGTTGCACAGTGACCCATTGCTGCTCTAACAACGCCATCTCGGCCCAGGGCGCATGTGCCCGCTAACAATCAAATGCGGATAACGACGAGCTAGGCAATGCCAATATACAGATACAGGATTGGGGCGTGGGCGATATTTGCGGAATAGAAGATCAGATTGAAACTCGGATAAGATTCAAAAGGTGGCGGTGATAGTCAGACTATTTTGGAGGGGCAAGTTTCGGGCGGTGTATGGGGTTTGTTTTCAGTCAGAAGGACTTGCGGGAGGGGAGGAGGGATGTGTGTTCGCCAGCCTTCTACTCCGTACACCACCCGTTGTTTTTCCCTTTATCCTCACCAAGAGCCCGGCCACCGCCTTTGTTCCTGCCCAACCGAAAACTTTACACGATTTGATTGGCTCGGAAGCCGGGAGCTAAGCCGAATGTCATCACTGTCACGTGAAAGACCCCTGAACGATCGGAGCCAATCCTAGATAGGAATCATCACAACACGTCCGATAAGATTCGTTGGTCGCCAGTCTCAGCTCCACAATATATAACAACGGTAGGATATATCGATTTCAACTGTCTTGGGTATCTATATACAACACACCAAAAAATGCATCCATCTAGGGTGCCAAACGCCTGTGTTTCGTTATATCGTCATCGTCATCGTCATCGTCGACATTGTAAACCTGAGACCGCTCTCCCTTAGTTGCCGTGTCCCCATTTCTCCCACAAGAACAATTGTAAAATGTACTGTGCCCTGTCTTGACTGGCCTTGCGCTCTTTGTCACGAAAGGTCGAAGGAAATCGAACCATTGCGGCGGCCATGATTTCCGCAAACTTGCCATCGACCTGCATTCGTCGACTTACTGCCGGGTCCTGGCTGCTGACAGTTCGAGACCGAGCACGTGACCGCTGCGACCCTTGGCTTTCCATTGACGCTCGTGCTTCTGATGCCGATTGTTGATTCTGCACTGGAGCAACTTCGTTGGCAACATAAGAGAGCATATGAATGAGAAAAGTAAAGGCAATACTATGCGATGGGGCTGCGGACAGCACATCCATTACCCAAGTCCGTTCATCCTCCCCACTATGTGGCGTCTTCGCCCTTTCCTGAGCCAAGATGCCTCGCTCGAGCTCACCCCAAAGGCTTTCTGTAATGATGCCGTCGTTGAGACTCTGAAGAAAGGCAACCAATGTCTCCGAAAGTGCCTCAAGCCGATCGATTGACGTTACCTCTGGCTCAAATAATGATTGAAAAGGCGTGTCCGTATCGAGACCTTCACGAGCAGCCACGGTTAGGCCTTCGCGATAGGTACCGGGCGCAAGGGTCCAGCTTTCGGGCGCAAAGGGCCATCCCGGATGCATCTCCCAGGGAGGGTGCTGCTGTGCATCCGCGGTCATGCCCCATTCTGCTAGAGTTCGGCCCGTGAGCTCCTCTATGGCTTCGGTCAGCCGGAACAACTCCCTAGGAGCCGACCACTTTACCCCTTGTTCACGATCTGCTTTACTGCCAGAACCCTCGGGCTTCTGATGTTGCAGTCTGCGGATACCACCTTCCGGAACCCGAACCAACTTGTCGAGAGACCTCGCGAAACTCGATTGCTGCCAGTTGCCACGAATAGCTAGAAAATGATCTCGGCCGTCCTTAACTCGTAGTACCAGCACGTCATCAATGCTCTGCTTGCCATCATTGAATTCGCGAACCATGTCAATGTGATCGACATTCAATTCAAGCACTGCATTTGCCACGTCTCCCGGCTCAAGGGTATACTGCTTTATGGCGTTTTCAATACTGTTGTCTTTATCGCTTGGCCGATCAAATTGCACTCGCAGCCATCGCGGCGAAATCGAACTCGGCTTTCCTGGCTCGACAGGACGATCCACAAAGCCAAATGTCGCTGGTACTCGACCAGTGTTGGCAATTGTGACGGTCCGGATCTTTGTCTGACCATATCGCACGTCGCCAAAATCTACGCCTTCAAAGGGCTGTGAGTTATCATTATCCTTCTTCTTTGGGCTGTCCTGATCCAGATGGTGATCACAGACGACAGTGATACAGGGCCGCCCTTCATTCTCGGCCCTGTCCAGCTCACGTGCTACCTCTTGCGTTATTCTTGCCTTGAGCTCAGGCACGACGGCATCATAGGTCAGCGCAAAGACAGCATCCAGTGGCTTATGGTCTGAGGACAGGACACGCTGATGAGTAACATAATGTTCGAGGTGTATCTTGTCTTCGAAACCTTCTTTTGTGATGACCGTTTCTCCATCATCAGCAGCATCTTCCTCTTCATTGTACTCATCGTACTCCTCTGGGGCACCATCGGTGTCTGGGTTGTACTCAAACAAAACTTCCTCATCATTCTGAGCGACTTTATCAAGCCCTCTTGCCTTCATTTCTTCGTCCTTCTTCTTCGCTTCCTCCTCCTCCTCCACCTTCTTTTCGTATTCTAGCTTCGCACGGCGTGTACGATAAAGAATACGGTCACACCAGCTGGGACCTCTTCTCTTCTCGCTCGAGTCAAAAAGTCCTACGCTTCCAACGTCGTACTTGTATGTCGGAAGAAATGTGATTGGTCCCTCTTGCCAACCATCATGAAAGGCCTTCCGCTCTTTCTGCTGCTGATGAAGTTCATCATGGGGTAGGAGAGAATCCAAGGTTGTTTGCAAAGATGTAGGATCAGACATGCTGTCCAACAACTCGGGCGGACATAGAGTATCAGTATCTGAAGACGATGAAGAGGATGAGCTCGATTCATCGCCCGAGCCGCTGCCAACAGCGGTTGTTGAAGAACCAGTCGAGCCGGAAGATGCACGGTCTGCCTTCTTTGTACGCTTCTCAGCAATTTTCCGTTCCTTTTCGATCTGTTTCTCAATCTTTTGCTCTGCCTGGCTCCCAATGTCGTATTCATTCCTCGTATGGAGCATTAAGAGTCTCCGAACATCCTCCGCTGGCACACCTTCGATTCGATAATTGAGGTCACCAAACCAAAAGGCAAAATCCTCCTGGCCGATCCCTTCGCCAAAGTCTTGCGTCACGCCCGTGCTATCTGTCACAGGATCAAACTTGGTTCGACTTGTGATTTGAGATACATCCCAGTTCCGCCTTTCCACGCTACCCTTTTCCGCCCCTGCAGACAAATGGCAATTGATAAATACGAGGCGAGTGGTTTCGCCCAGTATTATGCGAACAGTGACGGCCCCTTTGTTGCCCATATATCCCATCAAGCCGGTTCCAACACTTGTAGTACTAACTGAGCCAACCGTAGGAGCAATTTTGGGGGAGGCGTAGACGAGCAGCAGAAGCCCGATCAGCTGTTGTTCAGCCACCAGAGTGTAGCCTGCGGGCAGGGCAGCGGACATTGCCTCCTTCCATTTTTTTGCAACGCTAGAATCTGTATATGGTCGTAACGCTTCTGTCGCCGATGATATATCGACAATTTCTTGCAGTCCTACAGCGTAAAGGCCTATCTCGTCTCCGGCCAGGACTGATCCGGGATCATTCTTAGGGATGGTAGGTTCCTTTTTGGTGGCGCGCCACTCTTGCCGTTCAACAGATTCAATCTTTTCCTGAGCGCCAGATCCATCGACTACTTCAGAATGTGGCAGGACATTGGAGTCAATTTTCATTCCCGCTAACGATTCGGAGACGCCTTTGCCACCCACGAACCAACCGGCGATATCCTTCTCTGTACCCGGTTTAGACGCGACATTCCAGCTTCCGACTTTGATGCGGATATCGTGCTGGCGAGTGAATTCTGATTTGCGCGCATGAACAGCCTGCGACAGTGAATAATGTGCGCTGATTGGTTTGAATTGATCTGGCTGATCAATTGCGGGGAATGCCCCTGGTAATTCCTGGGAATCAAGGGTCGGTGACCTCGTAGAGTCTCGGCTGTTCGACATATCGTGGCGATAGTCAGGTATACCAAAGTCTCCTGGTTCTCACCGTGATGCGACTCGTAATGTCAAGATTTGCGGCGCACAGAGTGAAGAAGCATCGATGACGTAGTAGAGTTATTTGAGCTCGAATGTTGATTTGGCGAGCAAATTGCGAGGGAATCTTATATCATTTTGCGCACTGCATGCAGTGACTCAGAAAAAAAAAGTATATAGAAGATTGTTCAAAGCAGCTGAATGCAAAATATAGAGCAGATGCTCCAGGTTGAGTCTTGCCAAGGAAGGAACGACGAGGGGCGTTGGGTCTCATCTGGGAACGCCGATGGATTGGTGGGGGGTCTCAATCTGATTAGATCGGTGCTAAATCTAATCTGTGATAAGACAATCAAACTCCCCAGTGACGCACCAAACCAACCCTTCGACCTGAACAGAGACCTGAGCTTCAACAACCCTTCCTGACAAGACACCTTCCTGCAACACCACGACTGCAATCTACATCTTCCTTATACATGACTTTGCCGAGATGACGCCTCGACGCGTGGAAAATCGTCGCCACAAATCTCACAACTCCATCAACCCTTCCGATTATGAATCAGACTTCAACAATCTTTCAGACGTCCCCTCGGCGCCAGTCCCTAGCCGGACCAACGCCGAGCTCAATCTCTCGGTGATCCGTCGTCATAACCCTGATGTCATCAATATTCTCTCAATTGCTTCATATGCCGTTGTGTACTTGTTCTCCCCAACTGCACTGCAATGGGAGAAGAGCGGGATCGAGGGTACGCTCTTCGTCTGTCAACTTGCATCGAGCAATATCGGAGCCGAGCGATATGCCGTGGTAGTGCTCAACCGCCGGGGGCTGGAAAACTTCTACACTGAGCTTCTTGAGGGCAGCGACGTCGAGATTACGGAGGAATATGTCATCTTGCGTGTCACGAACGAAGGAGGAGATCCTCATGCTTACGGGCTATGGATATTCTCAGAACCACCGCCGTCCTCTACCGCGAATACGCGGGCTCTTAATGCGCAGATCATTCGGGATTGTGCTGTGCAGGCAGAAACAAGCAGAAAACTCGCAAAGGAGGTGTGGGAAAGTGAGAACCAGAAGCCGATTCAGCCGGAGCTGATTCACGAAAGTGCTCCAATGGGCCGCCAATTTTCGTTACAGCAGCTTTTTGGCCAGCAGCGAGAACAGGATAGCGGATGGAGTGTCAAGGCGCATAGCCCAGTTTCTACGGGCGCACCGCAATTCATGTCAAATCCGGATACGGATTTCTTTCACAGTGCAAAACGACATGGTATGCCTCAGGCGCCGCCACCAGAGCAAGGAAAAGATGTCTTGGCAGAGCTGTTTCGCAAGGCCGGGGAAGGTTATCGGCAGAGCGTTCTGTAGAGCATCATGTGCCTTATGGCAAAGCAGTTGCATAGCTTGGCGTTGATTGGTCCCTCTAGTTGTCGCTGGATTTGATACCCGCGTTCCGGTCTGACCGGAACCTCCAAAACCTTAGCATACCTAGGTAGCTCCCGCATGGTAGTAGCTGCTCCATAGCTACTCCTTCTGCGTTGAGGACATATTGTCATCAAATCTCTATTCATTATTTCGTTACCGAATACAGACAAGACCAAATTGTGTGAATTATCATCAGTGAGCATCTATAAGTACAGCCACGAGCGAGATACCATCCATGGTGCCTCGATATTTTCTTCATCGGGCGGCAGGGCCGCCTTTTGTTCGTCTCGAATGATTGCCTCTATAAAAGCCTTGACTTTTTCCGCAACCAGAGAGCTGTGTCCTGTGTGTTCAAACCAGTTTCAGCGGCTTGAGTCTTACAATGATGGAGCAGGCTAGCGGTCGAGGCGGTAAGACTTACTTATAGGGAAACTATGCGGTATACCATCTTCATCGATCATCATCTTCGGCCATTGCCTATCCCCCCTGGCCGAATTCGCCGCTCGAGCAGCAATTAAATCATCCCGCGTATGGTCTGCGACCCAATGATCATTCTGGCCAAAATAGAAGACTAATCGAGCCGGATCTCTTTCGGCTCCTGGGACGGAAGCGCCCCATACGTCTGCATCCCATCTATCTTCAGTGATCTCATTCATTTCGTCCCTAGACATGTGTCTACAATGCGTATCAGCCTTCTCTCCTTGCTTGTGAATACGTTCCAGTGGTCTCGAGCTTTAATACAAAGAAAATGAACTTTCACAATGAAAAAGATGTAGAGGACGGAACGTACAGAGCTTCTCGAACGCCAGCCGGGCTACATAGGAACTCGAGAGTAGTCCGAGCCGCATCCTTGGGAAATCCGGTAGCGAGCTTCACAAAAATATACAAGATAGAGTGCGGGATGAGCCAACTCAGCAGCCGGACAAATAGATCCGCAAAAAGTGCAAAATATTGGAGTTGCAAAACCGACTTGATTGTGTTAGCTAGTCCAGATTTCACAGCCTCGTAAATTGAAGCAGGTCAAAAATGCTGAATATACAGCGCCTGGCTCATAAATAGTAAAAGGGATCACATACCCCGATCTTAACGCCGGACGGCGATTTGGCAATATGAGTTACTGTCGGAAATAGAAGAATGCCACCAACTATATCAATCCCAGCAGGCTGTGCGGCTTTGTGTCGACGAAGGATTTCTAGAAGAATATATGATCCTACGGAATGACCAACAAGGATGACTTTGAGAGGCGATTTTGATGCTTCAGGCAAATTAGAAGGACTAGATTGAGTAGATGGCTTAGACGATGACGTAGTAACACTTTCTGGAGCCGAAGATGAAGCTGCAGATATGGATGTGCTCTTTTGTTCCTGGGCATATGCCATTAATCTGCTCTCGACAAGTTCGATCACGCGCTTGAGGCTGTATGGTGGCTTGTCATGCTTCTGTGAATCTGATGTTTCTCTTCGACCCGGATTGGGCTGGCTTTGGCAGGGGAATGTTTCGAAGCCCGGAAGCGATGCACCAAAAACATGATGCCGGTTTTTCTTTGAGATATGAGCTTTAGATGAAGGAGAAGAAGGATCTGTGCTTCCAGAGAGTAGTTTGGATAATTCTGCAAGGAAGCCGTGGTAATACTTGATCAGACCGGGATTACCCGTGATGAAGAAGATGTGATATGTATGATTGTCGTCCTTGCCTGAGGTAGCGATCGGTGGTGGTTGATAGAAGAGCTCATTGGTGATCGTGGACATTGTTGTTGTTGGTGTTGATGTTGTTATTCTGGTGGCCATATCCCGTGACCGGAATGTGTGCGGGATCCTTTACAGATGGATGCATCACGACGATGAACATGTGAAGCGATTTTTGCAGTGTAGCCTACTCTGCCACCAAAAAAAATTAGACCCCCCTTATAATTCTTTTACGCTACTTTATCTTGAGAACTTCTATGTCTATTCAAATTTACATTACTATCCCTTGAAAGGATTTGTCCGTCATTTCTCACGGCGATTGACCGTTTAATATTGTGTGATACATCCTGTAATACGCTTGCTAGGGCATGACATGACGCCAAGTCGTCTCACACCTCGACCAAATATACCTTTCCACGCAAGTCAAACAATGCTCTCGATCTGACGCAAATAGTTTGAATACTAACTCCCATGAAGATGACCCGGATTGAATGATTTGTCTGAGAAGTTAGCGGGCCCCAGTGGCCTCGCGAAGTTCTACCCGTATCTCTTTGAGTGCGATGGAGATCGGATCAACTGTAACATCAGAGTTAGGGTTTACCTGTGAACTATGCGGCTCCGATACAGAAAAAAGAAGGGATTGGCGAGCAGTCGGAGCGCATGCTAGCGAAAATCGTGCTCGTGGTATCAATTCGATTGGGGTGCTAGAGTCAAGGGAAAGTTGTCAAGGTGGGGCTGTCGGGGCTCTTTTCAGCATGCAGCTCAGATTTCATGGATGCCGACAAACCACACTACCTGGTGCCAGCGAGGGTGGAGGAGGAGCCAATGATTGATAAGGAGTTGCTGCGGGTCCTCAGGTTGGAGCCTTCTGCGAAGCCCACCGTCTGAACCCCCTTTGCCTAGCAGTGTCCGGCGGTCGGGCTAGTCGACAGCCTAAACCATGGTTCTCACTTTTTAATCATCCTTGGGCGACAGCGTGAACTCGTCAGGGTCCACATCTCGGGCCCTTCGGCCCCTGCCGTCTAGCTGGGGAGAAGAGCATCCAAAAATCAAGCATCCACGATTTGCCTAGCGAACCACAGTCGGGAATAGCGTGCGGCAGAATGGTCGTCTATGGAATTAATGCAACCACAAGAACAACAATGGTGGAGAGAAAGTGAAGCAGACAGAGAATCCTTGGTGCTATCAAGACAATCTGTGGTCAGAACATACCCCATAAAAGGAGAAAATACCGTATCAGGGACCAACTAATAATGTAATGAATATTCGTGAGAGTTTGGGCCATTCAACTTCTCTTGCCAGGGACCTAATTTCAGGAAATTCTCACGACTGTAGGACATCCCTTAGATATAATACGCAAGACACTTTTTTTATTCTCTCGTTGGAAGTGCAAGACATTTGGTAATTGAATGGGATAGAGCGCATAAAAGGGGCAGTTTCTTAAGCGATTCAGTTAAAGTGGGCGGCTACGGCGGACTCAAGCGACCACCATTCTCCTCCACCAACCCACCACCCTCTTGTATCCTCAGCTTCTCCCCGTTTCTGTCTGCAAAAGAAGGCCTCTGTTGTTTGTCATTCACCTCTCAGGTGACGCTTGACGACGTTCACCTGTTTGTGTGAGCGACGTGTCTGCCAGCGACAGAGGAAATTAACTCGGTGAACGGCCTCATTCACCACGTCCCCACTTGGTTTGGCCTCACCCCAGGAGTGAAGACCTTCGACGATAGACGCGCAGTGGACAATACAAACCCCGCCCGCTCCCACTTTTTTCCTCTCCTGCTATCCACAGCTCATCACTTACCTCCGAACACGCCTTGTTCTCACAACAGCTTCACAAGGCCAAATCCCTTCAGGTTACTTTCCGAAGGTGAACAACGCAGTGAACCTTGCTTGTGCTTGTCTCCCACAAGCACGGCGCTCCAGGTGGCAGACTCCAAGATTGTCACACTTGTTGACAGACAATCGCTCTTGTGTTGAACAGAAATCTATTACCAATCCAAGCGGAGCTCACGTCTCTTCATGAAAAAATGGCTTCGTCACAGTCAAAGTAAGTCATCTGTTTAGCTTGCCTGTGCGGCCAAGCAGAACATATCCTAGAGGCTCTCGTTGATGGTTTCTTCACCACTGATCGAAGAAGACTGCCGATCGAAGTTGCACGACCGTCAGTAAGCTTGAGCAGATTGCTAATTGAGACGGCCATGCAGTATTTATTCTCCAGGGCAATTTATGAACCCAGGTCCTGCCCCTCGCCCTCCTGTCGATCGCCAACCTGCTCGCTTGAACTTTACTCCTTCTACTGCCAATGTGCGGGGCAACATGGCCAACTTGAACATTTCTTCCCCAGTGGCCCCGGCTTTGGGATATTCCTCTACCTTCCCCGTCGGTGGCTCGAGCACTTCTCTTCCGCTATCTAATACGCCATCAAATAACAGCGGCTTCGGCGGTGTGGCTATCGTCAAAGAAGGCCTTGCCAAGGTCAAAGAAGATGGAATAAGGGGTTTTTATTGGTCCACGAGAAAACTGATCCTCCGCGACAGCCAGCTGGATTTCCACAAAAATGAAACTTCTCCAAAGATTGCCTTTACCATCTCCCTCAGGGATGTGACAAGCGTCAATCGGAGCGAAACACTTAAGTTTGCATTCGAAATCAATCGCGTTGCAAATCCAGTAAACGGGACCCTCTCGCCAGTCGCGCTGCGTGACCTACCCCAGAAAACCGTCACTTGCCAGGTCTCCTCGGACGATGAAACGTACGATTGGATCGATGAGATATACAATCGGTGCCCAAGTATCGGTGGAGTCAGCCAGCCGACCAACTTTTCTCACCGCATTCACGTTGGCTTTGACCCCAAGTCGGGAGCTTTCGTGGGGCTGCCTGATGAATGGGAACGGTTACTGACTGCTTCAGCTATTACCAAAGAGGACTACCTGAAAAGCCCGCAGGCTGTCATTGAGGTCTTGGAATTCTACTCCAACATCAATGAGCGTGCACAGCACCCAGAGGAGTATGCCTCTTTGACACCAACCCCTCCAGTGCACGTTGGTAAGAACAAGCAGCTTGGGCATGGTGGTTCATCGCTCAATGTCGCTCCACCACGTCCGAGTCCCCAACCGGCTGGCAACGGTCAACCCGTTCGTGCGCCGCTGATGAGGTCAGACACGGAGCCACTGGCACCTGGCCATCGCAGACCGTCAGCGCCGGGCCCGCTGCAACATGCTACCTCGTTCAACGCAAACGACTATTCCGAAGAGGAGCGGCGTCGCATGATGGACGAAGAAGCGCGTCGAGTGAAAGAAATGCGAGAGAAGAAGGAGCAGCAACAGCGCGAGGCAGAGCTAGCTCAGAGACGGCGCGCCGAAGATGAGGAGTACAATGCATCTCTTCCTCAAACGCGGCAGCCGGGCGCTAAGCAGGAATTGATAATGATGGGTGGCGGAGGCGGCGGAGCAGGTTCCGCTTCTCCTGCTCGTTACAATCCCTCGAGGCCTGCGCCGGCTGCGCCAAAGAATTTGAATCCACAGCGACCGGCACCATCTGCACCGAACCCGGCTGGCACTGCGAATGCGGCAAACGCAAAGACGCCCCAGGGCCCGAAGAACTTGCCAACCGGCGCCGAAGCTAAAAAGTCTCCTTCTCCCGTTCGTGCTCCGGGAGATCATACGAGACAGCCCTCTCCTCGACCCTCAAAGCCGCAGACCAATGGCCAGACTCAGCCTTTTCCTCGACTTCCTGTCAATGTCAGCGGTAATTCCCAGCCAGCATCTCGTCTACCTACCCCGGTGCATGCTCCCAAGCCATTGAACGTGCCGCAAAAACAACCAGCAGGAGGAGCTTCACAACAATCTGCTGCTATTAAGCAAGCGGAGAGAGATCTTGAGAGAAAGGACCCTGCCCCACCGCGCGAGAAGGATGTTCGCATGTCAAGCATGACAGAGAATCAGGTCATGGACAAATTGCGGCAGGTGGTCTCGAAAGACAAGCCCTTGGACTCGTATTACAAGCAGAAAAAAATTGGTCAGGGTGCATCAGGATCTGTCTACGTTGCTCGTGTTCGTAGTGACGCGCCATCAAGAGCCGCACGTCAAGTCTTGAGGGATCATGCAGAGCATGGTCAGGCTGGATCTCGACCTCAGGTGGCCATCAAGCAAATGGACTTGCGTCACCAGCCTAGAAAGGAGCTGATTGTGAATGAAATCATTGTCATGAAAGATAGCAAAAACCCCAACATTGTCAACTTTATCGACGCGTTCCTTCAGGAGGAAGACAATGAACTGTGGGTTGTCATGGAGTACATGGAGGGTGGTTCGCTCACCGATGTTATCGACCACAATCCTCTCATAACCGAGCAGCAAATTGCAACCATTTGCCACGAGGTAATTCCCTTATTTACATTAGGGTCTATTTATGTCAAATGCTAACTCTCCTTTTTCAGACCTGCAAAGGCTTGGAGCATCTACATTCGCAGCACATCATCCACCGTGACATCAAGAGTGACAACGTCCTCTTGGATGCCCGAGGAAACGTTAAAATTAGTAAGCCTCCAAGTTACAGTTCTTTTTGTATTCCAAATGCTAATTCATTGCAGCCGACTTTGGTTTCTGCGCGAAGCTTACCGAGCAAAAGAGCAAGAGAGCTACGATGGTCGGCACGCCCTATTGGATGGCACCGGAGGTAGTCAAGCAAAAGGAATACGGTCCCAAGGTTGATATTTGGTCGCTCGGTATCATGGCCATTGAGATGATTGAGTCTGAGCCGCCATATCTCAACGAGGAGCCACTCAAAGCCTTGTTCCTTATCGCCACCAACGGTACTCCTCGACTCAAGAAACCCGACAAGCTCAGCAAAGAGCTCAAAGCATTCTTGTCCGTTTGTCTCTGTGTGGACGTGAAGAGCCGAGCTACTGCAACTGAGCTTCTCAATCACTCCTTCTTGCTTAGTGGTTGCTCTCCCGCATCCCTCGCCGACTTGTTGCGCTTCCGGAAGCAGGCTGGGCATTGAGTTGGGGTCATGGCGCGCCCTGTGTCCTCCTGCCCGGACCCCGCATTTTCCCTTTCCAACCTTTAGCTTTTATGGCGGTGTAGGACAAAAGCATGGCGCGGCATCTTGTGCTTTGTGAATTTGATCAGTAACGATTTCGGTCTTTCAATCTTGACTTGGTTAGGAGTCTGGTGTCACGTCTTGCTTACACGAAAGTCCATTTCGACAGTCTCGAGGCAGGAATGACAGTGGACGCATGGTACAGAAAAAATCGCTCAACCTCTACTTTCGAAACTTATTATCCCAAGCTTGCAGTATCCTACTAGGCAGCGAACGTTTGCCCACCTTGAAGTCGAATGTCATAGTACATGGCTTCAAGCACGCTGTCTAATATTTTTGCTCTCAGCTGACGACCACGGAGCATTACAAGTGTCAATCATTCGGATGACATCGCTTTGACACATGCATTTAGACCAGTTCAAGTCCATATTTCACGCTCTATGCATCTCGATTTCTCTTTTCGATCTGGCCAGAATCTTTAACATATGCATGGATAGAATCGGTCGGCCCCCTTCAAGGTCATCAAAACATTTCGAAAAGCACATATTCATCATTTATTCAAGCACTTTACGACGGCAAAATGACAATAACAGCATCCGTCAAGCATTTCTCAGGTTATCTTCGAGCGAGTCAATGCATCGGCTAGACTTTATCCGTTTCCGATAACAACTCCATCAAAGGAAGCAAGCATTTCAACTTTGTCTATCCTGTTGCACCTTCAAGAACATCAACGCAGAGCCTAAAGACGCCAAGCATCTACTGCACCACATTTGCGTGTTATCTACTTCTCAAGCCCTTAAAATAGCTGATACATTTGATCTTTTATCATTCTTTCTTTCTACTATTGTCGTCTCTTCGTCCCCTTTTTATTGTTTCACCTTTATTTTTAATCCTGACGACAGATTACGACACTTATCACGACCTGCTGTGGATTTTTATTTGTCTTCTCCTTTTCTAATTTTATTTCTTCACCTGCGTCGTCTTACCTTTTTATTGGGCATTTGCTCTTCCTCTTCATCTTTGTTCCGTTTCCCCTTCTACACTTTCCCCCTTCTCTTTTCTTTACAATACAAGTTTCACAATTTCTTAATCCTCTTAAATAGTTTACTTCTCTCTACTTCTTATCTTCCTTTTTTCCTCTTTATTCCACTTTCCCACCTTCCATTTCCACTCCAAAGCTCTTCTCTAGTTACTTTTTCTACGGTTAGGTCACGGAATTAAGGAATCAAAATAACAATTTTCACGTCTAATCATTCTATTAAACTGAATCATTGACATATGCGTGACGCTTGTATCTTGTCTCTTCGAGTTTCCTCTACCTTAGCCTCACTAGGCCTTATCCAGTCTCATCACGTCTCATCGAAGTTCATCTAGTCTCGTTTTTAACATTAGCCATTTCTCTTCACTTAATTCACTTAAGATCATTTATTAAGTATTTGACATGGACTCGCCGCTCGGAGACTAGAAGATCACCTGCATCTAGCTTCAAAGCGTCTCCTTTTTTTTTCTTTCTCTTTTTCTTTTCTTTTCTTTTCCTTTTCTTTTTTTTTTTTTTTTTTTTTTGTTTCCTTTCCCCCCTCCCACCCCCTTT